CCCCCCCCCTCCCCACCACCCCACCACACCAAATACCACCCCACATAAGTAAACATCCCCCTCTGGTCGCGTTATGTGGTGGGGTTGTGTCGGTGTGTTGTTGGTGGTTGGCTGTGTATGGTGCTTCTACGTGTGTGTGTTGCTGACATGTTAGACTCCTTTCTGCTGATCCGTGTGTTTATATATCTATTTGTCTGTGTGTACGTCTGTTGTACTGTATGTCTGGCTGTCTTCCTGTTGGTCTGTCTGTCTGTCTGTCTGGATGTCTGTCGGTCTGTCTGTCTGTCTGTCTGTCTGTCTGTCTGTCTGTCTGTCTGTCTGTCTGTCTGCGTCCTCTGCCTTCCTCCCCTCGTCTATCGAGTGACCCCTCTGCTCCTGCTTCTTCTGCCTACGCAGATATATGTGCGATACTGCGGCGTGGGTAGCGGCCTCTCAAAAACTCTTCAGCGATATTACCTTCCTTGAGGCATACCATCGCACCGGACGGTAAGAAAGGTCTTTTTTGCAGCTTTTCTTGGCGTGTTTTTCGGCCTCTCCCCGTGCGGTCACTCAATCGTCTGCCATGCCCTTTTTTGCCTCCTCGTTTCCGTGCTTTACAGCTGCCTGAACATCGCCATGACACGCGCTGACAGGGACGGAGAAGTCAAGGCGAGAAGCACACCAGGCCCCTACCTAGAGGTTTTGTTTGCAGCGCTGTCTGTCTGCTCTTACCCCGATGCCACTCTTCTTGGGGGCAGGCAGGCGGGAGGCACCTCACGTGTCTCCCCCCAAGAAGAGTTCACCCCTCCCATCGGTGCCTGCCTCTTGCTTTCCTTTGGAAGGCAGCTCGTGACAAGACGGATCTGAGACTGGGGTGGTATGTGCGCAGCTCATGAATTATCTCAATGCACCCAATGTCGTCGTGTGGTCAGCGGTGTGCTGCTCCTGCGCATTCCCTTTCTTGACACTCCCGATGCCTTTGCTGGAGAGAGGACAGGATGGCCGTCTCAGTATCTCGCCTCCGAATGCTCCTGAGACTCCCTATTACCACGACGGATCTTTGAGCGGCGATATTCCTCTCAAATCGCTCGCTAGCTCCTACTGTGGCCCCCTGTACTCTATCGTGTCGCAGGTATAGACAGTTGCCCATGCTGTTGCTGCTGCTGCTGTTTTGAAACACATCGCAGATTGCCTCAGCAGTGCTTCGACCGCGGGGGAGGCACCTTGTCTCGTGTGCGTGCCCTTTTAGGTAATTTCCGTTCGTCCTGCTGCGGATGTCGCAGGTGAACCCCCACGTATTTCCGTTCTCCGGAATTCGCGCTCATGGGGAAGCAGGAAAGCCCGTAAGAGACGCTTGCTGTCGCTGGTGATGATGCATCTATACATATATACCTATATCTCCATACGTAGACAGATAGATAGAGCTGTATATACATCTATGCATATCTATGTATATGTATTATTTATATGCATACAAGTACATGTACATGTATCTGTACCTATCTCTCTAGATGCCTATATATAGATAGATATATATATCTATATATATCCGTGTCTCTCTTATAGATGACAGCAAAAGGCATATATATATACATATATATATGCCCTTCGCTCTCATCTATTAGCCTTTCAGATGGTAGCTCTTCTTCGCTTGCAGGGACGGAATTGTTTGGAGATTGCGAATTTGGGGTGGGTGTGCAGGTCAGTTGGAGGGGCGCTGGTGGCCAGTGGCGCGGCGGCTTTGTGCTTTCTGGTCTTGAAGTTTTCTTAAAGGAGCACCTCGTGAGGAGCTGAGGCGTACAGTGCAGGAGGCAGATTGAGGCCCTTCTTTCGCTGCATTTGCACCCGATCGCCGAATCCGTTGTGTGCTTCTGAAACTGCTCTCGTGGATTTCTTCCTCCGCTTCCCCTCAGCGTTTTTTGTGCTCTCGTGGATTTCTTCCTTTGCTTCCCTTCAGCGTTTTTTGTGCTCTCGTGGATTTCTTCCTTTGCTTCCCTTCAGCGTTTTTTGTGCTCTCGTGGATTTCTTCCTTTGCTTCCCTTCAGCGCTTTTTGTTGCGGCTTATTGCGCTGCTAAACGTCAGTCCGACGCTCCGCGGCATTAACGCAGGGGCACTCGCCCTCCAGGTGCATTCCGCAGCTAGCGCGCTAGCTGCCCATTTTCCGCTAGCTCGGAAGTCTTGCGAGCATTGACTGCGTAGATATAGAGCAGCAGCAGTGCCGTTTGCCTGTGTGCATTCGAATTGGGGAGTGTTTGGTTGCTTTCTCAGCAGGTTGCACGGGGGTCTGTTCCGGTAAATGGGTGTGTGTGCGTGTGTGTGTGTCTTTAGCCATACACTGGCGACGTTACTGTCTGTCCGCGGAGGCTGTATTGGAGGCACATCAAGCTGATGAATGACCAGTCATTTGCCGACGTTAAATGGTTCGCACACTCTCAAAGGCAGCGGCGATAAATCCTTTAAGGGCCTGAAGGCTGCTGCCAGATGTGGCTTTCGTGTCTTGTGTTTGTGGTTCGCCAGCTGCCGTCGCAGCAGCATCAGAGCATGCAGCAGCGCGTGCTTCTTCCCACATGCGTGTGTTCGGCAGCGGAGCTTGCACGTAGGTGCTTCATGCTAAAGGTTTGCCTACAGGGGTTGGGGGTGTGCGTTGCTGCAGGTATGTCCAGGAAGGGCGAGCCATGGCGTTCCCTAAGCTCCATCTCATAAGGTATGTTGCTGCTTCCGTAGATGGAATCTGTTTTTCGCGGTAGGTGGCTCTCGAAGGCGGCGTCCTGCCCGCTGGTGTTGCGCTGTGTCTGCAGCAACCGGATGCGAATTGAAAAGGCCATAGATGCACTTGTTGCTGTTGTGGGGGCAGCAGACTCTGACGCGGTTAGTGCGTAACGCACCAACGCCTCAGGGGGCAGGAGCTGCTGCAGCCGCTAATCTGCCGTAATGTAGCAGGCGAAACTGTCAATTAGCTGGAGAAGCGTGCAGCAGCAGCTGCTCCTGCTTCTGCTCCCGCAGTCGACGTGCGCAGGTAGCACATGTCAATTTGCTGTATGTCGTACCCGTACAAAACTGAGAAAGAGACTACCAAACATTTCTCACTGTATACCGCAATTTCTAGGTTTCTCTTTTCTCTAGATCCTGCAGGGGGCAGCCTGTTCTGTAGCGTGGCAACAATCAACTTGTGTTTTGGCTGTCTAGTCATCCTAGGACTCTGGATGCAGTATGTACCTATCGGGTGCACCTACAAGCGCATTACTAGGCAGCGCGAGCACCTGCAGTCACGGCAGCATGATGCGTAGGAGTCGCATGCATTGTCAAATGCATGCACTTTCAAAACACATTGCACGTCCACGTCCGGCGTTTCCAAAGAAAAAAAGTTGACCTTCAGACAGAGCCCCAGCACTGTGACTGCTCGATCACAGCGGTGGAAGCTGCGCCGTGCACAGTGACGGAACTGAAACAGAAGGCCTCAGCATCTGCGAGTGTGAGTGCTGCTGCTGCTCAGGTGTCTGCCTGACCAGCATCTGCGGATGCTGCCGTATATGCATCTGCTGCATCTGCAGCAGGAGCTGCTGCTGCTGATGCGTCGTCGTCTGCTGCTGCACGTGCTGCATCTGCTGTTCCCTCTGCTGCATCTGCTGTTCCCTCTGCTGCACGTGCTGCAGCTGCTGTTCTCTCTGCTGCTGTTGCCTTTGCTCGGCTTGTGCGCCTCCACCCATCCACCTGAAAACGCCAGCTAGCCAACTCCTGGATGCAGGTTGCTGCCCCTGCTGCATTGGCTTCTGCTGAGGGGCACGCTCCTGCTGCATCACGTGTTGCTGCGGGGGACAAGTCACATTGCTGTGCTGCGGTGCAGAGCGACCACCATAAACAGCAGGTGCCGCCGATGGAGGTGCTACTATTTCTTTTTCATCCTCTGCCGTGGGATAGCAAGCAACAAAGGGGGCGATTCCATTGGAGAGGCCCATGTGGTAGCGGGTAAGATTTCGCTGGAGCTCAGCTGCCTCCGTCTGCTGCCTTTCAGCTATTTGTGCTGCCAGAAAGCTCTGATACTGCATCTCTCCAGCAGCCGTGAAACGCGACATAGGCGCCCTATACGCAGACGCACAGAACGAGGAAGACTTCAGTAAAGGGCTCCGGCTCACCGTTCTTCTGCAACAATTAGCCACCGGCTTTGATCCACGACCAGCTAGGGTTGCTAGCTGGCCGTACAAAGGGCACAGTCGTCTGTGCATGCAAAACGTACAATCCTTGCTTCATGAGATGAAGGATGTAATCGTCTAGAGATCGGCCTCCTAGCCACGCGCGTATTCCAGAGCCTGCACGCATGCACGAACTCACGCATGCTCCCTCCACAGGGCACGGCTTGCATACCGTGGTTGCTGCTACCATACACGCCGCTAAGGAAACAGAGTAGCTTCAGTAAAATTCCGCATTTACCGTTGCTGTCGTGCGAATTGCCGCTGGCCACCACGACCTCCTCTTCCACGGGGACTGCTAGCTGCTGGAGCAGGGGTATATGCTTCATCGCATGTTGCTGCTGGCGCTGCAGGTGGCGTTCTTGCTGGAGCTGCTGTTGCTGAAGGTACTGTTGAAAAAGCTGCTGCTGTTGTATCTGCTGCTGCTGTTGTATCTGCTGCTGCTGTTGTATCTGCTGTTGGGTTTGTTGCTGCTGGAGGTGCTGCAGATGGACCTGCTGGTGTTGAAGATGCTGGTGCTGCTGGTGCTGCTCTGCGTGCTGTACTGTTGGCTGTTGCTGCTGGCGCAACTCTTGCTGTACTTGGTGCACTTGCTGCTGCTGCAGTCTCACATCGGACGCATCAGCAGCCGTCTTTGCGGCGGTGCTTCCAGAGAAGGAGCGCTGGAGGCGGGGGGACCCTGTGCCACGTCTGACAACGCTGCTGCTGCTGCTGCTGCTGTCGTTGGTGCTGCTAGGGCAGCTGCACGGCGAGCCTTCCTCCCAGTTGGAATCGTCGTTGCTCTGGCGCTGAAGGAGCGCTTCCCGTGAAGCCTGCTCTGCTTGTTGGCATAGCGCAGCGGCTGTTGTCGGCTCAGTAACATAGACCTGCGATTCAATATCCATGGCCGTCAGCGCAGGAGCCTCTCGCTGGCGCTGCTGCGCACTTCCGCTTTGATGCCTTTCCTGCTCTTGCAGCTGCAGCATCTGCTGCTGCCTCGCAAATTTTGACTGTTGCTCCTTCAGCTTCTGGCGATACAAGTGCTTCTGCTGCGTCTGGCGCAGTCGGTTGACGTCTTCTAAGACCACGGAAGTCTGTGGTTCCTCTGGCCCAGCATCTGCTGCGCTTGCTGCTAAAGCCCATGCAGCGGCTTCTGCTGGAGGCGCTCCAATTGGCGAGACGGCAGCCCCCATGGTGCTCCTCAAGTGTGACGCATGACGGGGTACTCCTTGCCGCTGCGGAAGCCTGGAAGCGCTGTTGCTGCGGAAGCGTGTATGCATGCCGCTGCTGCTAAGGCCCGCACGCGGCGAGGAGTGGTAATCCTCATTCGGACTCAGGTGTGCGTTGCTGGAAGGCGACATGCCAGCGTCATCGCTCGCAGAGCGTGGAAGCAGATCGGAGAGCTGCGACGTGTCATCTCCCGCCGCTGTGCTGATGCTGGCCTTGCCGCTGGTGCTGCCTTTGTCTGCTGAGGAGACTGGAGAGGGCCTTGTTGGCGGAAGGCTCGTCTGTTTGCGGAGGGGGGGGCGTCCAGCCGCAGACGCGTCCCCCTTGTCGTTGCTGTTGCCGCATGACGTAGTTGACTGCCCAACAGCGCTGTTTACCCTCCACAAGGATCGCCTAGTGCTGCCAGTATCCTCTGCACCAACGCCGCTGCTGCGGCTCAAATTGGAATTTCCCCGGGGGGGGGGCGTTGCTGCAGGCAGACGGGAGTTCCTGCCAGCGTTGCTGCTGCCGGAGGAGCTCTTTGAAGGCGCAGCGCCAGCAGCTGTAGAGGCTGCTGCTGCTGCTGCTGCTGCTGCTGCTGCAGCCGAGCCTGCTGAGGCCGCCGTTCTTGGCAAAGGCCTGCGACTGCCAGCGATTTTGCGGGATACTGTACGTGCGGGAGGCGTTGCTGCTGAATGGGGGGGCGGTGCAGCAGTGGCAGCCGCTGCACCCGTAGTCGTCGCAGCAGTGCTGCGAGTTCTTCCTGCAAGGCCTCTTCTTTGCTGCTGCTGCTGCAGAAAAGACGCCGCACTGGGGCTCAAAGGGCCTTTGAGGGCAGACGCGTCCGTACTGGATGTGCTGGCGAGGGGCCTCAGCGGCGGCTGCTGATTCTTGCTGCGTGCTTGCTGATGCTGATGTTGCTGATGCTGATGCTGCTGATGTTGCCGACCCCGCACAAGCTGCTGCTGGCGGCTGGGGTAAGCGTCGCTGATACTGTCGGACACCGCTGCAATGCTACTACTACTGCTGCTGTTGCTGCTGCTCCTGGCATGCCTGCTGAAGTCTGAGCACCACTCTCTCTCGTGCTCAGCATCTCTCGCTGCAGCCGCGCCTGTGGCTCCAGGAAGGCGTGTGTGGCAGTCTCTTAGGGCCGTCGCAGAGTCTGTGCGCGAGCTGCCGTCCGGCAGCCTTCGTCCGCCATGCAACCCTCCTGCAGGAGCACAGGCAGTAGACAGCAGCCGCTGCAAAGCTTTGAAGCGGCAAGAGGGCAGGATGATGCACCATGCACGAAGCGAAGGCTGGGAAGGCCCCAGCATGCTATTGCAGCTACATTCGTACGGATGGGGGGGGTAGTGGCTGGAATCTTTTCTCCTGCCTCAGCCACACTCAAAACCGATTGTATTCACCTGCCCTAGTGAGGCCATGAGACTTTGTTCTCATGCGTGCTGCTGAGAAGTCGCTTCTCAGGCCTCCCTTGTGTTGCTGCTTTTCCTTCTGTTGCTGCTGCTGCTCCTCTATCTCCAGGAGCAGCTGCTCTTCCTGCTGCATAAGCGCAACAAATTCCTCCTGCTGCAGCAAGAGGATCCACGCCTCAGGATCGTGATGGCCTCGCAGAGCTTCCTCACTCAGCGACGCCCTCAGCGCGTGCACCTGGGCAGTAGCCGACCTGCTCGCAGCACAGCAGCAGGAGGAACAGAGACTAACTGAAGCAGCTGAACAGGCGAAACGGGGTGTTTGAGCAGCGACAGAGGCAGCTACAGCCACCCTACGCAGAAGAGTGGCCTTGCCACCATCACTGCAGCGACCACAGCACTCCGGCAGAGCGCATATTCTTCCAAGGCGCACTGAATTCGCTTTTGCAGATCAGTCGGGTTGGTATTGAGGGGCCCCTTCAAGAGGGGCAGGCTCTTCCCCGGATTATAAGGATCGCTGGAGTGTCGCAGGCCATAGCTTCCAGCCTCAGCCTCCGTGCATTCGCTGCGGAGTCGCAGATCCTGCTGAGGCTGTCGAGTATGCCGATACGAGTTCTGCTGCATGTTGTACGTGTAAGGCCGCTGCTGGGTAGGTTGTTGTTGCTGCTGCTGCTGAGCACACTGCTGCTGCTGTTGATGAGCATACTGCTGTTGCTGTTGATGAGCATACTGCTGCTGCTGTTGATGAGCATACTGCTGTTGCTGTTGCTGAGCATATTGTTGTTGTTGCTGCTGCTGAGCATACTGTTGTTGCTGCTGTTGCTGAGCATATTGTTGTTGTTGCTGCTGCTGAGCATACTGCTGTTGCTGCTGTTGCTGAGCATACTGCTGTTGCTGAGCATACTGCTGTTGCGGTCGCTGAGCATGCTGCTGCTGCTGCCACTTATCTTCCCATCCCGTTCGCTCTTCTGTAGGGAAATTGGAAAGTAATACAGCTCCTGGAATGCCGCCGTGTGGCGGCCCGTGTCGCTGCTGCACCATCGTGTGTTGCAAAGGCGACAGCGCCGTGTGTTGCTGCTGCCTGGGATTAGCATAAAACTGCTGCTGTGGAGGCGACATTGCGAGCTGCGCCGAGGGATGCGCCAGCAGGGGCCTCTGGGGATTCATCATGAGCTGAGCGTCTTGTTTCCGATGCTGCAGTGGGAGGGGCTGTCTCATGGGGGAGAGGTGCCGCATGCAGCCGTATAATACGGGGAGCTCGCACTGGCTAGAGGCCCCTTGCACCAGTGCGGCTGCAGCTAGAGCAGCGAGGCCTGTAGCGCTGGCTGTATTACACGATGGGCGAAATCGAGAGGAAGAGAGAGGGAGAGAGGAAGAGGGGGAGGAAGCACAGGGAGAGCGTCCTCCTGAGAAACTAGAGCCTTCCAACAGCTAGGGCAGTGTCTCGGGCGTCATCCTGGCTCCTCTAGACCCTTTTCAGCCCTTGCCTGTGCAGGCTCTCCTTGTGAGTGGCTTTCGCTTTTTTGACACGGAAGCGTGTTGCAGATCATCTGGCCGCCGCGCCCGCAACTGTCCCTGACCGCGTTGCTGCTGCGGCTCCGCAAGGCATCAATCTTGAAGGTTTTTTGCCTTGTGCACTGAGGAAGAGGCACAGCATTTCGAGCGCGTCTGCAGCTCATGCGGCAGGTGTTGGCGCTGGGAATGGGGCGTTGCAGTCGGCGGTGCCGAAGCAGGAGACTGAATGAAGAAGGGCTTGGCGGGTCGCCTAGCTCCCAGGCGTACTACTCTGTATCTGCAGTACCTACACACAATTGCCTGTAAAAGCGCCTTAAACTTAAAATAAAATTCTTCAGACAAAAACACGCTAACAAGCAAAGAACGGAGGGACACGGCAACGATGGATGGCGCCACCGTCGCAGCCGCCCCTAGGCCGGCTCGGGCAGCCGTCGGTCGCGTGCGCCTTCTACAGCAACAGAAGACCACGTATCGACCGGCGATGAGGGGCTAGACAAGGGGACTTTCCCTTTTAGTTTGTTCATGCTTCGCATTTCATTTGTGCTTTGGAGTATTATGCTACCAGAAGCTCCAGGGAGAGGCGCTGATGTGACAGAACCCGCCGGCTTCGTGTTGTATCCATGGCTCACGGGGGCGGCACAAAGGCTCCAGGGTCTGTCTGCACAAGGAGGCGCTGCACTTTGAAACACGACCGAAATATACTCATAAAACATTGCTCCGTAGTAACGCTTTTAGCATCGGATGATATGCAGTGCGGTATCTGCTAGTTTCAATGGGAAGGGCATTTTATGCGGAACTTGTGTCGAACACGTACCGCCGCAGGGGACACACATAAATGTACATCCAGAAATCCCTAAAAAGCAATACTCCAGCGAAATACCACATTCCGATTGCAAAGACAGCTCTCCGAGTATTGGGTTATAGGGGGAGAGACTCGTATTTATCCTAGAAAGCTAAAAAGCGAGCGTAGAGATGGTCAAGACAGGGTCCACGCCAAACTTTTCCTCGAAACTACTCCTACTGTAGCTTTACTTCGGGTACAAAATGTTAAAAATTGAATGTACATATATATAAGCATCGAATCTTTAGTTGGACTGTTCCTTCGATTGATGTAGAGGGTGGCTAAACTCGACAGTACAAGAATGAGCGGTTTGTGCTTGCGTACTATTACTCAAAGTATGTGCAAACTTCTGAGAATCCCTGAAGTGATCAGGGAATGTAACTATTTGTAGCATTGTCCTTCCTCTCCTGCGGCCGAAACCGTGTGGGTTGAGAGCAAGGAGAAATAAGAGTTCTTATAAAGAAATAGTGTTGTTATTCTATCCTTAATTATGTTCTTGTGGCTAAGCATCCGTGACAGAGATTCTATAAGGAACCCTACTGATTCTTCAGATAATACAGAAGCTCTAACGACACGCCTACAATCACCTCGTTACGAAGTATTGTACAATAATTAGGGTTTAAGCAGGAAGTGTCCAAGTAAAAGCTTGCTTTATTGAAACTAGCCTTTACTGCCACCTCAGTGTTTCCATCATGAGATACTTCGTTACCAAATCCTATCTGCGGCGGAAGAATCTTTTTTCTTACCACTGTACATCACTTAATCAGTACAGAATTGGCTACTTGGTTTAGCTGCTCGCCTATCTTATTATTGCACAGCAGGGTTACCTCAATGCAAAGTATACGTGTGCTATTAACGCAGTGTGCACCGCGCTGTGAATGCTTAGAGTGCTCAGAGTGCGCAGCAACTGTGCGCACCTTGGCTGTCCCTCCACCCTCTTGCCGGAATCCAAAGGGGCGAGCGCAGGGGACGAATGGAGTTTCTCTGGCAGGGCACTCTATAAATTCCTCCCAATCTTGATTTGAGTAAAGAGCCAAGTGCCTTTATACGGACACTTCAGATGCAACGTCGTAGCTAGAATTGGCGCACGCTTCGAAGTGGCCGTTCCCGCCCATGAGCCACAGGCACCGGATGTAGTGGGATATCATGCTGCCGTATAACAAGCTCCCTGAGCCTTTTGTTCCGATCAAATCGTTTCCTAATTCAGCAATTTTAGCTTTTAAAGTGACAGGCCTATACATACTATCTGTTGATAGAAGTATGTGGTAGCACGATGTCGGTTCAGGCTCCAGAGGCAGGCTTGCGAACTGGTGTGAACGCAGTAGTAAAACAGCTGATAGACAGGCATAATTTCTCAGCTGATTAACATTGCTCGGCTGCATCACTGAGCTCTTGCCATTTAAGAAAGCATAGCAGCCGTAAGGATTGGCAAGTACTCGAAAACTTCATCGGCTCGGTGAAAATGTACAAGGTTTTGTACCCTCATGCAAGGAAATGAGTACTCCTTAGGGCCTGGATACCGGAAGAATAAACAATTTAGCGGTGGGTAAGTTCATGTGCCGGATGCCGTCTGCCTGCACAAATTACTTCAGTTCCCGCCTTTATACATGCCCGGACTCATCGGTTTGTGCCGAGATCAGCTTCCCTGCAAGCTTTGGGAGAATTGAGCTGAAGCAGGGCAGTATATCAATACATTAGTATACATTCAGATAGGAAATTTGGTTTAGGAGAGTCAACAAAGTTGATAAAGAGTTGGATTTTAGTACTCTATCTCGTGTCTACCCAATGTGGCTCGTCAACTGGTCGCAGGGCGGGCAACGACACATCGACTAATAGGCCTACTAGTGGGTTTTCCGCAACTGGTGCACTACTTACGGTTTCAGGATCAAATGAACGCAATGCCTGATTATGGGGCTTGAAAGGAATAGCCAAGCTGGGATTCAGAACCGTTGGACGTCGGGGCTGTGTCAACCGGCTCTAGACTCCAGTCCACGGTGGACGCGAAAAGACAGCCGAGTGAACCTGCACTCATATGCAGCCCCAGATAGCCCTTCACCAATGCGGTTTATCCTAGCTGGGTGAACGGGGTATATAATTCAGAGCTGCAAGCGTGTGCAAAACAAAGAGTTTCAGCAACAAAATGGGAACCAGCAAGAGCAGGTTGCTAAGCGAGCAAAGGCGCATCAAGGTAGCAGAAGGACCTCACGCGGGCTATGACGCGGTGAATGGCAAGTAGCTGTGTAGCAGAACTTTCAGCTGCTGCGTATTGGCGAATATGCTCGACATGCTACGCGGATCAACAATCTACGCGGCATTTCACTCAGCAGACGCCCTCTTGGAAATCCCCGTTACCCCTCACACCAAGCAAAATACGACGCACTACAATAGCACTAGGAAGCTTCAGTATGGCTGCATGCTGTCCAGGCTTTTAAATATCTCAGCTAAAATAAACTATCCATATTTTCGGAACTTGAATGAGCCTGTAATGCAGGGATGGATGGGTCTTTATGCATGAAAAAAGCCAGAGTACTCTGGCGAAATGCTGAAAGGAAGCTACAAGTGCATGCGATTCAGCAGGTGGACAAGTAGTGGAATATAAGTTCATGCAAGTGTCTTCAATCTCTAAGAACAAGTGTGCTTCCTTGGTTTTATGTTTTGGTTGCGGAAGCAAGACCAAATCCCGCACAGATTGAAGCAATCACGGCGTGGCCCTGGCTATCACGCAGCCAACGGACGTTGATCAGTTCTCTCAGCCTGCTTTTCATATCGAACAATTGGTTAAATCTACTAGAATTGTTGCTTGTTATCTGAGACGAATAAAACCCAGTTTAAGACCTGGACAGATGGGGCTGATGCGACGCCAGGGACGCTTACTGGCCGCCTTACAACGCTTCCTGTACTTGAACCGCCCGATTGTAAGCTTCACAATAAAAGTCCTAAACACATTTCAAAAAACTACATTAAAGGCCAACAGCCCGTCTGGACATTTAAATGACGCTCATATATATAGTGCCGGCACTTTTTTACGCCTTACCATGCCTCATGGGCTTCCTTTGCCCTCACTAGATACCGATGTTCATTTTACGGAAAGCGAGTCAAATAACACGACATGCTTTAGTATTTGTGGAACCCCGGAGAAAAAACCACCCATTGCCACGTCGTTGCCACCGGCTGTACGGACGAAATCTTAGACTTGTAAGTTGGCTTGGCGCCCTCGTGCTCCACAATTAGGGCCTCTGAGAGCATCAACAAGGTGATTGCCAATGCGCTCTTGCGGCAACCCGGTAATTCATGAGCATGCAGAGAAACTGCACTTCTCTACGATGATTCACGATTTCTATTATAATTTAGTGAGAGGACTCATTCGTTTGAAACCCATGCATCTTAGACGGTTGCCAACATCCAGAATGGCTCAAGAACCAAGCACTAGCGCATTGGCGTTAAGAATAGCCTTCCATAGTTCAAAACAAAGCGAGGGCTCAGTCGCTCGCACAATCCAACTTCTCTCTGCAGTGCCATTTTGCGCAAAGCCCATGGTTATGTACTTTTGGGTTATGGTGGGGTTCACACTACAGTGAAAAGCTCTTACGGTCTGTCGGGTGGCCTGGGGTGTGTCCCGCGGGAGAGAAGTATGCACTGCCATGCCCAGATGGTGAGCAGTGGAATCTACGCAAATCCCTACACCGAGCCTTTCGCTAACCTTCAGGTTCCTGCAAGGATCTGAATAGCTTTGACCACGAACTTTATTGTTGAACTGTGAGAGATTATGGACCAGGATATCATCAACGTCCTTGCCAAAACAAATATGGCTATTTCATGCCCCGCTCTAGCTGTCAGAGAGCAGTGCGTCACTGAATTATTGCAAGATCATATACACAGGATTCCCAAGTATGCGAAGTATCGCTGTGGACAGGGATTGATGACTCATTAGGACGTTCTGGAGTGTAATTACGACCTGTCTACACATTTCTTATGGGGTGACCACTGCGAACCAACCCTGAGGCAGATAGACATATATAACGCACCAAACGCACTCTTCTGCTGCATATGCAGCTCTTTGATAGCTATCATTCAATGGTCGAGCTTGATTTTACTCTCTGTGGTGAATGCTTATATAATAAAGCAGCACACCCACGACTACCCGGCGCCTACCGCACCCCCGGTCCACACTGCTGAGAAACCATTGTCGGATCTCAGCCTGGACCTGCTGCTCCGGGGTCAGCCGCTACACTTACCAGCGGAGGGACTCACAGTGCAGCTTGATAGTGCATGCGATAGTATGTTCAAAGCTTAAGAGACACCTGATTATAGTAAGCGGCGGTCGACTGTACGTTTCGAGCCGGAGAATTGGTCCTGGTGGCACGACAGGCTTTACGAGATGCACAAGATGGCCAGAGGAACAAGCTCGCGACCAGGAGGCAAGAATTTTTGCCATTCTCTCACAAATCAATGCTCTTTCTTACTCTTTTTATTTCCCTAGTGATTGTAGGTGCCGCAGTGCGGTCAACATTGGCTTCCTTACGAAGTTTCAAACCTGTCAGAATTGTTTGCGGATTTTCCCGCGGAGGCATTCAGCCCGAGTGGCGGGGAAAGGTCTACAGGGAGCCGTAGAAGTACAATACTTCGAGAATATTGAACACTGAGGATATTCTAGACAGGAGTGTTCAGCAAAATGAGAAGGGGAATATCCGGCTGAGTTGTTGATGAAGCAGTAGTTGCGAGATTTGCTGGTGGAGAGAGAATTCGCGGCTCTTTTGGTTATCAACGCTAGTTGACATGGGCGATGCTCCCCGCATTCCTTGGTAATTGTTTATCGCCGGCGCATTTTTGCCTGAAAAAGATACTTTCCTATAAGGATATTGCTTGGAAATCCACGTTATTATTGTTATGTTGTTTATCACACTCGGAATAATTAACAAACACTTTCTGGTATGCTGTCTTTAAACCCTTCCCTAGGCCTCTATTGGGGCTCTGATGCCGCCTATGCTGCGTGCATCGGCTGTACTTGCAAGGAAATGGTGCCCTCAGGCGTGGAGGCATCACTAAACAAGAGTGTGTTTGGGTTCCTTTGCAGGAGTACTTGTCTTTTGCTTTCTTTTTCTTATAGCAGGAGGTCCACATCGTTCACCCGTCCGATTACAACAAGACATCACGCTGCCATGGAGCTGTTGGTCTGGTCCCTCATTTGTTGTTTGCTAGTGCGTGTGACCTGTTTCCATCCACTTCTCATTACGGGTTGCTGTCAGGATTTTCTCTCTCAATCTTACTATATTGTGCATTTCTAATTGCCTGTAGAATAGCGATTGAGCAGGGCCTCCCTGTGTGTGGTCTGGATGTACAGGTAGGGAAACTAGGACCAAGGCTTTTGAATTGTGGGGAACGTGACGCGGGTTGAGCTGCCTGAGACACTTTCTACTATAGTAGATATGTTTATTTAGGAATTTTGAAGGAATTTAGAAATCGTTTGGGCTGTTCGCATATCTTCTTAATTGGAGACTACTCTTAGGTTGATACAAGCAGGCGCATTGCTGTGTGCGTGTGCGGTAGATGCCGTGTGCAACTCATTGTACATGCTCCGAGTGCTTAGAGGCTGCAGCTATGCGCACCGTGGCTGTCCCTCTCCCCTCATTTTTTTGCGAACTCTCATGCAGGAGGGCAAGAAAAACAAGAGATGCCTACATGCAAACCACTGAAGAACTTTCTGTGAAGTTTGTATTGAGTACAAATACAAGTGGCTCCCAACAGAGAAAGATTTTAGAGTGCGTTACAAACAAGGTTCCCCACACAACTTCATCCTTCTCCTCCCGTAGACCTTCGGATTCGCTGAAACAAGGGGGATGGGACAGCTAGGTTGGTGCTTAGCTGCACTCTGAAGGCGGTTTGAGTATTCACAGGTAGCTGCGTATGGCATCTACCGCACTCGCACACAGCAAGGTGTCTTCTGCTATCAAGCTAACAAATCCCTCTGAACACAATGAAACACGCAGGCCAAATACTTCATTTAAAATCACCTCCTACTTAAATTCAACTATTATAGTAGTAACCGTTTATGTGTAGCATGTCTAGCAAAATGCAACTGCCTCTGCAGTGCCGCACTCCGCTAGTTTGTAGCTCCAAGCTCGCTTACCAGTACTCCAAATAGGTATTGCTCATAGCTTATGTGTCCATGATGTACACATCTGAAAACTTCGCGACGAGCATCAGCGAGTGTGCAGGAATCCCTGAACTGTGGGGCGGCCGTCGGGAAATCCTAAGCAAATGGCGATCTAAATAGCCTTTTCACCCGCATAACTTTAGACGATACACTTTTTCATTTTGTATTTTCTGCTACTTACAGATAGCAAAGTCTCAAGAGGCAACGTAGAAAAGGCTTCAGGTCCGACGCCAACGGAAGGCGGTCCCCTGTGCGACGCCACGCAAATTCTCTCGCCCTTCAGAGAGTTAGTTCTCCACGGGCAAGAGCAGAACACCACTGAGCAGTATCAGTTCATTTTGTTGTGCCCTTTTTTGCTGTGTAAGGAAGTATTTTTACCTCATCACTTTTTTGAAAAGAAAATGGTGGCCCGGAAATTCCTCGCTCTCGCATGCGCCTCAGTGCTCTTTGGGGATTCCATGGCATCAGATGACACTATTGCAGTCGAACTGAGTATGTGCCTTTATCTGTCCTCCACAAAGAGTTGTTTCTATGTGCTTCTTGAGTAGGCGACTCAATTTCTGAAGTGTGGCAGTGCGACATGTTTGCAGGTGACCATGTCACGTGTCTCAACAAGCTTAACGAAGCCCGCATGGCTGCGGGACTTGAAAATTTTACCGCGGCCACAGACAGTTCTGCTGCGAGTCTTCCCGATAGCTCACAGGACTTTTGGAAACCTGTATGCAGTGCTCTCCTAAAGGTGCGCTGATTTCCACCCCTCCACCCCCGTAGAACGATGCTTGCTTATTTGCGTGAAATTTTTGATAGCGTTGTTTTATGGTTCAGCTTCGCTGGTTTCGCAGAAGTCGACCCTAGACAAGAAGGATTTGGAGGCTAAGTCAGGGACATACGCGTTCACACCCATATCGGATTCTCACACAAAGGACTGCTGCAGATGCAACGAGGCAATAAGAACATGGAAGGCTGCGTTCACCAACTTCACTGGCTTGCCTCCATCAAAAGATGACGGTGTCGATCTCTACAAAGACATTAACAACGTGTCCTTAGTTGCAATGTACAATGCCCAAACCCCGCCCGTTGCGGATTGCAGAATTGTAAAGTGCACAGAGAAGGACACCAATGCTCTGGGAGTTGTCTGTTTGACGACACCAGACGCATTCAAGGATGGCGCTCCCTTCACGTAAGCTGCTTGTCCTTGTCTTTCTGCAAAGCGTTGCTTGTCTTTTCCCTGCGTAGATGCTTCATAGGATCTGTATGCCCTTGTGCTGCCGGTGTGTTACAGGCTAGCCCAATGGGATGCCATCTCTCAGGCCCAAACCAACTAGGCCGGGAGCAGTGTGCCCAGTCTTCTGCTGTTTGCGATGCCGTTTGTTGCTGCTGCACTGCTCTAAGTCGCACCTTTCATGAAGCTCGTTTCTGTGAATTCGTGCACCCAAGTGGATGTACGCCAGTTAGACTGTGATGGTGTGAACAGTGTAGCAGACTGCACATTGATTATCGAGCACTTTTAACGTGGCCATTTCTGGCAAGTGGCCAGCTGGCAGTATGTATTTGGCTTTCATGGGCGAATTAACTTCGTTTACGAGGCGCGCATGTTTTTCATGTTCGCCGCATAAGTTATGGTCTCTTCCCGTAGTACGTATGAGAACGAACGTGCAGTCAACGAACTGCCGCTGGCGCCACTGAACAAAGGCGAGATGGCTGCACAGCGGAATAGTGGGGAACTAGGAGGTGGTATCCTGAACTTGCTGCGCGTTGTATGCATGCGGCAGTTGCTCCAAACGATAGCATACTGTGTACGTAGAGGCAAGGGGTGCATACACAAAATTCAATTATCAGTCAGCATGCCATATGTATATCCGCATTCCGGCATTTTCCCAGATACGAAATAGTTGCACTCGAAAACAATCCGACAAGCGTCCATAGCTCAGAAATTCGTCATGAAAAGATTGGCCACCTTTGGAAATGCAACGACGCTCCAGTGCCGTCCTACAGTACGCAACAGGGCATGCCACAAAGCTAGTGAGGGGGCCTTGTTTGGTCGTATATAATCATCACTTAGCAAGACTAATGCTTGACACGGAAGCAGTTTCTTTAGGCATGAAGCTATCCCTTATCGATAGTACTGCCAACTACAAAAGGCGGACCGAACAATCTGGACAGTGCCTTGGGGGTGTTCGGAAAGTGGCCATTATCTAGAGGAATTCGGTAAGAGAGGAGCCAAACTGAATGCAAAGCCCGTGTTTGGCGAGTATGTACTCTCGACACCTCGCCATTTTTCTCATTTAACGCCCGCAATCAGCGTGGCGATACCTATATTCCTCAACAGCTTGTTATTTCCGCCGTCGCCTGCAGACTGTGGACGGCTTTTTAGCTGTGCAGAGCTGAAAATATGAAACGCATGGACATCTTTTGAATGTTGGTGAGGGTTCGTAGACACTCTTCTTTCTAGATGTAGAAGTATGCTAAGGTTGGAAACGCCTAACGGTTGCTCTGATCGCTCTGGACATTGTGACACGGGAAGTTGGCGGCCCTGATCAATGTGTGTCTTGTCTTGAGTGAGCCTTCGGCTTTTGACCGAAGCGGATGGGCTGAGGACGTATCTTGCGAAATTGATGTACTCCAACCAAGCAAGGAAGAGGAAAGGAAGAAGCCATCTGCAGATAGGTAGGCGTGCAGAAGCAGAGGTTTGGCAAGCCAGAGGCGCTCGCATGAAGAACGAGAGAGCGAAGGAAGGTAACCGGGCAGACTTTGGAAATCTGCATCTCATGTCCATTTTGCACAGCGAACCGAATAAGCACGCTGCAGTCTGGATGCACTGGTGCATCCAGACGCTAGCATCGGGTAGATGTCTGATACAAGTCACGCCGCATCAGCTCTCTGCAGTGTACACCACAGAAATCCGCTAGCTGCGCTTGCTCATCTGAGAGAATATTTTGCCTTTTTAGCTCTCACTTCTGGCAACGAAAGCTGTCTGGAAAAGGCAAATATGGGTTGAGGAAGCCTTTTTGTAGTGGCATCTGCTTAACGCTCTGTGCTCCGCCCCAAAGGCCCCATAACTGTTCACTTTCTCTGTCCTTAGAGTCAGCAGAAACAGACCAAGGTTGTTTTGGACCGAGGTCATCCAGGCAACAGCCACGTAGCGTCTAGCCGTCTCCTAAGGGACTTTTTGCATTCCTGCCTCCCTGTTTGCATGTATCTGTGGTATGTATGCGCGCGTATCATGTGCAATAAAAGTGGGGTTTGAATGCGGGAAATGGCCACAGAAAACAGACGGTCAGGAGAAATGAAAAACATCTCTTGGGCTCACGCGCTACAGCGCAGCGGAGCCAAACAAGCGCATGAATTTGTTGCTGCGTTTCCTCCTGATGATGCCCCCTAATGGCTTTGCTCGGGGTCTTGTTTTGTATCCTGTCCTCTGAATCCCCCACGCCGAGACAGGGGGCCTCGCGATCTTCTTTTGAGAAGTGCCCCCCCCATGTGGGTGTTTTGCAGCGTTCATGGCTTTTCCCCTCACAGCAGGCCTCCACCCCCTCCATCTCGAGGCCCCCGCCTTTCCGAGAGGAGGGGGTTTGGGGGCCCCCAGAGGGCCCCCCTGCTGCGCTGGCTGCATGGCTTGGCCTACACACGCCCAGCACCGCAGAGGCAGGAGCCGCACCTCACCAGAAGGGAGGCGCAAAGTGGCGCTCGTGGCGTCCTTGTTTAAGAGCGTGGCATAGGCCCCGGCAGCCCTTGCCAGTTGTGCCCCCGCTCCTGGTTTGAGCTCAATGGCATACACAATCGTACCAACGGGAATGCGCTGCAGCGGCAGACAGCAACCGGGCTGAATGGGAGCAAACTCGCCGGCTATGATCCTGTCGCCTGGCCGCGTCACTGCAGACACTGGCACGTACGACAAGACCCCATCATCATGCTGGAGGAGGCCGATTCCCGTGGAGTGCGAAGGGTCATGCTCTATTCTAAGGACTGTTCCCCAGATGTCTTTCCTGCTCCTCCTCCAGTCCACGAATCGCAGACGCTGCTGATGGCCGCCGCCGCGATGCCGAACGGTGATCTGACCGGTGCAGTTACGCCCGCCATGCTTCACTCGCCGCGTGGACAGCTGTGCCACGACGCGGCCCTTGAATACCAACTTGCGTTTGCTGCTGCTGCTGGAGGTGCTGCTGCTGCTCAGCCCCTCCTTCGCCAGCTGGTCCAGCAGACGCTGCTGCTTGGCCATGGTGAAAGGGGCAGGGGCCGTCACATCGTTTGGCCCTGGAGGGGGCCTTGGGGGGGCCCCCGTCTCGAGGAGAAGTGGCGGAGGCTGGTTGCGCCTCCAAAGCGCCTTAGGGGCATAGTAGCCCGAAAAAGCGCAAAGCCCTCCGCGAGCCGCTAGGGGGGAAACCTCTGCGATCGGATCACATGGGCGAAAGAGGGCATGAGAAAGCCAAGGACTCGCTGCACTGACTGCGCATGCAGGGGCTGGTGGAGGCGCTTTCTGTGTATCCCATGCCACCAGGAAGTTCGAGCTCCTACGGTGCCCCTGAACTGCGGCACAAGCGCTCGATCGGCCTAACCGCGTGCGCAGAAAATTTGATTCAGGATGTGCTCCAAGTCCATGTTTTGTGCATGCGGAGGCCCTTAGGGAGCAACGCAGCACGGAGGCCATTTGGCCTGAAGACGCACTCCAACGGCCCCTGATGGGGGGGCCTTAAAAGGCTGCAACACACTAACTGTGGGTGTTTCTTAATCATGAAAAGTGCAACGTGCTGGACAAGCACGAAACTCTCCTGCGGTTAGGCCACCGCACGGGGGTCACGGAGGCTCCCCTCGAACATGCAAGGGGCCCCCTGTCTGGCCTGCTTAAAGGGGCCCCCAGAGGAACTGGCCGATGGGGTCTAGGGATTTCTTGAGGAGGTCAGCGCCTTATAAAGCTGCTAGTATCACGTAGATGTTTCTTGCCCAGAGGCTGTTTGTGTCCGCTGACTTGCCCGGTTCCTACCTGGTAGGCTGTGGCATATGGCCAGGCTTCGTTCCGAAGGTCAACTAGAATTTATGTACACACTCAACACATGGACTTACCGCTCCTTCTGCTGTGTCGTGAGGATGAAGGCTAACTTTACTTCAAGGTAGTACAGATAGCACTATGCTTGCAGCTGTAAGTCAAGCTACTGTGGGTTTAGCGGGCCACGCTGCGCCTTATGCAGTTTCCACAACCCGACGTATATTCCCAAAACTTTTGAAATATTGAAGGTAGTACTTGGTGCTCATATTTTTGCTTGCTACACTACGGAGACGGGTCGGCTCTGCACCATTATAATGTATGCTGTGCCTGAGAGCTGAATGCCCCTCATCTTAGCCTATGGGCAAATGCCAGGAGCACTCAGAGAGTGCAGAGCCTAACCGCTCTATCTCTGTTGTCCCCCCAGTCTGGAAGCTTGTGGGTTGACGGCAAACACAGGGTTGAGATTCAAGGAAGGAAAGTAGAATTGCGCTCGTTTATGTTTTAATCATGTACGAGGGCGGATGGTTCTTAATGGAGATACCAAAAGGAACGCTGCAAAGAGGGGTTATTTGGCTAAGCAAGCAGGAAGAGAAGCGATATTGTCACTTTCGATGAAATGCAAGTAGCGTAAGCTCCTGCGCATTGCTGTGTTTGTGTATGTATGCGCGCTTCCGACTTGCTAGCCGGCCGTTATCCGCGTGAGCCTGTAGCCCATATTCTTTATTCCACTGCTCTACAAGAATACAGACTCTTTGATTCATCCTTTTGTCTATCAAATGTTGGTTTCTCGTTGAGGATAACCCGCGAGGCGAGCATGCGTTCGCTGACAGTAAGGAGCTATCGCGCCGTTCTATGTGGCGTGCCAGCATGCTATTTGTTTGAGCCACATACCAAGGAGGCACTCCATAAGGGATTGGTGATAAGCAATCTTTAGTACTGCACACATTTCACACCAGTGCGCCTATAAGGAGACCCGTAATCTGGATTAGCGCTTGAGCCTAAGAAGGCAGCTCCCAGCGGTGGCCACGAATCAATAATTACCCTGTTCTGGCCCCGAATCACCAGAGACTCGGACGCAAGGATCCAAAAATGACAGACGGGCTCCAATGATAGTGATTCTTAAACTAGTCCACGCATATGCACGCAGCTGCTTTGCTACAAGCATGCACCACAGGCTTCTATTGTTGCCACCCTCCTTTCTCGTGAAGCAGGCATAGAACAGCTCTCATGCTGCATATCAGCTTTACAGACAGCAGAACTAAGCACGAAGCAGCATTACGGGTAATGAAGGCCTACAGAGTAGTTTTCCTGTACTCATTTCCCGAGCTAATGGGCATACCATTACGCCCAATGCCAAAATGAGGCTTCCACACCTTTTGATAGATCAGCAGAGTAGCTTCAGCCTTCCGCCATCAACCTCATTATTGAAGAAAGCCTCATATGTCAATAATTCAACGTCACACGTAGGGAAATGGGCCATGAAAAGTAACAGATGGTCAACTGCACCGCCTGGATTAACAGAAAACTGCACAGCACTAACATGCGACGGTGCTCTCCATCTCGGTTGCTTCGGCGGCGCAAGCAGGGCTACGTACCGTGTTAGCAGCAAAACAGAAATTGTGCAGAAGGGCAGGATGAGTCATTATGCCTTGCTACCCCATCTGCCAAATCAAAATCTGTTCTGCTGTTCGGCACCACCCGGGTGCTCCATAGCCGGCGGCTAAGCCCCGAAACTACCAGAGACACGAAATGTGAGGCAACATAGCCTTAAAGTTTTTCCTTTCGGCCTGTGCCGAGGTGCCTATGCAGCAGATAGCTAGGACGAATTGACAAGCTAGGAGTGAAAAGGAAATTCGGCACTTACGATGAGAAACGGTTCATTGTGTCAACGGGAGCCGCGTCAACTGGGCAAGCAAATACTATTGGAGGATCGCAGGAATCAATACAGGCTTGGCAGAATCGAGCTGGTACGCATTTTGTCGCGAATTTCGCTGGCAGCTCCCGTCTGATGCACTTGCTGCTGGGTCGAGTCCTGCCTCCCTGCATATTTCGTTATTGTGAATCTTGTGTTGCTACACGAATCGTGGCAGACTCAGAGAACAAGTAGGAGTGCTCTGAAACTTTGCTCCAGGCCAGAAAAGGTGTTTCTTTTGCACATGCCCACCTTCGGGAAGTTGGTGGCTTGCAAAAGAGTTAAAGCCCTTACTAAATGACAGTGCATTCAAATATATCCAGCCTCAGACTTAAATCCTGTGCATTTCGCGGGACGTGGCAACGGCAAAGCCAGTGCAAGTGAAATACTGCCTGTTCGCGATGTGATGCCAACCAGAAAGCGTTGGGCACCCCACCGCAAACAGTGAAGTGTATTAGTGACATGAATGGTGGACATGACTTTAAGAGACCATTTTGAGACGCAATGCAGTCTAGGCGTGGCAACAGATTTCGTGGAGTTTTGCCTTGTCGAGGGGGATAGCGGCAGGCGGCGTTTATTAAAGGCCTTCGCCCCTGATCGTACACTTCAAGGCGCTTTTCGGATGCACCCACGACCTAGCTGGACTAGTGGGTAATCGATGAGATGCTCCAAGAAATCCTGCTGCCGGGCCTGCTATGTAGTCGGGGTGGTGGCCGTGCTACTCGACAAGTGCAACCTTCCAGCAATGGTTATAACTAATGTCTCAGGATTAAAAATGGTTCTGGATGCCTTGAAAAGTTTGCAGTCCGGATGATCGCAGAATATACTTTATGTGCCCTAGAGGGTGCAGTTTTTCAAGACTTACCTTGGGCCTCTTCGTTCAATTCTCAGCTTGGCAAGGCGGTATGTATTTGTTGGATAAGGGGGGATAGACAAATACGAAGGGGGTGCCTTCGATGAAATGCAGACGTCGCGACCATCTACCATGCATTACTGCCTTTTTGCATGCATGTGAGTGTGTGTGCTAGTGCGTGACTGCGTGCATGCATGCTTCCAACTCGCTTGATTGTCTTACGAAGCCAGAGGCTATAAGGTGCCAAGGGGTTTTTGCCCTGCCGTCCTCCACTTGGGTGCCGATAAACCAATATGTACGACCCCCTGTTAGAGGCGCCCTAAAAATCGCAGCAGCTCTGGCTTATTGCAGACACCTTCGCGTTTCTAGAGGAGCGTTTTCTGCACAGCACAATAGCCTCTGCCCAGCATCACATGTGCTCAGCGGTGTACACTTCCCAGCTTCCCAAAACTGACGGAGCTTTACGGTGGCCGTCCAGAGCACCAAGCCACTAATCCGCAGGAAGTCGCCTCTACGGGAGGAACCAGACGCTAGGCGAAGGTGCTCTAGAAGAACCCAAGCAAACATGAACATGAGGAAAATCATGCCCGCGTCCGCCGCACGTGATGCCGAGTTACAAGCAGTGAAGTACTTCCGTTGCGTGCCCCCCCTAGAAGCAGCCGCCGCAGCTTCGCCCCCTTCCGGCGTCGCGTGAAGGCATGCTATCATGCCAATTGTATCTTTTGATAGAACAGCAACAGCTGTTGGTTTTAAATGGGCAACCGCGCCGACCCCCCCGCCGCTGCCCCTGGATACGTGTGCCACAGCTCTGGCTGCCGGCCTTTTTTCCCGGCCTACTCCTTTCCGATCTTTCTGTAAAACAACAACCCCTCATCCCATTCCTTGCTTGCTCGCCCCTCTTGGCCGTATTGGCTGCACGAGGGGCACCAACACCGCCCGCAGAATCCTTAGCGGCATCGGGCCTGTACGCCATACCGAAGTGTTCAGAGTGGTTTCTCACGGGAGAAATCCACGGCCCCCGTTTGTTGCGGTGAACGAGAAGCACAGGCCAACCCAGATGAGCTATGGCTGCTGCGGTCGCCACTGGTAGCGCCTGTGTTTGCGCCGTTATGGCCGCATGTACGGCAGCAAAAGGCGACTTGGCGGTTGTGCGGGGGCGCTTCATACGGGCAAAGGAAAAGAAAAGAGAACTAGAGAGTAGAATATTCAACGGGGAGTTGCTGTGCACGAACCCCGCCCATAGAGGAAACAGAAAAAGGCCTCCCTACAGCTGCCCCCTCCCTCCCGTCCTCCTTAAACACCGAGTAGCAGCGGCAGCTGCTGGACAGGTTTATCAGGACACGGGAGAGAAGGACGCAGGAAAAAATAAGGCCTACGGGTAGTCCTCTATAACTGCTGCTGCTGCAAGCCGCAGTGCAGCGCATGTGTTCATGCTTGTCAGTGCGCACCGAAGGCGGCATATGCAGGCGACTTTTCTCCCCGCACCGCTCCTAGGCATACGCGCCGCCGCCGCTGCATGCAAGAGGGCGCCCCTTCGGGGCCCCCCACACGCAAACATAACTCTATGATGGGCTCTATCACCTGCTGCGGCTAGAACTCGCGGCAATCAGGGGATGACGGGCGGGAGAAAATCCAGGATTCCAATGCCTGCAGGCACCCGATGGGAAGGCGAAGTGTGCAGGCTGAGAGGCCGCCACTCTCAGTTAAGGAGGGAGGAGAGGCCTGCAGTGGAAGGAAGCCCCAAGACCCTCGCGAGCGTGCTGCTGCTGCTGTTACAGCCAGGACGCTTGAGTGGGTGAGCGCTCAGCGTCTCGTTTCCGGAAAAGAGAGGTGAAGCTCCACGGGGGTGGTGTGGTGTGGATGTTGATGTAATGTGAGTGTGTACTTGAATGCCTGAGAGGAGCCTGAGCCACCTCGAGCGCCTCCAGCAGAACCAGATGCTGCTGCTGGAAAGGGCCTCTTTCTATTCTCACTATATATATATATATGTATCTCTTTATGCGGCAATGGCCCTTTCGGCGGAAGGTTGTGGCGACAGTGTGTGGGATGCTACCCCCGAATGCCGCGACTCGAGACTGGCCCCAGGGTTCGAACGGTAGCTATCTTGCCTTTGCTGCTGTGCACGCAGGCTGCTGCTACCCGAGCGGCTCGGCTGGGCAGGAGGCGTATTAGTGTCTACCGCTGTTTCGCCCGCAGCTGCGACAGCACCACCTGCAGTAGTGTCAGCCTGCATATTCGCGCTGGCAGCGGGCGCTACGGGAGCTGAGGGGTTACCGTCTGGGATCTCGTTGCCCTCATCATCTAGCCACGCAATACGCCTTCCCGACTCCCATATGCCGCGCTTCTTTTCGCCGCTGCGAGACGTAAACTCCCCCGGCCCATGCTGCTTCCCATTAAGCCACCCACCCGTGAAAGCCCTCCCGTCAGTCCACAAGAAGGTCCCCTGGCCTTCCTTTTTATCCGCCACATAGCCCCCAATATACTTCCTGCCGTCTGCCCACGTAAACGTTCCGTGCCCCTGCATTCTGTTGCTCTTCCACTGGCCCTCGTAGCAGCGGCCGTCTGCCCACACGTACCGCCCCTCGCCGTCTATCTCGTTCGCAGTAAAGTTGCCCGTGTATCGCGAACCTTCAGGCCACGTGAAAGTGCCAGGCCCCTCCTTCTTCCCATCCACGTAAGTGCCTTCGAAGTGCGAGCCGTCTGCCCACCGCTCTCGCGCCTCGCCGTGCTTCTTGTCATCCCGCCAGCCCCCCCTGTACTCACTGCCGTCCGCATGCCGGTAGACGCCGTAGCCATTGGCCTTGTCCGCCTTCCACTCCCCGTCGTAGTAGTCTCCGTCCGCATGCGTAAAGACACCGTGACCCTCCGCATACCCCCCCACCCACTCGCCAACGTACTTGGCGCCATCCGGCCACTGCTGCACACCGTAGCCGTGCTTATTGCTGCCTAGCCACTGCCCCACATACGTTACGCCGTTCGAAAGGGTAATAACCGGACGCGCAACCAGGCCCCCCTCCTGAGGCTCGCCATCAAGCTCCCCAACTTCCAAAGGGTTGCTGCCACCCCCCATTTCATACCCACCCGCCGCAACAGCGTCTCCCTCCGCATCGTGCTGCGCTCCTAGCATGCCGCCCCTAGAAGGGACTGCCGTCGTCGTGCCCCCCCCTCCCCCCCCCGCCAAGGCTCCCGAGTCGCCACCCCCACCATCCAACATGCCGGAATGGCCTCCAGCCATGGAAGAACCACTACGCCCTCCGTCGGCAGAGGCCTCCACTGCGAGAGCTCCACTCCCCGACTGCGCATCGGGCAGCGGTGAGACAGCCTCCCCAACAAGCGCGCTCGGCGGATCCTTCCGAACGGCCCCGGGCTTCTTCGCCTTCGCCTTACTCTTGCAAGCCCCCATCGTGGTTTTTCTGCTGTTGTTCTGGCGCTCGCTCCTCACCTCGTAACGTGCCCCTGGCGAATACTGCCGACCCCCGCACCTGCGCTGCTAGTCACACGCCCAAAGAAAAAGCAAACCTACGCTCTCCAACTTTACGCCAAAATGCCGCTGATCGCCGGAGGAGCTGGCGATCCACTCGCAGGACACCCCGGAACGCCCTCTCTGTCGGCGCTACACTTACTGCCCCGAGCCGAAGGCACCTCCGCAGCAGCGGAGGCAGCAACTGCTGGCAAGCGAAAGAAACAAAGACACAGATTTGGCCACCCTTTTAGGTGGAACTGATCAAGACGTCCGAGCGCCGGTTACTATTCATTAGTTCTATTGGCAACTGCTCCCTCAGCAGCTTACCGCAGCAACAACAAAGAGCGAGGCACGCTTTGCTACCCGCCCCGCCGCTGCCGCAGGTGTTCAGGATGGATGTAGTCGTCAGAATACATCCACAAAAACAAACAGTATGGCAGACGTGCGCAAAGGCAACGGCAGCTGCTGCTGCCGCCGCACCGCAGCCACGCGGCAGCAGCGACTCCGTATTACTAGTGCGATGCGGCGCTACCGCTGTGGCTGCGGATCCTGCCACCGGAAATACTGTGCTTTGATGGAAACTTTGTATGCACGAAGAAAGCCCCATGCTTTCAGCTTACTCTTTTGAGAAACGAGCCGTGCGGAGTTGTAGGAAGGGCCCCAAAACTCGGTGCAGCAGCAGCAGCAACAACAGCCGCAGCTGCAGCAGCAGCAGGCGCTACAGCAGCGACCTCCGCTGTTGGGTGGTCTACAGATCGCAGTAGCCGCTGTGGCCACAGTCCCTTAGATAGCCACTATCAAGACTTCCTGTTGTATTCGTCAATACAGGTGCATATAAGAAAGGGGTCTAACCCCCGCTCCTCGCTTCGCTGCCCCGAACCACTCTGCGCCGCGGTCAGAGCTGGTGCTGCTCCTGTTCAGGGGGTCGCTCTCCACGGCACGGCTGCTCCATAACTGGCGGTCAAACTGGGATTGTTAAGGCTCTACATGAATTTGCAATGCCAAGTCCATCTCGGCTAGCCTTGCAGCAGCAGATTGTGGTGGTATTGTGCGCGTTCAGGGGGCGAGAGACCCCCTATCGAGTTGGTAGGTAGAGCTGCGGCAGCACAGCACCAGTGAAGGGTGGCATTTTCTTAGCCGCCTTACTTAGGTGGTTGCTGCTGCTTCTTTAGCGACGGCAGCGGCACAAGTCTGAGAGGAAACAGGTCTCCTTGCGCCCCTCTAATGTAGGGTCAGTGGCCTTCGTCTCTGATTGAGCTCCCCTGATTCACGATGACACCAATTGTGTGGGGGCTACTGGTGCTGCAGTTGCTGCTGCATGTCGCAGCAACTGAGCCTACAGGCCTTGCTCCCATCGTACGGATGGAAAGTATGCAGCCGCCGTTTGAAGTGAAGCCTCTGCAAGGCGGAACGCGGCGCAGAGGAAATCGAGGGGCGACGAAGGCGTCTCTGAAGGGGCCGCCACCCTCAGGCTCTAGCGTAGAGGCTCAGGTAGCGAGCATTCTGTCGGACTTACCCATTATTTGGGCTTCTTCCTGGCGCCCGGTTGTGTTGGGGGCGACGCCTAAGTCTAAGGCGGAGCGAGAAAGCGTTTTTCATGAAGTGGTAAGCGCCGTGGAAGTGCACTGCCGCCAGCAGCTGGAAAACACGGGCCTCATGAATCACGCAGCAGCACAGAACGCAATCGAGGCGGCCGTGAGGTCTATGAGGGATGCTGTCCTCATCCTGTTGTCTTTGCGGGCTGGATCGGGCATTCCGTCGCTCACGCAGAAGGCAATCCCCACGCCGTGCCCCTCTATGTACGACGATCCAGTCAGTCCTGTTTCGGCTTTAGATGACGAGCAAATGCTTCAGCAAGTGCAGCGGCGGGAGGGGCTGTTGCTGCCGCCCTTGGACGCCGTTGCAGGCAGCCTGGCAGAGTCCGCGAACGCCTTCACCAGAGAGGCGATCCTGCAAAAGCAGCAACAGCAGGAGTCTTGGGCGAGCGCCACGTGGCGAAATGCTGTAGAAAAGCTGGAGCGACTTATTCCTTTGTCAAAGACTTCCTCCGCCGGGCCGGATATGAGGCAGTAGAGCGAGCCACTGCACATGTGCCGAACCACCGCCAAAGGTCTTACCGAACGAAAACGCGGCTTAGATGCGAGGCGCAGAGGGCGTAGCAGTATTAACGTGAGGTGGCAAGCGTCGTGCTGAGTAGAGGGGGCCAGTGTCCATAGCGTCCAGCTATTTGCAGTCGGCGGTGCCACTGTCCTCTAGTCCCCCTTTTGCAGTTGATTTTGTGTGTATATGTATGCGCGCGCTCCATGAGGCCGCATCAGCGGCTCCAGAGAAGGGCTGCGTGCCTGAACTTACGGCCATTATCTTTGACCCGTTGCGTTGGGGGTGGGAGGAGTGTGTGTGTTTGTGTATGCTGGATCTAAGGCGTTTGGAGGGGGCCCATCAGATGAAGGAGTTCCTTTCTTGATGGGGTATTTGGCTTGTTCGGTTGATGGGGAGAGGCCTTGTGTCTTCTCTGCAACAACTCGCCGCACTGAAGTTTGCTTAGCGGTGTTGGGGTTTGATCACTGGAGGCAGGCCCTTCGAAGGGTGCCCACCAACTGTGCTTTCAAGATGTAATCCTGTATCTGCTGCTGTCGGGGGCTAAGGCAAATTTTCGCCGTCAACGGGCAACCGCAGTCCGCTGCAGGAGCAGCGACCTTAACACAGAAAGCTGGCACTTCTACACTCGCCGTGTAGCACAACGCCAGTCTGCATGGCACGAGACGTGAGGCACCTATAGCCTAGGTTTGGCCAGAGCAACTTTCCAGTCTCCCTTCCCGCCGCCCTTCCACGACTCGAGTATGTAGTGTCGGGTAAACACAGCGCTTAGGGTCGCAGTTCGCCTTGACAAGAACACAGCACACGAAAAAGGGGCCTTTCCTTCATACGCGGTAGCGCCGTCAGGAGTCCTTAGCAGTCGTGTTGCGAGGGCTGCTGGAAAAGGCTGTGGCTTCTTCGAGGTTCTTAGAGCCTGATTACTTCACAGGGGAACCGGCATGCTTCGCCTCAATCCCTCACTTGACCCAGCAAACGCTGCCACCTCAATCATCGGGTAGAAAGTTTCTGACTGCCTCAGACTGCAAACAATGTGAAGTGCCATGCTAGAGGACCCCGTCAGGGATGTGCATAAAGTCGCCTGCAGTGAGGGGTGTGGCGAGACTGTTCTAAGCGGACGGTTGGGCCAGCAGGGCTCGCCGCCAATTTCTACCACTGAGCAGGCAGCTGCCTGCTCAGTGCGCATAAGCGCTGTAAAACAAACAGATGGCTAAATTGGAAGTGTTCACCCGTAGTCTTCTCCCCTTTTTCACGCATTGCTGGGGGGGAGGGGCCGCCCCCCCAGCAGGGAGGCTCATGGGGGGCTTGCTCTTATTGTGCGTTTCCCAGCAGGCTGTGCCACAGGGTAGGTGCAGGCAGATGAGGCAATGCAACACGCGTGGCTGAGGCTTAGCACTCGTTACACGCCATATAGAGCACTGAATCAGGAACTCACTGCAAGGGCCACGAGCAATCACTACATTTAATGGGGAGTTGGGGGTTGGGCGTGTCCTGCTTGCTCAAAAGCTCAGGATTACGCTGACTCCATACCGAGAGAGGATCATGCTCATATTCACTGCAGCCCAACTGTTCAGTACAGGCGTTCAGTACAACAGGGTCTTGTCAGAGTCGACCTGCTCCCTGTGACACACCTATTTGGCAGCGTTCTGGTGCTGAGCCGTTGCTACAAGCGCCATCGCCGAGCGGCGGTATCTAATGCGAGAAATAGAACACCATGAGTTGTGTCGGGGCATGGAAAACCGCCAGCACCGTTTATATGGTCGTCATTTTACAGTCCAGACAGAACTTCAGTCATACGTTTACCCTAGTAAAGAATTTTTACCCAGAGTCGTTCGCTGGCTTGGCCTCCCCGTGCAGTTCGACTTTATTTTAGAGTAATCTTAGGGCATCACCAACGTGGTCACCGACCTGCTCTCACGATGTCCCATTGCTTCATTATTGTGCAGCGCAACCGCTTTTCTATGCGGTGGTTCACGGTTGCTGTCGACATTGCGCTACTTGATGCTTTCAACACTTGTGCGTCCTCTGCTGTTGCCAAAGTCTAAAACTGCACAAGGATTAGACACTTGACAAATTCGCCGTAACGATGGCCTGTTGCGGTTCAAATCGAAGCGCGGCCTCCGTCACTTATACGTGTTGACTTCGTTAGGCTTCGTGTCCAGCACAGGGTCACATGCTTTTTGACCGTGGGGGGACTTACACTGCAATGGAAAAGCTTTAGTGGGTTTTCGGGTGGCCTGGCATGCGCTTCACTGCAGAAAAGTATGTACTATCATGCCTAGATTGCCCGCAGCTGATCGGAGGCTTTGGCGAACCTTTCGATTTCTGCGAGGATTTGGAGTGCTGTGCCTACGTACTCTAGTGCTGGACCGCCGGAGGCCAAGGATGAGGATAGCATCTTTGTCCGTGTTAACAGACGGTGCAAACATGCCAATTTCATTCCTGTTTCAGCTTTGTCACAGCTCAGGAAGTAGCTTACTTATTCTTAATTCATACTTGAAAGCTTCCCAAAATGCCAGGAGTGTCGCTGCGGAGAGGGATTCGAAAGTTGTTCGGGAATTCTGGTGAGCCTTTTTTGACTTGCCTACTCATTGACCATAGAATGTCTACCATCAACCGCCCTGAGGTAGATGGAATAGCAAAGAGCATTAAACGCACTTTTTTGCAATACATGAACTCCAACAAAAATCCACTTGCCTGGCTTGGGTTTCTTCCTTATGCTGAGTGCGTTTAAAATGAAGCAGCACAATGGGCTACCCGCTGCTGTCGCGTATCCCTGCTCTACATTGAGAAAGCTTCCTCATGTACAAGCCTGCGGCTGGCGGTTGAAGGTCACTAGCTGTCCTCAACAGCGGAAGGACTTGGAGAACAGCTGGCTAATATAGGCGTATTCATGCGCAAGGCCCGAGAGAGACAAGAACAGAATTATGCTAAGCGGCGGTCGGCTGTGTGCCTTCAGTCACGTGAGCTGTCCTAGTGGCTCAGCAGGCTTTATGAGGTGCAACAGATGATTACTAGAGGAAGACGTTGGCGGGTAAGTTACTAGGATCATTGCTGTCCTCTCACGACTAATAGATCTTTCTTACTCCCTCGATATTCCTAAAAGTTAGAGGCGCCGGATAGTCATCAATATTGAATCTCATGGATAGTTTCAAAGCAGCCAGAATTGTTTGCGGAACTTTCTGCCCATGCAATCAACCCGTGTGAAGGCGGGGGATATACAAGGAGCGGTAGAAGTGCTAGACTGTTGGACTGTTGAGCGCTGAGGACACTCTAGACGGAAGTTTCTAGTAAAATGAGGTGGAGAACACTGACTCCAGTGGCTCACCGAAAAGAAGTGGCGGGCTTTATTGCTTGAGGGGTACTTTGCAGCTATGCTTGGCTAGCAACGCTAACTGCCATGGACAGAAGTTCCAGCATTCCTTGGTAATTGTCCTTTGCCAACGCATGTTTTGCCTGGCATAGCTGCCTTAGTCTATGGGTATTTCTTGAAAAGCTCAAAAATATCATTGTTACGTTGTTTGCCACACTCAACTTTTTGCGAGGCACTTTCAAGTATGCTGCACCTACATGGAACCAGATGCCTCAATCGGGCATTCGGAAATCGACAATGCTGCATGCAACGGCTGTATTTGCATGCAGAAACAGTTCTATGAGGATCAGAGGCGCTGCTGAAAAAGTGTGCAGAGTGACGGTGTTGCCCATCTTACTCGTCATCTGTTGTTCCTCAGCAGGAGGCCCACACATTTAAGCGCTTTGGCGACAGCGAGCCATTGCTCTGCCACGGGATTGTCGGTTAGGTCCTTCGTTCGTTGTATGCTAGTGTATGTGTCTTTCTTGCTGTCAATTATACTTCAGCGATTGGTACACATATTAATTCTCCTCATTTGCACTGTTTCAGCGTTTCTGCATAGCTGGGGATTGGCGAAAGGACTGAACTCCTCTGGTGTAGTGTAAGCAGTTGGTCTTAAACTACAGGCTCGGAATGCGAGGATGTGTGTTTTTGTGGGATGGCGGCGGATGTGGCGGGCTTCGCTACAATGAAAGTCTTTCAACCACAGTTGTAATATTCAATCACGGATTAGTAAAAATCTGTGTCATTGATTTGTGTTTTAAATATCGTTTTTTGCAGAGTGCTATTAGCGTGATACAAGAAGACGCATGGCTGCGTGCTTGTGCGTCAGATGGTATGTGTATTTAACTGAGTATGCTCGATGTGCTTAGCAAGTGTGGTTATGCGCAAACTAGCTGCCCGACCCCCCTATGTCGATAGGCTAGAGCGCGCACGCGAGGGAAGGGGAAATTTATCCGAAAACACTAAAGAACTTTCTGTGAAATTTGTATTGGGTGTACAGCTAAGCTTCTCTTCATGGAGGCCTCAGATGGAGCTTAACACACGCGGTATGCGGGAGCAGGGCAAAAGGTGAAAGTGTAAAAAATGGTCGCTTGTACGGTCTGCTTGAAGACATTTAGACTCCACGTCCCCTAAAAGCATCTCCTCGAGTCAGAACAGAATGAAGTCCTTTGGAACCTCCTTGGCCATTGGACTGATTGCCACTTCATGTCTGGTATTCAGGGAAGTCCACAGTTGCACGATGTGCCTGAAGTCATGTGCAGGGTGTGCAGTAGTTTAGCTGTCTAGCAGGATTGGAAACTGTATGCTGCGTAACCCAACGAGGCAAATGACGAGATCACAGGAACTGGTTCAGTGATATGGGGTATACCTTGTGATCTAATGCGCAAATCGTTACGGTGGCTTGTTTCTGCCCTTCTTCGAATCCTTCTGAGGCAGCAGCCCCCAGCGCGAGGTCAACACCGCTTTTTTTCAAGGCCAGTACTTGAAGGGGGAGCAGATGCCTATGACTGGCATCAATTTGGCTTGCGAGCGCCAGTGCCGGTTGGAGGTGATAAAGCCTATCGTTTGACTTAAGGGCACAGCGTTTCCAGGGTATTGATGCTTAGCAACACCGCAAAAGTCATGGAAGGCATGACACCACGACTCCGCGGTTGCTGAGACCCTCCTAAGGGCCCGCTAGCCCGCACACGGCACGTTTCTGTGTTGATTCCAATTAAATTGCACACATAAGCTTGTGTTGTTGTTCGAAAAAGGCCATTTCTTGAAAGAGGACTGCGTAGCTAGTAGCCTCGCGCTTCCCCGAAGAAGCCCACCTGCTCCAGTCGCTCTAACCGTATGCAAGTGTGCACACGAAATACACCAAAGTAAAGGCTAGCTCGTCAGAGACTGCAGGTACTAGCCCCGTGAAGGATATGGTCTAGCAGAAAGGTGTAGAGAACGCTTCCACCAGAGCATCAAAGCCTCCTGGATCGTAAGAACGCCAAATCTTTTCTGAAAAGTTCACAGGCGTCTGCAGGAGGCGCGCTGAGGGGAGGTGGTGCTGGGAACCGGAAGATGAAAGACACACAGTGCCTCTGCCTGCCAGTTTCCCTCAGGTCTGGTCAAGAAGAGAAGACCCACATAGAGCCTTTGTCGCTTCATAAGTGGCTAGCAGCACGGCACAGGACGGCACGATCTTGAGGAGCCGCGGCAACAACCCAACCCCAAACCCCCTGAAACCATTGGCACCATACACTTCAGTACAAGCCTCCCTGACCCCCCGGAAGAAGTACCAGAGGGGCCCCCCGCTGGCCGCCCCGGAGGGCCCCTGAGGCCTTAATTGAGACGCCTGCACCCGCGTCTTCACCACATCGAAGGGATGTGTCAAGACGCATGCAACTGCTGCCGAGCTGGCCCCCGACAGAAAAGGAATGACAGCCCCATCTCGGAATCGCTGCACAGAAGTGCTGCTGCTGCTGCTTTCGCTGCTGTCGCCGCTGCCTTCACTGGCCACAAGCAGACGCCGGAAAAAGCGTGTGGTTGCTGTCGTCAGAGGCCAATAGAACGCAGAGAACGGCGCATCCCTTATAATTGTCGGAACAACCCCTTTGAAGAGCCCCCCAATGCCTTCTGCCTTTATTGTTTCCCGTATCAGCGAAATCGCGGCCGGTTTGGAATCGCCACCACAGCAGCGTGCCTGAACCTGCGTCCTCACAAGCTCTATAGGGGCCGTGCAAATAACTGCAGCAGTGCGTGCAGCCACCCCCGCAACAGCAGCAGAGCCCTCCGGATCTCTGCGTTCATAAAGCGTAAAGAAGATGATGTTGGCGGGGACGAGGACGCCCACAGCGGGCCCCACACCCCTCCAGAAAATCAAAGGCCCTTTAGCGCGATACAACTTCGTGGCAACTTGGAGGCTGCTCATGTGGGTGCTTGCTCCTCCAACCTTCGCAGAGGGCTGCCCCGCCCTAGAGCTGCTGCTGCCGCTGTGGAGCGCTGCACTACCCGCAGTCGGTGAACACCGAAAGGGGCCTGAAGCAGCGGCTGCATCGGGAGCAGCAGCTGCAGCGGCAGCAGCAGTCCCGGCGGGAGACGCGATGGCAGTGTACTGCCAGTAGTTCTTGACAACATCAAAGGGAGTGCACAGCAACGCAACAAGCGAACCACTCAGCGCACTGCTCACACACACCTGTTGTATGTCCATTTCCCCAAAGGCAACAGTCGTCGCAACAATGCAGTGGTGCTGTGGGGCTTGCTAGGCGTGACGCCAATGCTTGTGAAGAGTATCCTGTAGGTCGCTGCTCCTCGACTGCGCGTGCTGCTGCTGCTGCTGCTCCGGAAGTGCAGCGTTGGGCCCCATCAAGGGGTAGCGGAGTGACGTTGCGATGCGTGCTTACGCGGCCGCTGTGGATACGACTGCAAAACGAGAACGGTGTGTTGCTGCTGCTGCCTTATATTTTTTAGAGGTGCCTTCTGCTGGCACCCCTTAAAAGTGCAGCTTTGCCTTTTGGGGGCGTGGCGTGATGTCCTCTTGCTGTGTTGCAGTGGGCTGTATTTTCCTGCTCTTTTCTTCTTCCGTTGCTCCTGCTGCTTTGGGTGTGCATGAAGACGCGCAGGGGCACAGCGGCGAGCGAGCAGGATGCGCAGCAGCTGCTGTCTCGCAGCACTCCTGCCACTGGTGCTGCTCCAGAAGGCAAACCGAAGGCGAGTGCAAGAGGTCCTTGGACAGAAGCTCTTTCTGCCATGCAGCTGCGCCTTCTGGGGGTGTCGTGGCGATGCGTCTGTTGCCGCCGCTCTTGCCGCTGGTTAGCCCCCCCGCGAACGAAGGTCCAACAATATCAGAAAGCAGCGTCAATGCTGCTCTAATATCAAGGCTGGCTTCCCTCTGCTCCGCGTTCCCGTCCTGCTGCCGCCACTGCATGCAGCGCAGGGATTAGTACGCTAGAAGCACTGCCCGTGAGCAGCCGGCAGAGCAGTGATTCCGCCTTCACATAGCTTTCGTGTTCAATTGTGCGGAGAAAGGAAGCGCAGGCAAAGAGCTGCAGCGCCGCCAGCAAAGGACAGAGGGCCGTGCAGCCGGTACCGAAGCGGGAATTGGACCTGCTGGGGTGGCAAGTCCCTACTATGTTCCTTTAAAGCCTCGGTCTCTCTGCTGCACTTCTTTTCGTCATGAAGGCTCATTTAAGGGTTTTTTAGTGCTTTTGCGCTATGGAAGCCGCAGAAAGGGTGGATTAGACCCCTATGTGCAGTTGCCTGCAGTGGGCGGGCCCTACCCCTGAATGTAACACGATCAGTCTACGGTGTCTCAGGGTATGCAGCTGTTAGGAAAAGCGGCTCTACATTGCTTCTGCTCTCCTTCTGTGGCGACCCAAGGCTTTTATTCACGCGGTCGAGTGGCGACCTTTAGTTCAAAAGGGCCTTTGAACCCGAAGGCTCGTGCCTTCTGCAAAATGGGCCACATCCGTTGAGGGTCTCAAGCAAAAGTTCAACTTTATGGGGCAACAACTCCTCTAGCCTCAGGAACTGTCTGTAAAATCGACCTGCGGGTGCCCTCTCATGCTAAAAATAACAGGCTAAGATACGCTCCAGGGCACCCCACAGCGCTAGTGATGTTCGACGACGTATAGTGAAGAATTGAGTTTTCGGTTTCTGTGCTGGTATATCTCACTTGTTGAAGAGTGCTGTTAGCCTGACGCAAGAAGACTTAGGGTTGTGTGCGTGTGCGCTGGATGCTATGAGCAACTAGCCGAGAATGCTCAGGGTGTTCAGGGAGTATGGCAACTCGCACGCTACCTGTTTCTCTCCCCTCATGCCAAGATCTCATAGGAGCATGGGCAGGAGGAGAAGATTATCATTGAAAAAACAACGAAGTACTTTCTGTTAAGTTTAGAGTGTGAAGTCAAGTGTTCCCTGCGTTGACATAGATGGAGCGTTACAGTGCGAGGGCTAAGCTTGCAGGCCGTTCAAGTAAATGGACCCTGAAAGTGCGGCACTTTGCGTGCAGCACATTGCGTTGATGCTAGTTGCCATCCTCAACTACCAGAGGAGGATAGATTGCGGATAGGGGGTTTCTATGATGAAAGACGAAGAAGAGGCTTCTTCTCGCGTAGCCGAGTCAAACCCGACCATAATTCACAGATTCATCGCCTTACGCTTTTGATGTGAGGGTGACGATAACACGCACTGACCAAGGCCAGTATACTATGGAATGGTAGACGACCAAATCCTGGAAATTTTAACACATCCCGTCAGGAAGAAATGACCCAAATCAGACGCCCCTGGGACCCCGCCCCACACATCAAAATACTGCTGGGGGATAACAATTGATGCCTGCACGTAGCCCGCTTTGCCAAGTTGTGCTCATCCAAGAACTGTAGGTGTCATGAGCCACACATATCCCTTGGCAAAGCTTTTCATGGTTTTTGGGTGCGTACTGATGAGCAGTAGAAGGATATGATTTTCACTTTACAGCTGTCGGTCTCATTAGAGTGTATTGTACAGCTCCCATAGGGGATGCAGCCCTCGCGCGTTCAGCGCTGACACCTACAGTTTGGAGGAGCTGCTGAGACGCGTAGTCGAGTGGCTATCTAGCGATCCATTTAAAATATACAGAGGGAGATACGTGCATCATGGGGACGCTACTGCCCAACAAATTAGACCAAAAAAACAAACAAAACAGATGAACATTTTTCCCCAATTCTTACATGAGAGTAACGGAGTACAAAGTGCCCAGGCCTGAGCTTGGCGTGTACGTGATACATAGGGCTCTACAACCCCACGTTTTCACAGTCCAAGTGTCGTAAGGAACGAAGGTTAAAGGGCCGTAGGCTCTGAATGCACTCGCGCTACCAAAGGGTCTTAAGAACGTATGCACCGAACACGGATATGGCCGTGAAGAACCCGGGCGCATGTTGCATGGCTATATTTTAATCAGCGGTTCACGGCTGGACAAGCTGCGCTCCGGCTGTCTGGGCCCCTAAAGCACTTAAAAACGGATTCAGAGGAGGGCAGGAAGCGTGTGACTGCTGTAAATGGGTATGAAAGCACACAAGCACGCGCGAAGATCGCCCCTAGTAGTGGCGGGCAGACAATCTCAGGTGCTCTCAAGGGGGTTCGGCTGAATGAACGCTAACCTCCGAACCAGATGCAGGCCTTTCTCGCGTCGTGTCAGCTTCTCGGCAAAAGAGCCGTCCATCCCGCCAAAGCGTCGTTTCCTCCCTGCACTAAGAATATCTGATAAGGCGGCTTTGTGGGAGGTGCGATCTCGAGCTCCTACATCGGGGCTTCAGCCTTGGTTGGCTCACACTTGCACGGTGGTAGATCCCCTGAAGACTTGCTTCACCGAGTGATCCAAACCCAGCAAGCAATTGCACAGCTTCGAAGATTGTCATTTCCAAAGAGACTTGTGTAGGCCACACGTGGTAGTCACTCAGACAGTGTGGCTGGATACCCAAACCGTGCCATCACGCGTCGCGCTGAATCATCGCTCGACTCATAAGCAGTTCTAAGCTGTAATCTGTGGGGACGGGAGGAGCCAAGTGTAGGATGAGGCAGACAGGGCCGGCGGCATCACCAATGCATTTTCTGTGCCCGTTTTGTTCTTTCTCAGACTATCCAGTGCGCCTCCAGAACATTGAGGACATGTCCTAGGTTTCTCAATGTAGGATGCTCGCTGTTGGAGATGGAATTCAGGATTCTCGAAGTTGAAACTTTTCCGTGACCAGTGAACACAGCAAACAGGGCCGCACTGGGTGCTGCTTCTTGCGCCAGTTCATCTCATAGGCGTTCGGATGCTGCTGCATAACGCTTTGCCGCCGGGAAAGGTGAATGTGGGGCAGGTGCATGGTAAAACACCGCTGCTGCAGGAAAGACTTGCCGGCATAGGACTCCGTAGACTGTGCTATGCATTATACAGCTGCCTGTAGGTGCGCTAGGGATGAGGATAATCCTCAAGACGCATCCACCTATGGGCATTGATGCTCTCCCGGGCAAGGATTTTGACGACCCTACATACATATACATATGCATAGGTACCTATATATATTCTATGGGTGTAAACGGCCCCTGTGTTCTTGAATGGCGCAGGAACTGCCTCCAAAAGGCATCTGGCGGGGAGGCCTGCAGAGGGAAGCAAAGCCGTTGCAGGTTCGGTTAGTGCGCCCGCACGACTGGCAATGAACCGAGATCGGAGAACCTGCCACGTTGTCATCCAACTCATGGGTTTAAATGAATTTGCACTGATCCTGCGCTACACCTTTCTTCGATTGGCAGCAACCTATAGGGGCTGCATCCACTTATACCATGCAGCCCTATACACAGCCGCAGGAGCAACAACAGTCGACGCAGCAGCGAATAGCCGTGGCTGAGCTGTCTGTGCTCTTGTTGCCGTTCTTGCCGCATAAAAAACGCTTGCTATTGCTTTACTGTACCGCTACCGCAGGGAGTCAAAAAACACTGCAGCACGGTAATGCGCATTGAGCGCCTTCCACTGTCACAAAGGGCACTGCTGGCAGGCCGCACATACACAGACAAACGCACTGTCCTGCCGTGCACGCTAATGCATCTTGTGTTGCTCTCCGCCACCACCGCTACACCGATGCTCTTTGAATCAGTGACTGCAAATAGCGTCACCGTCCGCAGCAGCAGAGGCAGGAGCAGTGCAACTGTCCGCAAGAGCACAAGGCTCCACGTCAAGGGTATACGCAGAAGATGTGGGAGGTGCAGCAGCTCTCCAGGCGGGTTAAGGCAACCACCAAACAACAGGAAGTAACGAAGAACAGCAGATCCAAAATTCTGCATCAGACCAAAGAGTAGAAGCAGTTTAAAACGCACCCCGAATAGCGTAGAGGACATATGGGAGGTTTCTCTTGGTGGCGCTCGGGCTGGGAATGCTCTGGATTCGGTGCTTACGTGATGAGGCAGAAGAAGAATTGAAGCAGTGTCAGCGCGGAAGCCGCAATGCGCATAGTCCGGATGGTTTCCGTCTTCTTCCACAGCCGCGTAAAGAGCACACAGACGTCTATCAAGGCAACTAAACTGTAAACGAAGCCTGAAAGGGACGTTAACCGCGCGGGATGCCATCCACTGGATCGAAGATGGAAATCCGGGTAGCCTGTGGATAATGTATCAGCCATGAGCAGCAATGGGAAAATTGCGGTGAGGCCGCTAAAGGAGCCCGTAACGGCTGCGATGCAGTTGCATGCAGAGGCAAAAGAGCGAACGGAAACGCAGCGGCTCTACGGCGCGAGCCGTCCTCCGGCCACCAACGCCCCGCGATTGCGCCAGCTGCTCCGAAAGAGATTCAAGCGCGAATTCAGCGTGCACCCACAAACGCAGAGGAGAACAAGTGAACACGCAGACGCATGCACAGCAGCCGCCATCGAGGAAAAGAGGCGAAAACCATGCCTACCTCTCAAGAACGCCAGGAAAATACAGATGGCCACGGCAGCAACGAAGCACGCGAACCACCACCAACAGGCACCACCCGGATACCCCAGCCCTTCTCCTGCAGCACAATCGGCAGCACTCAGTCCATCGCATTCTGGGAACTGCCACGACCAGCCGCGTCTCTCAACGGGCTACTATCATCGGCGGCAACAGCTCCGCATCAGGCACCTACTGTTTGGCTTCGTTGCATACACAATTACAGGACCGTGGCGAAGCTGGTTCAGACGATCAAAGTCAGCTGGAGGAAATGCACATGGCAGATTTGCACAATAAGAAAAACGCCAGAGGCCGGTAAGCCCTCCCCAAATTTTTTCCCCAAGGTGTGCTGTATTCCGATCTAGAGACAAGAAGACGTCCTCCCTTTTCGCAAGCCTAAAAGGTCCCTTTCTTGGCTATTGTTGATGCTGCAGCAGTGCTACTCCACGAAGGTGCAAGAAATCACAAACTCAACCGTTTGCAATTGCAAGCCTTTCCTGGAAGTCCTTGTGTCGCATGTGCACGCGAAACTCCCAGAATAGGGGTGGTAAGTTGCATATGTGGACCCTCTCACTCTCGCTCTTTCATTTTCTCAACATATGATAATCTTTGTATGCTATTGATGAATGTGTTAGATACGCTCTAAGGCTGTCCCCTGTTATTGCCTGTTTGTCGGCCTGCGTGCACGGCGGTATCCGGAGCCGTAGCGAGTTGATCCTCTCTCTCTGCCCATGCTATCCCCTGTAGCTCTCTCTCTCTCTATATATGTGCATACATGCATGGGCGTACGAATGTGGTGTATACATAATACGTCCATACCCAAAGAACCTGTAGTTCTACATAGGTACACTGGCGTAAACGGAGCCAGAGGACACATCACAACTTTGTGCTTACTCTGGGGAGATGAAGGCTCAGAGCTGCCAGAGGTAGCAGCAAGGTTATCGCTTGACGCTCCAGCGGCAACACCTCCAGAATCAGCAGAAGCAGAGGATAAGTTGCCCTCCGGAGGTGGCCTGAGCCTGTTGACTGCTACCCCAATTGCAATATCGCCGTTCGGTAGCACCAGCTGAGGAGGAATGCGCTGCTGCGAAAAGAAGTCTTGGCATAGGAGCGAGAAAGGGGACGCCTGAAATAAGAAGGGCAGACCATCTTCCATGTGCCGAATACTCAAGAGGCTTGATCGAGGCGCCCATCCCACTGCTGCTGCCGTGCCCTCGGCCGCTGCATCTTCGGGAGGAGGAAGAGAGGCAGCCGGAGCATTCGAAGCTTCGCTGCTGCCTAAGGCCAAAAGATCTGTAGCAGACTCGGATGCACGGGCAGGCTCCCACGGGCGATTCATGGAGTCCGTTGGAGAGTTTCGCGGCTTGCCAGGGACTGGTGCAGGGTGGCCTTCCATCGCTGCTGCTGCTGCACTGTGCATGCGCCACTCGCAGCGCAGAGCGCCCTGATCAAAGCCCCAAAGCAGCAGACACCAACACCTGCACTACAGCGGCACAACCAAGAGCAACACAGATACCGCAGTTGACGGCCCTGCCTCCGCTATTTTCACCACTAATTACCCTCTCCCGGGCGAAATACGCGGAAGGGGTCATTCCTATTCTCAATTTGCTATTAAGATGCGGTTACTGCTGCGGGAGCAGCAAGGAGAGCAGAGAGAAGCTCGCCAGTACTCTCAGATGGGGCTGTAGCAGCAGTCCATTCGAGCAAGGCAGTAGCAGGTAGACTGCTGAGCATGTTTTCTTGTTAATAAATTTCTATTGCTGTTTTTTCCTCTTTGACTTATTTTTAATTGCTCAATCCACGGAGGGAGCGTACATGTGCAAAAACGCGTGCCGCTGCAAGACCGTGGGTGGTCAGCGCAGTGCCCCTAACTACTGAACTTACAGCCCGCTGTCTCGGAGCCACTGAAGAACTCACCGAAATACCAAAGCATCAGATCTTCCGCTGCTCTTCGGGCATGTCTGGATGCCACCGGAGCCGCGCGTGTGTCGTCCACACGCAATTGGCCGCAACAGCACTGCAGCACCAACAACCACAGACCCCGCAGCAGCCGCATCCACAGCAGCAACAGTGGCGCCACCAGCACACCGGTTTGCCAGGAGAGCTGCGACGGAGATGAAGGCAGCAATAGCAGTCAGTACATCGGCAGTTTAACGATGGTAAACACGGAGGAGGGAGGGTCGGAAGAATTCGTCCCTGTAGCTGTTGCTGCGAGAGCACCGGAGAGCAGCAACCCCAACACTGGCAGCAGCAGCAACGTGGAATCCCTGCAGCGGCATGCTGCACTGAGTCTGTTGCAGTCGACGCCGAAGCAACCTCAGCCAGCCGGCGAAGCTGGAGCAGCAGTAGCTACTGCTGCAGCTACTGCTGCATCTCCATCATTAGCAGGAGCAGCTGCTGCCGGTGATGAAGATGTCGCACTGGGGTGGCTGCCATATGATGAAGCAGAAGAGGAGGAGGAAGAGGATGCAGGCTCCCTATATTCATACTACTCGGCTCCGGACTGCCTGCAGCGAGCAGAAGCAAGCTGCTGCAGCAGTCCCCTTGTTGCTGCCTGCTGCAGCAGCCCTAGCAGCAGCAGCGAAGCAGCAGTAGTGGCCTCAGTGGTAACCGAAGCCACCGATTTCCTTTTAAGTCTGAAGCGAGACACCAGCAGCAACAGTCCTGCGGAAAACGCATGCAGGCCCACCAGGTACACCCCTCAAGTGTACATACACCAGCAGCCCCTGCGTCGCCTTCCTTCCACAGACCCCATGATTAAAAAAGCCGAAGCTGCTGGAGGATCTTCTTCTCCGGAGCAGCAAAAGGTTGCAGCCTTGCCACAGCAGTTCATGCAGCATCACCTGCAGCAGACTATCCAGCCACCCGAGCAGCAGCAGAAACTCCGGAAAGAGCATCGAGCAGCGGCTCTTGGCGCCCCCCCCCTAATGGGAGAAAGTTCAAGTCTTCTCTTTAGTACGCTCCCTGCATCATGCGAAACGCAGTCGCAGGCGCGTCAGAGACGGCAGGTGCAACAGCCCCGCGAACACTTCTTCATGAGATCCGCTTGTTGCTCCGATCTCTTTGCAGATGCAGCTGCAACAGCAGCCGCAAGGAGGCTCAAGGCAACTTCCCAGATGCTGCAGTTCAGCAGCACCAATCATGCGAGCAGCGCTTGCCGCCGTTCACGCCGCCCCTCTCTGCCCATCCGGTGCCGCTGGCAAGAGCAGCAGCAGCAGCACCAGCAGCATCAGCAGCATACAGCGGCTATTTCGCATGACGGCAACAGTTACATGCATCCGGCCGCTACTCCCTGGCGGCGCTGGAGCTCTTGCGATGGGGGGTTCTCAGACAAGCAGCAGCAGCAACAGCAACAGCGTCTGCTGCTGCTGCTGGTGCACGGAGGAGGGCCTTTCGAGGTGTACAGACACAGCACCAACAGAAGCCCTGGTCGTCCTCGCCGTTCTACTGGCGCAGCATGGGCGCATGCGCTTGCACCAGGAGCAATGGAGAGTGTCGACTCTCCAGCAACGCATGCATCAGGAGCAGGAAAGGCGACACTAGCAGAGCCAGGAAGGACGCGAGACTCGACGTCTCCCACGAGCAGCAGACAGAGCAGCGCCGAAAGCGGCTTGCCGAAGAAGGGCAGAGATGCACCGAGTGCTCGTGCGACTCCGTGGGTTTCCCCCGCCGTCTCAGTCGCTGCAGAAGCAGAAGCAGAGGCAGCAGCAGTAGCAGCAGCAGGAGCGAAGGAGGGGCTGCTAGGGGTATCCCTGGCGCTGCCGCCTTCGCGATCACATAATCCGCAGGAAGCCGGCAGGTTCATAAGCGAGCAGCAACAAGAACAACAACAGCGGCTTCAGCAACAGCAGCAGCAACAACAGCGGCTCCAGCAACAGCAGCAAGCGCTTAGCGCCTCGGGATGCGCTGTTGGGAGTGGCGAAGATGTGGTGACGAAGCGGCCTCACGATGTAGCAGTGGCAGTTTGTAGTGCTGGCGCGCCCCCCCCTGCAGCAGGAGATGCTGAAGAAGTTGCGTGGCTATACAGGCCCCAGCAGCTGCTCCACCCGAGTCTGCTTCTTAGCTATGCGGATTCTTCAAGGCAAGGCAGCAACACTGCATGGCGAACACCCTGCAGTGATCCTGCTGGGAGCTTTGACGCGTCTTCTCTGGACCTGACGATGGCAGGAGCGACTGCCGGGAGAGGAGGAGGAAGAGCGGCGACAGCAGCAGCAGCAGCAGCAGACTCGGCTGCTGCTGCTATTACTGTTGCGTCCGTATTCCACTCGCCTGCAGCCACAAACAGCGGCTGTCTAAACACTCCATGGTGTCGCACACCGACGGGGGAGAGGCCTTTGCGGGAGGCCTCCCATGCGCAAAGCAGCCAGAGCTTTTCGCTGCTGCCGACCACTCCGCAACAGAGGCAGCAGCAGCAGAGGCAGCAGCAACTGCAGCAACAGAGGCAGCAGCAACTGCAGCAACAGAGGCAGCAGCAACAGAGGCAGCAGAAGGCCTTTGAGTCGATCTGTGCCGGCTCTGCTGGTGCGGCAGCCGGCCTTGTTGTTGCACCGCCGCTGTGTCTGCCCTTCTGGGGAGGCCTGCCTGAAGCGCAGCAGCAGCTGCAGCAACAACAGCTGCAGCAGCTACAGCAGCAGCAGCTGCAGCAACAACAGCTGCAGCAGCTACAGCAGCAGCAGCTGCGCCTAAGAGACCGTAGGACCCCCGCAAGCGCCGGTGCAGACTCGAGGATGCTTCCCGTAGCAGCAGCAGCAGCAGCAGCAGATGAAGCGGCAGACAAACCCCAGCAGACGACCTGCAGCACCCGAGAAGCACGTGTGGCATCGCCACTCGCACGATGTCAGACGATACCCTCCCGCAATCGCAGAAAAAGCAGCAAAAAGCGAGGCGTGACCTTCTGGGATCTAGTGGCATTCGTGAAGGATGAAATATCCAGTCGACGCCTCCACCCCGCAGAAGCAGCAGCTGCTGCTGTTGCTGCTGCCCACGCGAACGCTGTCTCTACAGGGGCGTTAGAGCGATCTGCTGCGGCCCTTGCCGCAGCAGATCGCGCGGCTGTAGTGAAGCATTTCTCATGTCTGACAGATCATCCTGCAGCCACTACGGCTCAAGGGGGCCCCCTTAAGGCCCCTTTGGAGGGCCCCTGCCTCGACGGGGATTCGCGCCATCTACCAGATTTCGGCACCAGGCAGCAGCAGCAATTGTTGCTACATCAGCAGCAGCAATTGTTGCTACAGCAGCAGCAGCAATTGTTGCTACAGCAGCAGCAGCACCGGACAGCTGCATCGTTGGGGGGTGGCTATGCCGTGCGTGGGTCCTGTGGGGAGCCTAGCAGCGCTGCTGAGGTGAGGAGATATGCTGCTGCTCCGGCTGCATCTAAGCTGCCTCCTGTAAGAGCAGCAGGATCTGTCCTATCTGCAAGGACCTTTCAACGCCTGCACAGCGGTGGGGTCGCTGCTGCGCTGCACGGCCCGCTGCTTCACGCGTCTAAAAAGGAGGCGAAAGTGCCTGTAGACATGCCCTGGCAGCAGCAGATGCGGGAGAGCAGCCGCGAGCGAAACGAGGCTACTTCGACCACTCCCATCCCCAAACGGCGTAAGAGTGCGCAAGACTTGTTTGAATGCATCCAGCGGCAAAAACAGCCGGAGGGTGTAGTTCTCGGAGCTGAGCGCTCCGAGATCCCCTCTGGCGCCTTCCTGCGTGCTGCAGATCATTCTGCTGCTGCCAAGCCTTCCCATGGCTCGACGCTACCAGGGCGCCGTACAGCTTCTCAGGACCAGTGCAAGGAACTAAGAAAGCGAAAGCGGGAAAGTGGGGGAACGGCGATCCCCGAGACTCAGCTGAGCAGTCTTCTGCACGTGCCCTACAAACTGGAGTGTGTTGTATACTTTGGCACGTTTCTTTGCCTCGACGCTCTCCTTTACGAAGTCACGATGATGCCGCTGCAGGCGGTTAAAGTGCTGCTGCTGCTGCTGCTGCACTGCTGTGGCTGCGGAGTTGCCCGCATTCGATGCCTCAGCGGCGGTCTTTGCTTCCTTGGAGCGGCAAGAGGCGTTTTTACGGCAGCTCTTGCGGCAGCCGTTGGTGCCGTTGCGCATGCGCTGCAGCGGTGGGCTGTGTGGAGTGCAGCCACAGGTCGTCGCTTGCTGCTGCCTTTCCTCCTCCCGAGGAATCAGCAGCAGCAACCGCAGCAGAAGCAGCAGCAGCAACGGCAGCAGCAGCAGCAGTGGCTGCCCCCGCACCCACGTGCGGCGGTAGGCAAAGAGGAGGCAGCCGCTGCTGCCCACAGAAGGAGTGCCTCCTGCTCTGCAGCAGGAAGCTCGAGAGGATGCACCATCCTTAGAGGAGACAGTACGAAGGCCTCTTGTCGCAGGGTTGCCAGCGCCTCGTGGAGCTCCTCTCTTCCTCCCTTGCAGCTTGCTCTCAGCCCTACTTCGACTTCGGCTGCCGCTGCGGCGCGCGTGATTCAAGATAGCAGTGCCAGTTGGGAAGGCCCTTCTAGCGGATTACGACCTAGCGCAGCTGTGGCGGTTAGCACGAGCATCGCAGGCACACAGACGGCGCTCTTGCGATCGCGTCCGCAGCGGTCTGTGCAGGCAGGAGGAGCATTTTCGCATGCGCCCATGCGCCCACGCCGTCTAGCTGCGTCAGCGACGGCAGTGCGAGCGGCAGCATCCGCTGCAGGCAAGCCATCCGCAGCAGCTCCAGCAGTCGTGGCATCGCGGCCGAAGCCTACTGTGGCTGTTGAGCTCCGTCAGCGAACTGCGCTGGAGCAGCAACGAAGCGCGACAGAGACGGGCATGGGTGCGGCTGAGAGTCCCCTACTGCAGCAGCAGCAGCAGCGGGAAGAGCATCGGCAGCGGGCGAAGGCTGATCCAGAAACATGGAGTTGTGGGTTCTACGAAATAACAGGTCCAGACTTGTGTGCTTTCATTCGCTTTTCCGCTTTCCTGGTCTGTGCGCTGCTATTCGGGTGTATCGACACCTCCATCGTGTACCACACAATCCGCGCGCAGCCCTTCATGAAGCTCTACGTCATTTTTAATATGCTGGAAGTCTTTGAGAAGCTGTGGAGGAGCTTTGGAAGGGATGCAGTAGACGAGCTGATGAGGCAGGCCACACAAATGCTCCGCAAAGCCGCGGCAACGCACCGCGAGCAGAAGCAGCAGCAAGGGCGGCAGATGCAGCAGGAGGAGAGCGAGGGAAGGGGGTCAGCATGCAGTGCAAGCGAGGGGGCGATCAGCAGCAGCAGCAACGGCAAGAATAGCAGCAAGACTAGCAGCAAAATCAGCTCGGAAGGAGGGAAGCAGAAGCGTCACCAGCAGAATACGGGGCAGCAGCAGCAGCAGCAGCAGCAGCAGCAGCAGCAATGCATGCCGCATTGGCGTATGGGACTAGCGGGGCGATCTTGGAAAGCTGTTCAAGGACTGTTTTCAGTAGCAGCAGCACCCGGCAGCACATTGTTGCGCTGTACTCCCTCAAAGCCTCAGAGGCGGCCAGAGAGAGAGGGCAGCACTCCTTCAGCGAGCAGCAGTAGAAGCAGCAGGAGTGAAAAAGCCGCTGCTTCTGATGAGGAAAGCGGCAGTATGGCACCCGGAGGGGCCTTCGAGGGCGGTGCTGATGGCACCTTGGCTGCAGTCTGGCCTTGGTTGAGGCTGTTTTTACTGTACTGTGGCGTTATTCTATACGTCATTGTACACTCCTTCATGCATCTCATCCGGGTCCTCAGCTTGAACATTGCGATCAACTCCTCAGAAGTGAGGCAACCGCTGCAGCCGCGCTGCCTCCGTTATTTGTTTGCTGTCATAGCGCCTTCACGCAGATAGGATGCACTTGACGGATTGCATTTGCCGTGCTGTCGACCGTGTCTGCGAATATAAGTGATAAGTTTGTGTGTATGTGGGTATGGGGGGAGAGGGGGGCGAAGGAAGGGGAAGGGCGGAGAAAATATGCGCCGCTCCCTCCCGCCTGGCTGCTGTTGTGTTGTGGCCAGACGTGCGGGGATGCATGCCTTGCAAAAACATTACGGGAATGTTCGGTGATTTTTATCTGGTATTCGTGCGCCTGTTGCAGTCTGCAATGTTCCTGATGCTGGTTACCAACAATTTTGGGGAGATCAAGTCATCCGTCTTCAAGAAATACACTCCCGTGCAGCTGTATACCGTTGTAGCGGCTGATACAGTAGAGCGCTTCCACCTCTGCTGCGATGCCTTTATCGTCTCCCTCAAAGTTGCTACCGCCGCGTCTGCAAAGACGGTCTCACCAGCGGGTGTCTACAGTTGGCTGGTAGAGAGATGCGGCTGCTGCTGGAGGCTTTTTGTTGGAGGTGGTTGTTTTTCTGTGCTTTGTTGTTCAGACTCTTTGTTGTTGGCACTTGGTGTAATGCGGTTGGAGTGGGGTGTGCTCTCTTTGTTGCTTCTGCTGCTGCTGCAGTGTGGCGTCTTCTTGCTGGAGATGTGCGTCGATTGGCTTAAATATATTTTTCTTGTGAAGTTCAACAAGATTCCTGTGGAGGCTTTCGCTCAGTACCAAAATGTAAGCAGACCTCATGAGGCCGCACTGTGGATGACGCAGCATCCCTTAGCGCACATGAGGTGTTTGCTGCAGTGCAGTGTGTTTAGCTCGCCGGTTGGCTTGCTTGTGCTTCTTGCGGCTGCTTTCTGTTGACTGTGCGGGTTTTTTTTTTGCCGGAGATTGACGGATGATGGCGTTGTGGGGCCATACTACGGTTTGGGGTGTCTCTCTCTCTCTCTCTCTCTGCAATGTGCAGGTGTTGATAGCGGATGTCTTGCTGGCGCGAGTTCCCGCATCTGCCACGCTGATATCTACGTTTGCCTACACCGTTCCTTGTTGGGGTTGCTACGCCTTTTCCCACATACCCACGCGGTAGGCTTGGGTGCTGAGTCGACTCTGGAGCCTGGCGCTCTACCTGAGGCACTGTATTACGGGGAGGAGGGGGGAGGGAAGAAGCTGCAGCCGTTCATGGAGCTGTCAGGATTGCTGTTGGTGCTGGTCATAGTCCTGTTGCTGTGTTTTGCCTTCACGAGCAGCTGGCTGTGTTGCTGGTCTTGCTTTTGCCCTCTCGTCTGCAGGCGGATCGGCTTCATGTCTATTCCTATAGTGACCCTCATCAGTTGCGTGCTGCCCAAGTAAGTGGCAATGCGCAAGAGGTGGTGAGGGCAGCGCGCGGGGTGGGGTGGTGGGGTGTCTTTGCTGCTCTTTGAGCGTTCTCTGTTGGCTGCTTTTTTTTCGGCAACGAGTTCGGGAGGGCTTCGCCTGCCGTAAAGAGCTGTGTGGCAAAGACAGCTGCTGCTGCTACTGCTGTCGTGTTTCCGTAGGGTGAGCTGGCAGTCAGGTCCAGCTCTTCTGTGCGCGTTGGTGGTGTGGCTTTGCCTGTTGTTGCTCAAGGTAAGGCTCTACATAAATGGGCAGGTGCCTCCTGCCTGGTTGTGCGCTTGAGGAGTGTAAATCAGCGCCTTGGGGGAGGTGCTGTTCCTCCTGTTGCCTTGTAGGAATGGCGGTTTCTCCTCCCTGCCCTTCCCCTGCGAACCTCCCTCAGGCTGCGCAGTTATCCACGTGCGAAAGCGGTGGCCTTTTTCCTGTAGTCTGTGCCTTTCTTAGCTAGTTTATCCCCGCCCCCCTGTTATTCTAGACCTCTTTTACCCTTGCAGCGGGGGCAGCAGTTTCTGTAGTACCTGTGGGAGGTGGCTTTGCGCTGGTGGACATGTCGCGCAACCCAGCCACCCCAATTCTCGCGAAGACTCCTTTTTTGAGTTTCACGAGCACTGCCTCCTCCGCAGCGGCCTCGAAGGTCTAAAACGCGTGCGTCTGCGGTGCATGCGTTGGGGAGATCTTTGTGGGGCTTTGCGTCGTGCCTTAGGTCTTTTTGTCTGTGGTGCTCGTGGCCTTCGCTGTCAAGCGCCGCAACCGCCTCAGCGCCGTAGACGAAGCCATCACAAAAATAACAGCTCAGTGATGGTGTTCAGGCCGTCGAGAGACGGCAGGCAGTCCTTCCGAAGTGAGTCACATTCGGAAACGGCAGCCGGTGAGTCGAGGCTGCTGTATTTCTTCTGCTGCCGGGATGCTGCGCGTGCTTTTACGCGCGTGCCCCTCCTGCATGTGTGTGTGTGTGTGTCTACCTGGATCTACGGTTGTAGACGCGCGAAGGCAGAGAACTACTCACCCCGAGTTGGGGGAGGGGGCATGGCCTTGAGTAGGCGTTGCGATGTGCTGCTCTCTTTCGCTGTAACCTGAAAAATGCCTAGAGCTACAGGAGGGCGAATTTTTGTCCAGCACAGCATGTTGCTCCGGTGTGCGTCCTCATACCTTCGATAGTACAGATTCCCAGAACCCCCAGAATCGCACGCGCCTTGCTCGCTGGTGCTTCTTATTATGCGTTAACATGGCAGAGGCATCTAGGTGAGCGAGCAGGCCTTCGCAGCTCCTTCGGTCGGGAGAGCAGCGCCGTTTCCCAGGGCAAACGCTTTCACTGCATGTAAATTTTAATAAGCTGCCCGTCGTCGGGCAGGCCCTGTCTAGCTGTGTGTTTCTTGGAAACAGTTTAGTATTTTGCTACAGTCCTGGTCAGTGCTGCTCTAGTCGTGCACAGCCAGCGGAATACGAGTGTCGGGGGTGGCACCCTGGAGGTGGTGGAGACTAAAACGCTTAGGGAGCCCTCCGTAGTTCTCTGGCCTCCTTTGCCACACAGCTTCAACGTCCTGTAGCGGCTCGCCAGCTAGGCATTTCCTCTCTACCTGCGCGCCGCGTGCAGTGGTGCACAAGGCCACCTACGGGTAGACGCAGTTTAAGTTCACTTCCTATCCTTGTTACTGCACCCGCGAGCTGTCTTTGGGAAAAGTGCTGTAGCGCCATCCCGCTAGCACACGAGCCTTCGGCCGGGAATACTTTGAATCCTTGCAGGAATCCAGCCACACTTTTCCCCCCGCCTTCCTTGCCCATAATCCTTACGAAATCCCTGAAGCGCAGGCGTTAGCCACGAACCCTACCAGGGATGCTCTGTGGAAATACACGGCACTAGGGCTTTGCGAAATACGAAAAACACGTGGTGTCATTCGGAGCATTTCATTGCTTCAGACGCCTTCGGCAGAGCCCCCCCTACCGGCTACACATGCAGCCCCTTGGTCTTGGCGGAAGAAAGGCTTTTTTTAGATTGCGGCATTCGCAAGCATGGTTCTAAACAAAACAAAGCGTATTTGTTTCTCAATGCAAGAGTCAAAACGCATATCAGCAGCCCTCTAACGCAAGCGAGGAATGGGAGGATCTCCATCATCTCCAGCGGGGGAACGGCCAAGGGGCCTCCTGCTGCGTGTACACCCCAAAAAGGCATCCGCGTAGTCTCACAGAAGCCTCTCGCTCAGGAGCTTTTCAGAAGGATGCAGAAGGCACTAGTGCCCCTGCAGAGGGGCAGGTTTGGCTGCTTTCTGCCGGTGTCGTGCCAGAGGGCCTTGTTGCTTCCTTCGGCAGCAACAGCACGCGCAGCCGCTGCTGCCCCCGTGATACGGGGAAAGAGGCAGCAGTGTCAGGAGCTTGTCGCGCCGTCGGCTGTGGGGAGCGGGTTCCTTTGTGCATCCTCGGCGACTTGCCGGTGCTTTTCTTCTCTCTCTCGTCTGTTGCGACGGCTGTTTCCTACCACAGAAGAAGACGCCAATGGGCAGAGGGCCTCTTCTGAGAGCAGCCTCACGGAAGAACCTTCGGAGAAGCCTGCTCTAGAAACCAAGGCACCGCCTGCAGCACCAGCAACTCCAGGAGCGACAGCCACAATTTCTGCAGCAGCAACTCCTGCAACAGCAGCAACTCCTGCAACAGCAGCAACTCCTGCAACAGCAGCAACTTCTGACGTGTCGGAGGGACTGAAAGCGGAGGCAGCAGAAGACATCTCAGGAGCTGCAGCAGCAAATATCAAGATGGCATCCTCAGCTGAAGCCGCTTCCCCAGGTGTCTTTTCTCCAGCGGAAGAGACGCCGCGGCAGTGTAGAAATGATAGCCGATCAAGGCCTAGTGTTGGCTCCGATTCGCAAGCAGCTGAGGCGCTGCTGAGACCGCCTGAGGCTTCCTTGCAGCTGCTGCGAGACTGCCTGCCCTCAGTGACAGCCGCTGCAGCAGCTGCAACGGCGTCTAGAGTGTACAGCAGCAGGCTAGCATGCAGCTCTAAGACCACTTTCCAGAAAAGTGTTCATCTGCGACAGCCTGCCTCTTTTGCCGTAGGCAGCGATGCTGCTGATGGCGCTGCGAAGTTTCTTGTGCGGCTTGAGCCTGGCGAGCAGCAGCCGGCGTCTGCTGCGATGAACAGACTTCCAGACGGCGGCAAAGCGGTGACGACGACGACGTCTCTGCAGCAAGTGCATGCAGGGGCCTATGGCGAGGCTGCAGAATGCCGCATGAGGCTGCAGCAGGCCGTGCAGCAGCTGCACGAGCGCCAGCAGCAGCAAGATCCGTCTGTGGGCGGCGTGGTAGGGTTGTCGGAAGACTCTTTGTCTCAGCCTTTGCCTCAGCAGCAGCCATCCGTAAGGGCAGCGCTGCTGCAGATGCTGCAGCAGCAAGCGGCGGCTAAAGCCGCAGGGGGGCTGTCTGTACACCCCGGGGCAGTGGGCCCGGCCGCAAGAAGAAAGAAGGTGCCAGAAAAAAAAATCGAACAAAATCATCGGCAGCAGCAGCAGCAGCAGGAGGACAGGATTGAAGAGATTGCTCGTGCCGTACGGCGTTACGATGCTCTTGGCGTGGCCTCTCTCGGAGGTGCTAACAGCAGTCTTCCTGAGGAAAAGACGCAACCAGCAGCAACTCCTGACTCGCCACAGCAGCCGCAAAGCCTCGCAGAAGTGCTGCAGTCGGCTCTTGAGGCTCTTGAGGCCAGCGTGCTGCAGGGAGCCTCCGGCGCTGCAGCTTCCGTAGCATCAGCAGCAGGTGCAGCATCAGGTGCAGCATCAGGTGCAGCATCAGGTGCAGCAGCAGCATCAGATACAGGAGGAAGGCTTACCAAGGAGTTGGGCGTAGAGTTGGTGAGTCACCTCTCGTGGATTCGCTGGGCATGCACACGCGTAGGTCTTGACATGGGGGGGCCCCTTGGAGCTTTTCGGCTGCGAGCAGCGAAGTGTTTGGGAAGCAGGAACGGGAGGGGGTCTATCCCTCAGCCGACACTCGTGTCTAGGAGGATCGCGACGCCTTGCCTCTTTGCCCTGAGGGAGTGGCTCGCGCTGCAGCAGCAGCTGACGCGTTCAGAAGCATTAAATCCTTTGCAGCAAGACGAGCAGCAGCAGCAACAACAACAGGAGTCGCTGCAACAGCAGCATCACATTGCTGCTGCCTTGACCGAATTGCTACAGCGCGCTGCAGAGGAGAGCTTTTTGAAGGACGGCGTGGCACTCCCTCGCATTCAGAGCCTTACTGCGCTTCTCGCGGATGACGCTGCAGCAGTGCGTATCCAGATACAAGAGCAGCGGCAGCAGATACAACAAGAGCAGCGGCAGCAGATACAACAAGAGCAGCGGCAGCAGATACGACAAGAGCCAGGATCGGCAGCGGCTGCTCCAGACGCAAAGGCAACTGCAGAGGAGGGAGAGGCAGCAGCAAGCGCGGAGGGCGTAGATGCAGAGGCGTATCTGAAGGCACTCACTGAGAAGGCTGCAGCACACAGGCAGCAGTTGCTGCTCGACTTTGCGCAGCAGCAGCAGCGGTTACAAGAGCAGCAGCAGCAGATACAGCAGCAGCGACAGCAACAGCAGAAACAGCAACACCAGCGCGTCGCCTCGCTAGAAGCGGCGGCAGCTATCCGCACGCCTCTGCAATCGGCCCCGTTGGGGCTCCCTTCACGGGCTGCTGCTGCGGATTGGACAGGGGGGGGTGTCTCCCCAGGTGCTCTTGGCGATGAAAGCAATGCACTGGATGCGGCTCACATCACCGTTGCATCTCTGGCGCAGCATTTGCGACAACCCGAGGAACGAGTGCTTGAACTGGCGAAGGCGCTGTTAGAGGGCCTCCCGGGAGCTCCTGCAGTTTCCCTAGGCTCCACGATGACGGAGGAGGAGGCTGAGTTTCTTAGCGATGAATTGGGGTGTCTGCAGCTGTTGCGGCTAAGCAGCAGGGCAGGCAGCGGCGCTGCACGGCAGCAGCAGCAGCAGCAGCTGCGAGCTCCCCCCGTAATTGCCGTACTAGGCCACGTCGATCATGGGAAAACTTCTCTGCTGGATGCCCTTCGGAGGTAAGGGCCCTCTTCCTTCCCTTCCCTTCTCCGTCCCTCCCGCAGCTTTGAGAGCACTGCTAATGGTGGCTTTCCTTGGTCTTGGCTCGCGTTTCTGCCGGCTTTTTCTCGCATAAAAAAGCATGGCTGCGGCATGCGTCTGATGGGGTGGCTGTCGAACCTTGCCGAGGCGAGCTGTTCCTTCACAAAGGGAGAAATCAAGGGGCGTCATTAGTGCTGGCGCTTTGCACTGGGGGCGAGTTCGCATTCTGACGTCTCGGCCTCGAGCTTTTCCAGTGCATGCGCATGTAATCGAGAGAGACCTCGCTTCCGCGTGGGTGATGTATTGTGAAGTTTTTATTTAAAGTGAAGTTTTTTTAAATGCGGTGTGTGTGTGTGTGTGTGTGTGTGTGTGTGTGTGTGTGTGTGTGTGTGTGTGTGTGTGTGTGTGTGTCTACGTATGGTGTTCCCTCCACTATCGTGCCGCCTCCTGCGTGTGCGTGTGTTTTGTTTTTTACGCATGCATCCGTGTCTGCCTTGCGTGGCTCATCATACGCAGGTCGAGCGTGGCAGCTACCGAAGCGGGTGGAATAACTCAGGCCGTCAGCAGCAGCAGCTTCCGCCTCTCTTCTCTACGAACACACGCCAGTCAGCAGCAGGGGCATGGCTTGCAGCAGCTAGTCACCTGCGTAGACACCCCGGGGCACGCGGCTTTCGCCTCAATGCGCCGTCGGGGAGCCGCAGCCACCGACTTGGCGATTTTAGTGGTGGCAGGAGATGAAGGGGTCAAGCCGCAGACGGCAGAATGCGTGCGCTTGCTTGCCGAGAAGAACATTCAGACCGTGGTCGCTGTAACAAAGATGGATAGATCTGGAGCCAGTGTGGATCGGTAAGCCTTTGAAATTTGAATCTCGGCAGACGCGGTTTTTTTCTTGAGTTATTTCGTGCTGGCAACGCTGTTTGCGTGCTGCGCGAAACGCATTACGCCCTGACTTGCACGCAAACTCTGTTTCACACTCTATCTCCCCGGAAGGGTGTCGCTTTTTCACACTCTATCTGTCCGTTCATGAGGTTTAATGGGAAGCTGTTCAGTCCTCTTTTTTAAGGCCGTCCTGGCCTTCCTCATCTCCGCGACCCCTCATGGCTTCGGCCGAGAGGTTTCTCGCTGCTCCTACTGCCGCAAGCGGAGCTGCCGCTTGCAGACTTGCGCTGCTGGTGCAAACCGTAGCTGTGCGGAGGCGGGCCAGAAAAGCTCTGGGTTCTGCAGGGGCGGTGAAGGAGAAGCAACACAGAGACTTCGAGGGGATTGCGGGGAGACGCTGGCGTTACGTTGGAAGCGAGGAGGCCACAGCAGGCGTCAGGGCATACACCTCTGTGCAGGCACACCCCATTCGTGTGGCTGCATTGCCTGTATGGTATTTGCTGCTTCTGCAGAGTGAAGAAAGACCTGGCCGCTCTTGGGGTCGTTAGCGACGAAGATGGTGGCAGTGTGCCGGTTAGCGTCTCTACGGAAAGAAAACTCACGTCTAGGAGCTGCAGTTCGGGGGTTGTTTTCACGGGCTGCTACGGGGGCCGCTAGGAGAGGCAGGCAGGCAGGCAGGCAGGCAGGCAGCCACACTCTGCACGAGAGCAGAGACGGGAGGGAGCTAGGGGACGAACGGACGTCGAAGTCGGTGCGTTGCTGCGCTGTGTGCAGTTCATTCCCGTTAGCGCAAAGACCGGGGAGGGCCTTGCCGATCTCGAGGCAGCAATAGCTCTCCTAGCCGAGGGAATGCCTCACCTGGTGGTTCCGCCTCCTCCGCTTACGGGAGCTCCCGTCGCTGCAGCGCGCGGCCTTGTTCTGGAAAGCAGAGTAGACCCTCACAGAGGCCGTCTGCTGCACGTTATCGTGCGGTCCGGCTTCCTGAGGGAAGGGGCCTGGGTTGCTGTGGGGCCCCACTACGGGCGCATCAAGAAAATGTACGTGGGTTCAGCAGGGGGCCCCACGGAGGGGCCTAAACAGGTCAAGTGCGCCGGAATGAATGAAGCCGTGGAGATTGGGGGCCTGGGTGATATGGAGGCGTCTGCGGGCCAGCTCGTCGTGCAGGCGAAAAACCAACAGCAGGCTGCCAAGCTTGCGGCCATGGCGCAAAGGGCTCAACAGGTAGACAAGGCCTGTTGTCGCTGCCTTTGGTTCACGGGGTAGCTGCGGCAGCTATTGGTGCTGGCGTACCAGCAGCATGTGTGCCAAAGGGGTGCTGCGGGGACGGGTGAATTATGAGAGTTTCTGGGTCTGTTCGAGTGAGGCCCAAGGACTCTTGTGGTTTGGGGCAGAGCAGACTCTTTTGTTCAGGACCGACATCGTGGTTTGTACGCAGAATGCGTATCCCGCGTGTCTCATGGGGTGACTGCAGGCTCGCGCGCTCCAAGCACCGTCGCGTGTCGAGAAGCTCGAAGCAGACTCCCAGGTTGGCTCTTCGTCTCGCTGTCTCGGTCATGGGTTGCTGCAGTATGCTTGCAGAAGCGTTTGCTGGACCGGTGAAGTATCAGCATTCGCGGCTCGAACGGCTTCGGGCGTGCGCCTTTCTGCAGGTTACGACAGCGTCTTCCCCCGACGGGCTGCGTCATGCTGGGGCCAGCACCTTGCCAGAAGTTGCGGTGGTCCTAAAGACAGGAGACCAGGGCAGCCTTGAGGCTATTGTGGACTGGATGGAAAGCAGGAACTCTCAAACGCAGAATAGTGCAATCGAGTCATCGCGTGTAGAGGAAGCTCTCACAGCAGCATTGTCGAGAGCGCATGCAGAAGAGGAAGGTGCACACGAAGAGGAACAAGCGAGGCGGAGCTCGCTTCTGCAACAATGGCGGCCTTTGAGGGTTGTTAGATCTGGGGTGGGCCCCGTAAACGCCTCAGACGTTCGATACGCACAGATGACAGGGGCTGTTATTCTGGCCTTTGGAGTTTCAGTTCTAGACCACGTTCAACAGGTGAGGCTTGCGCCTACACGTACACTTGCTGGCCACATAGGCGTATTACGGGTCGCCGCAGGTGAAAAGCTATCTGATGCGCAGGCACTACCCGGATGGCTAGCTTACTGGCACCAGCTGCTATTTTAGCTGTTTACTTTGCAACATGCAAAGTCACAAGCGGTCCCACCGCGGACATTGTTGTGCATTCTGTTGCTACATGAAGGGTCCGTTTGTCAGTCGCTGAATAGTTAAAATTCTTTTTTTCGCAGGCAATTGAAGAGGCGGGTGTGCCCCTGAGGGCTCAGAACATCGTGTACAGGCTGTTTGATGACTTAGAGTCTATTTATGATTTCCACTTTGGCCCCAAATTTGAAATGGTGCAATCGGCGAGGGCTCAGATTACCCAAGTAGGGAGCTACGTCCTTAAGAAGCGGAAAGGGGGCCTCCAGACGGTGGTGGGCCTCGAAGTCAAGCAGGGCACTCCGAATACGCAACACGCATATTCTTTGGTAAGCTTAACTAAGCGCGTGTGTGCACGGGCGTACTACAATATGCTACGGTATATCGGCGGCTGCTGGGTGCCGATAGAAAAAGAATCGTTTTCAATTGTCTTAATATGTGCGTATCTTCTTATAAATGGATGCCAAGATTCATATGCTTGTTCGTCGCTCTCTAATATAGCCTCTGTGTGAGTTGGTGCATGCCTCACCTGCATCAAATTTTCAGCTTGTTAATTTTCTTTTCGCATTGCTACCATGGATATGTGGGTAGCACCGGAGTTTGCACTTGCTATACGCTAGAAAGTACTGCATATCTGGGTTAAGCTGTACATATTACTCGAGAAACCTCGTGCCATATTTGGGTTCCTAAATTTTCAGGTGCGGAACGGAAAGACACTGGTCGAAGGACTAAAGGTCAAGTCGATGCAAAAGAGCAAAGAAAGCGCCACTTCTCTTGCAAAAGGAAGTCCGTCTAGTGTCCCCGTATTTGTATTTATGTCGTATGCATTTTGCTCGAATATGTTTCGGAAAGCCAGGCGATGTGCTATCGTCGCCTTCATTCTGCAATTCCTGTGGGCAGAAGATACCGACTCTCTACTGTCAATGTGCAGCTAGTCACGTTGTACACTTCCTCAAATTTCTTGTATCATCTAATGTTTGCTGTTTAGAAAACGGTATCGGGCTTCAGAGATGACATGCGTATGTGTTCTACCTCAGGCCGCGACGGTGCCATCATTTTCGACAGTCCATTCGAGTTTCAGGAGGGAGATGTGCTGATCGCCTTTGAACAGAGAGAAAAGTGTCCTCCGCCCTTTCTCTCTGGCCATCACTTTATGCGGGCCCCTGAGTGAATCTTTAGGGGTTTCCGCTGTTCCGCTGCAATATACCATGACTACAGTTCAAAGAGTCTGAACTGAATACTGCGTTAAAGTGTCATGGATCCTTACAGTAGTGGTGAAGAAGTGGATATGTGTGTTTGCGTTGGCCGCCACATATTTTATGTCTACACTGTTTTTTTAGTGTCGTGAACTCAGCTTGAAGCGATCTGAATGTTTCAGTCCGGCTACCTACTCATGCCAAACAACGACTGACGAGAAGTGTAAAAGAAGTATATTCAGGCGAACCATTAACGAGAATTCAATATTAAGTTTGAACTCACTGCGAACAAATTGGTGGCTCTATGAGGAACTGCACTTATTGTGTCGACAGTGCTTCGGCGCTATTGGGTTCAAACTGAAGCTGCCGAGCTCCCTGTACACCTTGAATATTGAAACTTTAGCATTCGCACTTTTTTTACTTGAGATACGTACAACAACCTGATAATGCTCATATGCAGGCGCTTTATACGTCGCCGACTATTTTATCCCCAAAATGCGCACCTTTGTTCGGGATGAGTATTCTAATCCTTCCCAGGTTAACATCGGCCCGGCTCGAGTCAAGAAACCAGACGGTATATTACTGATAGGCGATTTTTGAGAGTATGGATTTACAAAGAATCATATGCACACAGCCAAGGCTCATCCTAAAAGCCATACAACTATGAGTTTCCGAAATGCCAAAGGAGGCCAAAATTTGTCAGCTTTGCGTACGAAACGTAATAGGGGAATCGCAGCTATCAAAAAGCAGCCTAGCAAGGTAATAAGTTCTCTTTATCTTGTTTAGCAACCGAAGAACTTACCTGAACTGCGTAGATTATAACTAAGAAGTGTAACACGCAAGGCGCAAGTCCAATTGCAGGAAAAAAGTCCACCAGGGCCTGTACGCCGAGAAATTCAGTACGGGGTAGTTCTTCCTCAGGGCTTCCGGGAACCAAGGATTCAAGTGCTTGGTGTGTTTCTTGCCACGTCTTCTGATCTCATTGTCATTGTGATATTTGAGGCCAGTTGTTCTATCAATAGAAACACAACAGGAGGGGTCAGCCCCAGGGCTCCAGAACAGAAGGAATATCAGAGCAATAGATCACTGCACTCCACAGAAACACCGCCTGCTGGCATCTTCCCTCAAAGCCCACGGGAGTCCCCCATTTTGTCATGCACAAGGCGGCTTCTGGGCCCTTTGAATTTTGCAGTGACGATGCCCACAGTGCAGTTCATCAGCACACCAACCATACATGACCTTGGGAGAAGTTTGTAAGCGCGCACGTGATGTAAATGCCTTTTTCTGTGTGCACCGCACCATTCGCGGATTCCAGCAAGCAGCCGACTCCCATGAAGACCCCAGATGTTCCCTGCCGCCCTTTCACCCTCAGTGAGACTCTGGTAAGAACGAATGCTGCTTCCGTTGCTGTTTATTTCGCTCTTGCGATGCATTTCTATTTCTTGAAATTTGTTTACTCGGATTTTGCTAGCAAGATACGTGTGTGACAGGTCAGGGCGAGGTGCGCCTTTCTTGCATCGCCGGCCGCCCCCCGAATCCATCACAGTGGATTCAATACTCCAAGAGCTGCGCTTCTGCTGAGAAGATCACCCATCGCTTGTCAGAGAGGCTGTACTAGTGCAAGATCTGCCTTTTTGCAAAGGGCATCCCCATGTACAAATCACCATCTGCGATACTTTGCCTAAGGAGCAGGACACCCCTGGTTTCAATTACTAACGGCGAAGCTACTGCAGGTGGTCTAGCAGAACTAGGCTGATTGTTTCCCCTAAGGGCATGAGAAATGTGCACAAATGAATTTTTGCCGCATGCTATTTAGGTGGCAAAAACGTTCTTCCATAAACGTGAAACAGCAAAGAACTGCCCCCCTGCAAGCAGTTCCTGCAGCGCGCTGTGAGCAGCAGCCAGCGCCACCACTAAAGCAGGGGTACTCTAGTCGCTGGAAAAGCCCTTCAAGTGGCAGCTTGCTGTTGCCCCTCCCCCAGAATCGGGAGGATCTCTGTATGCCCCACCGCCAATCGGTCCGCAACGAGTTGGTTCAAATTGGGGTCAAACAGAGCCAAGGGGTCCTGCCCTATGAGTGGAAGCTCCGCGCGGTTAGCGCTAGACAACCCCTGAGACTTGTAAAGTGGCAAGTGTAAACTTGGCTTCTCATAGTGGCGTATTGCCTGCGCACAGGCAGAAACATTCCCCTATTGTAGGGGAATCTATAGAAAGCAACTAGCACAGAAAGGAAAGGGCACTTTAGGAAGGGCAGCAGACGCAGGAAGTGCTGAATACAGAAAAGCGCAGTGGCATTGCCCTTGTGGCGGGTTGCAGAGGCGAGGACTGACCATGAGCGCAGAATAGAGCGGATCTTGATGGTAGAATTTGATGTTCATTGTTTCTTGCACATTCTCAATCCTGTCAACTCGTATGCGGCTAAGCGATTGGCGATGTCCCCATTTCTTGCGCCACTTTTTGGGGCGGTGTTTCCCGCCGTGTATCTTCGGCCCCCTAAAGTGTCGCAGCACTGTAGCCCATACCTGCAAGGTGTGCAGCAGCAGCACGCCACCGGAAGGGCTCGTCTTAGCAGATTCAGACACATGCTGAAAGAAGGCCTAGAGCAATGATTGGGAGACGATACTTCCATGCGTAAGGATGGACTTTAGAGGAGGAAGAAGAAGCACTAACGCCACAAGGTGCAAAAAGAGGACGCACGAAAGGCTGTGATATATTATTACCGGCTGACACACCGCCCCCAATCACATCTCGGCAGAGGGTTGCTAGCAGCCAGATGCGTGCCAAGCTAAGCTCCTCCGATGGCGTGCTGTGTAATGATCGGGTGATCTACATATATATATATTTATTTATGAATCAGGGCATCGTAGGTGGCCGCTACTCTCCTGTTCTCACCCTGATGTTCTCTAAAAAGGGGCGACCAACGATCGTAGGCCCGTCTTTTTGCTGCAGCAGCAGAACGCGCAGAAGAATCAGCTGCCCACCCTCCTTCTGGTGTATGCGGTTCACATCATAGAATCTGCCCCTTTCCATCCAACGATGAAACCCTCCAATCTCCGCAATGACATATTCCCCGCTCCTCTCTTTTCCATCCCCAACCAGGGCCAACTTTTCTTGCGCTGGCGAGGACAGAAGCGCTCTGGGGGGGCTTCTACCCGGTGCAGGTAAAGGGGGTGACTCTACGGGATGCTGCGGCAATCGACCCCGGGAGGGGAGGTCGCTGCCAACGGGGCCTCCGGTGTGGAAGAGACAACAGGAATGAGATGGTTTTGGTGGAAGCACAAAGGCTGACGCGGCTAAGAGCCCAAAGCACTTGGCATCAAGCTGCTCCTGTGGTTGCGGGTGTTGCTGCTGCTCCTGACCGTGAAATAGAAGCAGCAGGAGAAACAGCCACAGAGCCCCTTGCAAGTTCCTTTCTAGACACATGCTTGTGGAGGCCTTAAAGGGCCTCTTATCACCGAGCCCTCAACAGCAACCCATTCTCTGACGCACAGGGGCCCCCCTTAACAAGGGTCACAGTTTGGCGAGGGGCCCCCAAGATATCTAAAGCGGACGCCTGCAGGTCTACAGTAGGAACCCCGCAGTGATCGGAGAAGCGGTGAACATTGTGAGAGCTGGAAATCGCTTGCGATCGGATATTTTCCCCTCCTGCATGATCATGATGTGGCACGACAGAGGGGGGGCCCTGGTGGGCGGCACCCAAAGAGAGCTCTGGGGTCGCGTTGCTGCAAAGGAAACTACCTTGAAATCCGTTCGGGTTTGTGTAGAATTGCCTAGAGCTTATTGAAATAGTTAATATTCAAATGCGATTCACGCCGTGGACAGCAAAATCGATTAGCTCAGGCAATCGGCGGCTGAGCTCCCGAGAGGGTGGCGCTAAATGGAAACAAGTCAAGTTTTGGTAGCACACTCCATATAGCAGTCTAACACTGATGAATGTGCCAAGATACTTACCTCGGTGAAGGGGCCCTTACTGAAGATTCCGTGCACACTTCTGTTTCTGCAACTTCTCTCCGAACCCCTCCAAGTGGATTTTCAGAAATAACCGCCGTCTCGATCGAAGGAAGAACATGCCGGTCGTAAAGAAAACGGAACGGCCAATAGCACTATTGACGCGGTGGTGCGTCCGTGCGCGCGTACTTTGTTAATTGCTGCTCGTGTTTCTCTAGTACTTCTGGCGAGAAAGAGCCGGGTCCACCGCTTTCCTTCCCTGGAGGAGAGTACTCTTCAGCTACTTCAGAATTAGATTTACGAAGTCTACTACTCCTGGATAATTTGTGAATCGGTAACAACTCTGGGAAACCAGCAGAAGCGACACCATAGGGACTGCTTTCATGCTGAGAGGCCCGAACAGCGCTCACAGCTCAGGACACCGTGCGCTCCGCATCTGAGTGGGTAGTCAGAGGGAATAGGACAGCCTTCAAAGGAGTCAGGAAGGCTTCTACGGCGCAACAGCCGCTTATCGGATACATGATGCGCTGCAAACCCCTAAATCGTACAAGAACTTTGCTTACACTCATAATTTCGAGATTTTGACACCAAGCCGTAGACACTAAACCTAAAACTCAAGCAACAACTCCAGCAGCAAGTGCTACGACTGCATTATTGCAAACAGCAGCACTTGCATGAGAAAAAGGAGGGCGTGAATTCTTCCAGGAGGCATGCCGCTATGCACCCCTGCAAATATCTGGATGCGCACGTTGCCCCCACGGAAGCCCAAATATGTTAAACACCCTGTTAAGTAGGCTCCGAATAGATGTGTATATCTCGAAGTTCTAAGTGCTTGCTGTTGGCAGCAAAATGGAATTCATACACTTTCAGCAGGTACGTACGTATACTTATATGCCGAGTCATCTCTTTTCGCATGAGGAGAAAATGGGATGACCCGGTCCGTTTAGCTGTGTGCACGCGTGCAGACAGGCTTCTTCACTGCAGATGGTTCTACATGCGTCTGCTCCAGCAACTTTAGCGGCGTCTCCCTTGGTCTTACTTCTCACCTTAGGCAGAATCCCTACGAACTTCCTGTAGGGCTGCAGGTGTCTCGATCACCAGTGCCACTAGGCACAAGAACCCCAAAGAGCACCATAAGTAACCTGGAGCTTATGTGACCTGCTTTCCCTCATCCAAATCCTCACCCTCGCTGTCACTGGGGGCTGCTTTGTACCCGTGTTCTCCGCCTAAACGCATGGTGTAGCTGCTTACAGAGAAGACGGGCTCTGCCCCATAGAGCGGATTCCCCTGTAACTGCTGCAGCTGCGGCTGCGCTTCCGGCGCTTTGTCTTCACAATCGATAGGGAAGCCAGCTTCCATGTCTCCGGTGCTGAGCCTTTCCAGAAGTTGCTGCTGGCTCGTTGCAGCACTGCTGCTGAAGCTGCCTCGCAGGAGGGCCACAGGGTCCGCGCGGGCGATAAACTCCCGAAATTTTTTCCAGGGCGCGGGGCCGTTTGTCCTCTCAACTAAGTCCGTATTGGGTACCGTTTCAGTCCCTAGAGCCCTTCCCGAAGGCCTCCCACTCCGCTCTGCAGCCAGTAGGAAATAAAACAAGATTTGCTTGGCTAGGGCAAGGAGGGCTCCAGAGAGTGCACAAGTGGTAGCGTATATGGGGGCCCCTGAAAGTAGCAAGCCTGCTGGCAGACGCTCTCCACAAATGAGCGTGAGACCTCCGAGAGAAAGAAACGCCAGAGAGCCGTCTATGCACATGTACATCAGCATAATGGCGGACTGCACGGAAGTGCCAAACCAGTAGCAGGAGCGTGTCAGCGAGGGGGCCCCATCCAAAAGATCCATGAGAGAAGTGGACTCCCCAGCTGCTGCTTGAAGTGACATTAGCGCGTCTTCGATCAGTGAACTGGTGTCTGGTGCTGCTGGCTGGCCTTCTGGTCCGGCTGTGGAGTCGCGAGGGAGCAGTCGTTCTGTTGCATCTGTTGGAATAGGACTCTCCTGTTGTTGGCCATCCACAAAGACAGCCCCATCAAAGCCGATGTCTTCACCCTCTGATTGCAGTGGGGCCCCCAAATAAAAGGCCATGTCATGCGGTTTGGGGCGAATAGACACTGTACACATGCGCAGCAACCACACATGGTGGCATCCAGAGCAGCAAATGTAGGTGCAGAATCGCTAGTATCAGCTTCTGCGATGGCGGCAGGCTGCTCAGCAGCCGCTCTGCATAAACACCTGACCCTCGGCAGCACACAGAGGACCACCAACACTGGAGTTTGCATAAAAAAAGACTAAGTCCTTCTTCTATCTCTTCAAACCCCCATGCCGCCCCCTCTTCCGCCGGCCACCTGTTTGGGGGGCGCCGAACAACCAACCCCGCCACACCACTGGCCATGATCAGGAAGACCTCACATCACGAAACTGGCCTCCTACACTCACCATCAGAAGGTCCAGAGAATTCCGGTAGGGTCACGACCCATTGAAGCCAGGAATCAAGCCTCCACCACTTTGAGAGCATCTTGGAGAAGTATTCCTCCTGAGGGGCTTCCACGTCGTGGGGTCCTGCACCGTACCCTGGTGGGGAGAGGGATACGGAGACTACTTGCATGAGGGCCTTAAAGCCAGTCCTCCAGATGCAGATGGCGGGCACAGCGAAGGACAGTGCAGCAAATGAAAAGCCCCCGCCAAGCAGCAGCAGCGTTGCTACCCAGCAGCTGAGGTTAGCAAACGTGAAGCAGCACTGCAGCAGCAGTTGAAGCAGACGTAAGCCCAAGGAAGGCTTGAAGGAGGCACATTCAACAGGCCAGTACAGGCGGAGACCTGCGGGAGAAGCAGTTGATGAAAGTGCGCACAACTCTAGAAAGCAACAAACCCATTTGGTGCACATATTTGGCCCAACAAAAGCGATGGAAGCGGGAGGCATCAGCTGCGGTTGGGTGACTCCAGATATAAGTCATGCTAATGGGGGAACCAACGAGGATCTACTTCTCTCCATTAAGAATTTCTCAACTTTTCGGTCTTACTAGCTTTGGTGTGAACCCTTGCAATGGCCCAGGTGCACAGGCCGAGGGGTCCCCCCAAAAGGAGTGAACCACAGACGAGGCGGATAGTAGGCACTCGGGGAGAGACTCCTAGGAGGAGGGAGGAGAGAGAACAAAATAAAAGGGCAAGAGCAGCTGCGCGACAGAGGGACATGGGCAGATGTAGAAATCGTATTATGAGGCTAATGCACCATGAATTCCTGCTGCCCTTCAGGCTGGTGCTATTGCCACTGGTACGGAAGAGCCAAAGTGTGGAGAAATTTGGGCCCTCAAATTACACACAAGCACCAAGGGGAAGGAGCTGGGAGAGGAGAGGGCACGGGTGGTCGCAATCGAAGATGGCACTGGACAACAGTAAGGCGAAAACACAGGTAGGGAGCACCAGATACGCACAGACAGTGAGACCACGAGACAGAAAAACTTGCAAGGGCCTTATCCGAGGGTTATGCGCGGACCCACACAGCACGGGAAAGCAAAGGAAGGGCTCCGGCAGAAGGTGCAGACAGCCGACGGAGAGAGGCCATAAATAAAAAGGGAGCAAGCCACATGTTAGCCAGGCGCAAAGCAAGAATATGCAGAATTACGCATCTGTAAGTGTTCAGAGAAGACACTGTACCTAAAGAGCCCTGCCTTACCGACGGTGACGTGCATCCCCAATACGAGCCTCTCAAGACCCAGGGCCTCCTGAAGGGCAGCACATGCCTCCACTAAAACGAAATGTGCGCTCCTCCACTTATTGTGTAGCGCGTTAGGCATTCCTGCGACTGCCGCTGCAGCAAGACCGGTACACAGCATAACAAGGCCGCGCATGTCTGTGCGCCACACCAGTTCGAAACCCGCGCTTTCACGCAAACCCCGTTTGTCTGCCTCTGTGACCCTCTGCTGCAGTTTTCCCTTTTTGGCCCCCTGCACTTCTCAAGGCTCCTTTAGCGTGTTTGCCTCTCCCTCCCTGGTGAGAAGGAGCTGATCCCCTTCCATGGCGAGACCTATCCACATGAGGACTGTCGACAGGCGCCTCAGAAGCGGGATCTCCACCCTTTTTCCTCAGGCGCTCCTGTGAGTGTCAGAAAGCACTTACCTAAGAGAGTGGAAAAGAACCTTTGGACCGCCTCTGGGGCCAAGTTGCGGGCCCTTGCGCACGCGTCTTTTGTGGCCTCCAGGGACCACAGCTTCTGGGGTTTGGAAGTTCCCCACGGTTCCCCCCAGCCGTGAAGCTCGATTTCATCATCATCGCTATCGGTGATGGCTGTTCGCACAGAGGTCGCTCCCACGGCTTCCGCAGCTACAGAGTCCTCCCCTGTGTAGTTGACCGCCTTGTCTGCTGGTCCCAGGGGACTATGGGTGCGTGTAGAGCCGCCGGAGGCCTCCGGACCTGTGGATGTTTGCAGTCTCTTGGAAAGGTGGTGAGGTGTCAAAGCGCCAGAAAGACCCTTCGGGAACTCCTGGGGTTCCTCACCCCCTGGCAAGATAGCCAGTGACATGGCGAAGGACGGGGAAGTGCTGTTGCTGCTTTGCAGCCCCCTCCCGTTCTGCCTCTGTTTTACGGCTTCAATCCCTGCTGAGTGACAGGGTTGACGCTCTATTGCTCTTGGGAGGCCTCTCAAAGCGGTGACTGGAGACCGAGAGGATAGACAGTGGTGAGCGAAGCAGCCGGCACAGATCTGCAGTTCGGGCGCAAACAAGGTCCCTGTGTAGAAACTCAGATGTTAAAACCGATATATATAAGGTAAACACTGTAAGATTAAGAAGGTTGGGCGTATTTTTTGAGTTTCACGCAATAACACGGAAAGGGCAGCAAACGGCCTGGGCCTTCGGGCGCGGAGACCTGCACGTGCCACCCGCCGCTGTCTCTGGTTTCTGCTTTCGTGTGGGGGCTCCAGATGACTCTTGAGTCATAGTCACTTAGTCAGAAACAATAAAACGTGCCGTACGCGCTACCATTCATGTGTTAAACCAAGGAAATGCAGCTACAAAAACTAGGGGACCTGTCAGAGTCACTCCCAGGTGACTCGGTAGGAGGGCCACACAGAAAATTGCAGCACGCAGAAAGTACAAACGGAGTATTCGTTTCTTTGTTGATGAACAGAGCATGGAAAGTATTAGCCAGCAATTTTGAAATTGCTGTTTTACGCCAAAACATGTAGCCCATAGCCGTAACGGGCGTGCGAGAGAGGTCCACAGAAACCCCAGTGGGAGCGCAGCAGGTACGCAGTGCAAAAGAAGTGACTTCACCCTAGGTAGACATTTTAACGCTGAATTGCTCCTTTCGGGATGTTCAGACAAGAAAAGTAGAGGCAGGATTAATGTTGAGTCCCAGTTTTCCGTCGGCTTCTTCAATACCTTTGACAGGTCACGGCTTTATTTGGTTAGACTCACTCTTCCTTATGGTCTTGAAAATAAGAGGGCAGATAAGGCATGCAGGGGTCTGTAACAAAGGTCAACTTTCACTCTTCGCAGCTGCATTGTTGATGTTAGGGACCATACTGGGGGGGCACTTGTAGTGGAACGAATATTGAAACGCCACCCAAAGCTCGTGCGAAGGACAAGGCACTCAACCTTAGGTGGCTCCTCTACATATTGCCTTTCGGGAGTGTTTGTAGGCAACGACGGTCAGCAACATACCTCAGGAGATGGCATTTCGAAGCCAAGATGTAAAGCTGCACTTTAACCCCACTACGGCGTATGTCTTTGATGCCGCTTATACAGTATCTCAGTTTGGCCATAGGTGATTTGAAACTGAAAGAAAACCCAAGCGGATCTGCATAGTGCACCTCTGAGGGTCTCCAAAGGGAAAGCCTTCTAGCCTCAAACCCGAAAAGAAAACTACGAAGAAAGTTCTGTAATGCTCTTCCAAAAAAGCTCCCTTCTTCCTCTCGTTGCCCTCACCACCCCACAGGGTTCCTGCAGGGGGGATAATGAGATGGAGATAGGGTGAGGGGCAATTCGCTGCATCCTATAAGCGCTCCGAATATTCCCACCCTGTTGCACACCACAACTCCGCGCACAGGTCCACGGCCATCATTCCTATTTCATTGATCTAACTGCTTGAAGCACAATAGAGAATATGCCAACAGGCACTTTGTGCTGTAAGAGTTGTACCAAGCGGATATTTAGATAAGTGTGGATGGATTGGTTTCATGAAGTAGTTGAGCTACGCCCGCTCTAAGCTGGGGAACCCAGGGGGATGTTTTCCCGAATATCGTCTTCCTCCAACTCAGAGAGTCCATGGACTGGTACAACTTGACTGAATAGACAGAAAAATCAATCTCTTTCTTTTGACTATTACTACATACTGACCCAGAGAAGAACTTGGCACGGGCATCCAATGACTCTTCCCCTGACTTCCCCGGGTTGGTACGGTGTTCAGGGTCCGTTACATTATTCTATTTCTGGGAAAAAGCGGCCACCTCAGTCTGGTAGCCAAAAGTGTTGCTGTCTTCTGACTGAAAAAATTCACTGGTCTAGCACTTGTGGAGAGGGCAGAGAGAGACTGTTGCTTTACTCCCTCAATAACCTCTTTCTGTGTCCAGTAGACTAACACATACCTCCTTCCCTTTGATCCTGCACACGAGAACTCTCCCATGGGCTTGCTTAAAAGCGTCCTCTTCAAGAGGGGCAAGCTCCTTGAAGGACCTTGAGGCCTTTAAAAATAGGCTATATGTATTTCCCCATAAGGGACCTCTTCCAGCAGGTATACCTCCTTAATTCGGACCCCCTCATGTTTTTTTTCGGCTCAACAGTCTCACAAAGGAAAGCTCGCCAGGGAATTGCCTCCACCCGCGTATGCCCCTCGAGCTTTGCGCTGAGGCATTAGGAGGCTTGCGCAGTGGTTTTCCGGTAGGAGGAAGAAGTGCACTGCAAGGAGGTGCAGGGCTCTTATTGACAGGAACTGAGGGCCCCTGCTGCTGACGCACATATATAGGAGAAGCTTCTGCAGTACCAGTGTTATGTGAATCAGGAGGGGAGGCAGGTACACAATCCGTGGATGCAGTCAAAACAGAAGATGTAAAGGGAGGCGGTGTGCGTATCCGGCCTCGCAGAGCCTCCACTGCAGGGGTGGGGGCCCATGGCCAGCTCTTGGTGTCGGGGTGGCACCCAGCATCCCCCCCCGCAGCAGTATTCGAAAGCCCATCCACCACAACGTCCTTCCCTGTCTTTGTGATTAATAGCTTTTCTTTTCGCGAGGAGGGGTCAACAAATGGCCCAATAGGGCTCCCAGGAACGTCCTCAAAGAGATGAGTCACGGAGGGTAGGCGGTATGGGGGATCGCCCTGGCAATCATTTTCATCAGGGACTTTTGAGGCAAGATCCTCGCTTTTTACTGAGAAGTGAGTGCTGTTAGATCCCGCGGAGGGGCCGCAGACTGGAGGCAGTGGTACGAGGCCCATTTCCTTTACTGTAACAGAACGAAGGGGACCCTCCAAGCGAGCGCTGTTGCCGCCCGTGCTGCTGCTGCTGGTAGATGGATCGCCCTTGTTGGTGCTGTTTGCACCATTGTTAAATCCGCATCTGTCCTTCTTATTCACGATGCAATCCCCTAGAGTGGGGGAGTTGGGAGGTCCCTCGCATACCGACGTTTCCCATGTGGACCGCAACAGCACTGGGACTTTTGGACCCATGACAGCAGCTGGAAGGCCCCTCCCAGCGACCTTTGTCACTGTTGTCATAGAGCCCCTACTTCCATTGCCTGCGTGCTCAAGGGCGTAGGAGGCCCAATGCCGTTGCGCAGTGTCTGTAGCAACAAACCAACAGCTCAACGCTCCAGTTACAAAGAACCCAGCAACACGGTCCCTCAACAGCAGCTGCAACAGAGCGCTTACCGATGAGTGCAAGTATCTGCCTGCAAACAGCAGGAGAGGCCTTAGGGAGGGGAAGCTTCATTATATGCCGCGGCTTGTCCAGCATCGAGAACTGGAGGGCCCTGCGCGCCGTCGCCTCCAGACCCTCACCATCCTAAAAAGGAAACGTAGGCAGAGTAGACTACGGCAGCTTCGAAAAAGGAAGGCAGCGCAAAAATGAGTGGAGACGGACAGATGGAAGAGGAGGAGGCAGCAGCGGCAGTGGCAGCTCGATAAAGTAAAGCATAAAAGCAGTGCACTGCATATCTCAGTCTAGTGCGCCGCACTAGTACGTGCGATGCTGGCAGCATACCTCCTTCGCAATAAAGGGATTCGCTCCATAGGCGAGAAGCAGCCGCACAGCGGGGAGGATGCCCCAAAAGACGGAGAAAAAGAGGGGAGAGGGAAGTCCCGCAGATAGCACGAAAACATCTGGAGACGCCCCGTTCTCTAGCAGCAGCTGCATCTACGGGAAGCATGCGGCAGAATGAGAACACCCTGACACGAAATTGGTGCACCAAAGTGTAGCGCGACGCAGCAGCAAAACCAACGGGTGACAACTGCGACCTGAGAAAGGGCAGCAGTGCTGCATTACCGACCATTACCAAGCCTACCAGTTCAAGGTTCCGGTTGATCGCCGCCTGCAGTAAGGCTGGCAAGTCCTCTCCAACACCAATAACAACGGGAGCCATTAGAGCGGCTCCCGCTGCTTCAAGGTCGCTCACAGATGGAATCTCTCCCGAAGCACTTGATGCAAAGCCTCCGTTCCCCTGGGCTTTAGCTGCTTCTGCTGCTTGGCGCAGGCTGAATCTGATGCAGTACTTGAGCCCGAAGGCCGCCAGCCGTTTTGCCGCCTTTGCTTGTACTGCTGTTCTAACAGCTTCCTCGTTCTCTGCATGGACATAGGAAATAGGGGCCTCGGGAGCTGCCCCAAAGGCGAGGAGGAGACGAGCCTTCTCCTCCGCTGCGCTGCCACATGCAGCAGCAACACCTAGAGCAGAAAGTCCATGCTGCAGCAACAACGGGTTACACCGCAGCAGCACGTGGATATGCGTGCCATGGTGCTGCCAGCCGCTCAGGAAGCCTTGCCACTGCTGCTTCAGCCTGTGTGTACGATTTTATTTTGTTACTGCTGACTCCTCACCCTCTTATAGTTGGGATTCGCTCCGCGCTGCAGCAGCCGCTGCAGCACTGCAGGTGAGCTGGCAGCAGCGGCGGCCACGAGGAGACGCCCTGTGCCAAACAGCTCAGACGCTAAGCACTGTCACCGGGGCCCCAAATTCGTATGCACTTGCCTGCAAGTTTAGCATGGATCTTACGGTATCAGCATACGCCGAAGACGCTCTTTAGCCCTTAAAGCCGTTCTAGACACAAGGGGATCGGGAAGGACTGCGCGCTAGAAATGTGCGCCGTGCTAGAAAGGCGTATATGAGAGATGCGCGTTCTTCACGAGTTGTGGGTGTTAAGGGACTGCACGAAAGAAGGCTATTTAATAGCTCAATAAGACACACAGTTTAGAAGTCCGCGAGGCTTTCAACGAAGCGAGGAATTGAGGGCTAAGGTGCAAGACTCCTCACTGGGTTGCTGCGTCAGCTCGGCAATCAAGTGATGCACAACGGGGATTCTGGAGTATAGAAGGCCCACTTCACCGACGAGCAAGAGCGGGGAGTTCTTTAACTGATGCAACAACTGTTGCTGCTGCTTGCTCTCTCCCGCGGCGGCGTTTCCATTGTAGAAGAACCACGTGTCGGAGATAGGCCCCCAACCGCAGCCCGCAGCCTTCGGAGTCTGCAAAACGGCAGGGCGGGGGGCCCCCCCAGAGGAAGGCCCATCAGGGCCCCTCCTACCCCACATCCCACTGCTGCTCGAGCAGAAGAGCCTGGTGCTGTGGTCAGAAGCAAGAGCAGAAGCTGGCCTCTGTACGCAGAGGTGTGTGAAGCTCCTGGGTGGCCCTGCGGCCTTCGCTTCACCGGCAGCAGCGTTGCATGACAGTGACGAGACCGCCCGACCCTCCCTTTCCGACGGACGGAAGGAGGCGGACGGCCATGTAGAGTCTACACTGCAGCCGTGTGTGAACAGGATCTCTAGTAGGGTCGTCTGCTGCGGCCATTGCTGATGCATTGCAGCAAAAAGCACGTGCAGGCACGCGGCATCCCCAGCAAAAGCGAGGGCATCTGCCTGAAATTCGTAGCGCAGACCAGGAATCACGAAGCAGAAGAAAGATGCGCAGGCGCAGCCGGCAGTACAGCATTCGCCTACTGGATTTTTGCCTCTGAGAGCGGCTGTTGCCCAGTGCAGCGTGCCCCCCTGAAGCCCACGAGTAGCCAGCAGCACAGCACGCAGTTCACACCTGAGAGGGGCCTCTCTTGTTCTGCTTCAGCGTCGAAAGCAAACCCTTGGGGTCCTCCTCTTCTAAAGCACGCAAAAGCCGTGCAGCAAACGCGGGGGGGATACCTTGTGCAGCCCTTCCAGAACATCTTCCTTTCTCGGTGAGGGCGCTCCGCCGGGTAGCCGTAAGCACAGGAGGCCCCTGTGAGCCCTTAGGGCCTTGAGGCCTGCATAAAGGGCACGAGGGATCCTGGAGTTGGGAAAAGGGAACGGCGGAAGCACTGGCCGTGGCTCCCATCGCGACCAACGGAAGGGGCCCTTGGGGCCCCCAAGGCGAACTAATTGTCAGCCATAATACGCCCCCTTCGGGGGAGGCCCCTCGATGAGCCACTGTGTGCGTAGCTGAAGGCAGTGCTCCTGTTGCTGTTGGCGGAGGTGCTGCTGCTGTTGCATGTATGCTGCTGGCGTTTCGAAAGCCATGCACCGAGCCTCCGTTTCACGGGTCCATGAAAGAAGCTGGGAATTTGGCTACTCAGATCTACAAAAAAAACAAAGTAATGTTGCTTGTAATGGCTCCTTGATGGAGGGCTTGCAGGGGTGGCCTCGGTCCTGCTGAGGCTCGGGGTTAGTGCTCGTAAGCGGCGAAGGTGACTTGCTCAAACTGCAGTGGCTGGTTCGTGAGAAAGAGGTGTGGAAAGAAGGGGACAAAATGAGCTTTTTGGAGGCATGCTGATGCTCGCGCTGCCCTAGGCGCCGCCCATGTACCTGAAGTGGATCAGTCTGAACGTTGCAGTCCGAGGGAACAGCCAGTGACAGACAAGAGGCGAAGAGGCATAGAAGAAGAAGTGAAAGGATCTAATAAATCACTAGAACACGGGGAGAGACGGATTACCCGGAGCAGAAGGAAGCAAGGAAGGAAGGCTCTGTGCGTAACCTTGCCGTGCATTAAGACTCAGCCGGACACGCACAACCGCGAGCTGCCTGTGTCACGAGGGCCCGCCAGCGAAGAATGAAAAGGTAAAGAGTTAATGAGCAAGATATTTGGCATTAAACCTTTGCCTTTAATGTCTCAGCCTTCTGAAGTTAGAAATACACGCAGGGAAGAAGGAAGGAACACAGCAGGACCTGCGGCTGCAGGGGGGTGTCCTGGCCCAGATGCCCCCCTCATCGATGGGCCGCGGCGGTGCTGTGGTCTACTAAAGCAGATTCTTTAAAATATTTAATTTTGTAACGACCTTCGAACCGAATCAGACATGATATCAGGTAACAAACGTGAGGAAGAATTGTGTAGAGGGTAGTTCGCACGTGCACCGTTCACAGGCCCACTGGACTACCTCAGATGCTCGGGTCAGTCTGGTGCCTCCATCGGATATTCCGTCGACAAGAAGCTCTGAAAAAAAGTAATAGCTATCTTTTTTGGCCTTGCTACAATTCGCTTCCTGTGGAAGCATTTATAGTTTCGCTAGCTGCCGTAGCCACGGCAGCTCTATTTGCAGCGATCCACGACCCAACAAACCAGCGCACTACTTGACCGATTCAGGGGTGGCGACAAATTGGAAGGCTTATTGTGGCACCTTGTAAGGATACCTGCCAGGGTCTACCATTCGGCACACTCTTCATGTATAGAACCTGAGACCTGATGGCGTCCCACAGATGGACTGAGGAGGGCCAGCCTACACATAGAGACTCTTTGCTACGCTAGTTACATTTAATTCAAAATTCGTAGCTGTTTAGCTTGAGTACTCATAGATTCCCTACTATTTATCAAGCATTTAGCTCAACTTAGAAAAACGAATGCCGTGCACCTATGCACCGAGGTGCACCAATAGGTTGGGAATGTTCGGAGCACTCAAAGGGAGCGGAAACGCTCATTCGCTCTAGATCTACTCCTTTTCCCATTCTAAAAGAACACTGGCGTGATGAGAGCAGCGAAAGGAAGGAGGGAGCTCCTTTGCAGGATCCTTACAAATGCCTTTTTAGGGTTGATATCGGGTTTAGGGTTGGGAAGTTCTCACTTTGAAGACCCCGGACACATCTCTGCACTGGCGCATTAGACCGGAGGGGACATGTCTACGTTGGTTTGCATTAGATCATCCCCAGTCTTCCAACCAGCATTTAATGCCTCTCTAATACCCAATTGTCTTACGTATACCTAATGCCAATCCGCCATTTGTAAATTACTCTTGGCTTGTGTCACCACTACCATCAGACCCTCTCTTATCCCTTGATGTTGATGCTTCGTTCTTTATGACCTTACGTAATCTTTAAGGCCGTCACTTGTGCCTGTAGGGACCTCAGGTCTATGTGCTTGACTAGCTAGAGCTTATTCGCGTTTTCACGCCTCCGCCTCTGCATAGTGGCTGCATTCACCTTTCGGATATCCCTATATAGTTGCTCCTCCGCATGGTGAGGCTTTGAAAGGCGGCTTTTTCCTACTTCATAATGCATTCCTTGCTTTGAATTATCGTTGTTCCAGTGCTGTTTGCAGTTTTTGCAGCAGGATGAATTTTGTAGGCTAATAAACACGGGAGCTCTATTCCTTAGCTCTAAGTTACTGAATGATACTGGATGCAGTGCTTAAAGTAGCTAAAAGCTGTCCTCCCCCCTTTTGCAGTATGGCCTTTCCATCCAAAGTCTCTATAGGAGGAAAACCGGCCCCAAACCCAGCGCAAAACCCAATAGAAGGTCTTTGACTGTCCTTCCGAAAAGGCTTCCCTCTCTCCACGGGCTCGTCCCTCACGGTTCTTGCATAAAGGTAAGGGGAACAGCTGAAGTGTGTACTACTGAACTCTACAAACTTTTTAATCAGTCTTCACAGCTAATTGTATATCTAGCGCACAGGCACACAACATTGATTTTTTATTTTAGCCAGCTTTACTCTGCAAACATATAAACGACCAAAGCAAATGTTTGCTTTTAAACTACTTTTTGTTCTAATATAATCAGCGTAGCAAACTGCGACGGTGTAGATTCTCCCGTCACAATATTGGAGGGTTGTGGGATGAGGATGCTTAAAAGAGGAGGGAAGTATTTGGAAAAGAGCGCTTCATAGCTCTATGAAATTTTTGTATCGGAAACTGGAGCTATGGGCCTCCTGATGCAGCTCGTAGATGGATTACCCATGTGACATTATGGTTGTAGCTGGCTAAGGTGCATCTAGGCACTTTCTACGAAACCAGTTCTAGTATAGTGAGGATTCGTAGGGAATTTGCCAACGGGTTTGGCTCTGTGCACATCTTATTCCAGAGTTGCATTAACTAGTTGAAACGCAAATTCCAATTTTCTGTGGATATGTGCCATTGGCTATATGCAACTAGATGTGAATGCTCGGAGTTTTTCATGGGCGTAATAATACACCTCTCAGTTGTCCCTTTCACCTAATGTCGGGATCCCTGCGGGTCGTGGGCAGCAAAAGGAGAGAGCTGTTTCAAAAAGTGCTCAATATCTTTCCTTTAGGTCTGTATGAACCGGGGCTCACATCTTCCTATGGGTACTCCAGATGGAACGATATAGCTGGTAGTACCAGATGTTTAGGTGCAGCTGAACCCCGTTAACTCACAGACTGTGGATGTAGTAGGATGTCAGGTTCCCTATAACGGTTGTCTGGTTTTGATAAAGTCAATCGGTGATTTGGTCATTTTATATTCCTTGGCAACAGTCTGGAAAAGCAAACTTCTGGCGATGGAGACGGAGGTACAACAACGCGAGCTGGGTTGGCATCGGGTTGCTTGCAAGCCGATGTATGCTGCAGTAGCCTAACACCTAGTAGGAAGTCATGGCTGGTCAGCTAATAAAGTAATCATGGATGCGTCGAAGAGGTTGTTCCGACCAGAAAAGTACGATGCTGTAGGCAAATACTCGAAGGTTCAATCAGGCGGCTGGAGATTCACCCCGCTTTACAGTTCCCAGATGAAGTAAAGAGATTGCTTCTTGCCGTGTTTCTATAAAGGAAGAAGCACTTGACCATGGCTTCACTGATGCAGAGGAAGCCGCATGCCTGCAGGGAATATTAAAATTCAAGTCACTATACAATCCCTGACCCAGAACATCATCCCGACATCAGCTCAACAACAAACCTTGAGAGAACTGTTAAAACATATGGAGAAGAAGCTATCGATTTATTTATATATCGCGAAACATAAAACTTTGATGTACAAAACATCACAACGTAAACGAGAAAGCGCCGTCTCACTATCACGTCTGGTGGCCATAGGATGGGCAGCGAGTTGAAAATCAAACATTTGACTAGTGACGCTTCCACGAAGAATGACCTACATGTTTCGGGAGCCTTTGAGGAGACAGAGCAGAAGTGCACATTCTGCTGTTCACTCAATAGCACAGTCCCTCAAGCCCAGGTTTGCTCTCGGGCGACATAACGCAAGGATTCAAAAGGCTACAACAGTGAAGAGCCGGCTAAAACGTGCATTATTCTAGCAGCATGGTCTGTGGCTTTTACGTTGGGCCCACGCTCCAAGACACAGTTTTGGGTATACCTTGGGCAACCTCATGGGGGGGCGCGGTGTGTGGCCACGCCTGCGTGGTGCACAAATTAGCGTGACAGTAAGATCTAAGGAGAAGCGATCCTTGGCTTCTTCCACAACGCGCATTCCATTCATGATGAACGCGGTAGAGCTCGTACCCCAACAAGGGAAGGCACAATCTCCATGCTGGTGGCTCAGCCACGTTGTAAGTGGAGACAGTTTTCAGCATGCAGCCCCAATTCAGTGATCTTAAAATCGCTCCTTTATTCAAAAATTCAATGGATCATCGGGGATGACTCATCGGCAATCAGCATGGTGCTCGAATGTGTGAAGCGTGCGCTACAAGCTACCAGCAGGCTCGCCTCCCCCACAGGTCGTTCACTGCACCGTACCGGGCTAGACCCCTTTTCAGCTCCAAGCCCTGTTTCGAGCTATAGGAAGCCCCCAGCATGGAGCGAAGGTTGCGTGGCAGTCATGAAATTTGTTGAGAGGAGGCGAAATGCAGAATATACCACAGCTTTTAGGCCTAACCCGATGTAGGATGTAACGTGGGCCAAGTGCGATAACGTCAAACTACTAAACAAAATTGCAGTAGAGCAGAAGTTTCTGGCACCTTATACAGGCAAACTAGCTGACAGATTGCAAGTATCAGTAGCCTATCCAACACTTGCTTTCACAGTTGCCTACTTCCAAATCCCTAGTGTCTTGGCCAAAGTGTTAAAGAGCACCTGGAGCACCTTGGGTGTGTATATTAGCTCATGCTGAACAAGCCGTGGAATGTGAAGCCATACAAGTATTTGCTTTATACGACAACATGTGTGGATCAAGCAGTCCCTCCTTTGGATGCATCGGGCCTGATCCAACAAAAACTGCATGCAATTAAGACGTGTCCTTTACCTTGACGCATCCGCGAGGGTGTTGTGAAGCTGTATGAGAGCGTACCACACTACCTCAATTTCACTCCTTGGTATTCTCGAATCAGAACTCCTTGAAATACCTTTCTTATGAGCATACAGTCTAAGACCCTGATACCTGAGACCGACGCTGCAGCAGAACGTTTATACGCGACCGCACATCCCTGCCTGTACTTGTATTACCCGATTCTGAGCGTCATATCTTCCTAAGAGCAATGTGAACCCCCCAGCGGTGAAATATATTCTCAATCAACAGTCTATGGGTTGCTCATAGCACTGGATTACTGCATGCTACTCTCCTGGTTTCGCCAAAACCGAGCAGAGGTATTTGATGCAAGAAAAGAAGTCGTATGGGCTGTATTGGGGCGTGGAAAAGTAGCGGCGCCCTATCTGTAAGGGTGTCATTTTAGTGTCCACCTCACCCATCTGTCTTTGTTCTACGTTGAAATAAGCTTGCACGACTTCGAAATCCCCAAATGTTTCGCTGGCATGGCCGTCTCCTGCAATATGACTTTACAGAAAAGTATACAAACAGCATACCAACGTGGTCGCCAACGCGCTCGCTCTTACGACGCCAGAGCAACGAACTACTGTGCAACGCAATGGTTTTTATCTATGGTAATTCCCCATATCTACGACAACTGCGTAATTCTGCTGCTTCCAACACCTATTCATACTCTAGTATTGCCAGCATCCACAGTGGCAAAGGTGAAGTACCAGCACGTAGAGGATGACATGTTGCTGTTAAAAAAAGTGGACTCTGTAGCTTAGGCAATCAGACTTCACTCGGCAGCACTGTTTGCGCAGAACACATAACAATGTTCGTCTGAGTCATGATAGGATATACAGTGCAGTGGAAAAGCTCTTATGATATATTGGGTTGCGTGAAATGTGGTCCGCGGCAGTTTTGTACGCATTGTCATGGCTAGATTGTCCGCAGCAAAAGCCGCGCCACGCTCCTAGATTCAGACATTTTGGCAAAGCCATCTTGGTTTCTTAAAAGACCTGGGCTGACTCGACTTTGTGCTTTCATATTCAACTGCCGGAGGTCAAGGGTCAGGCTAGCATACGTTGTTGCCAAGAATATATGGATAATTGGCCCACTTCATTCTTCACTCCAGTCTTGTCTGCCTCAGGAAGTCCCTCAATTATTCTTTATTCATGTCTGAAGGCTTCAACGATGTTATAGGAATGTCGTTACAGGTGGGCAATTTAAGTTTGTTAGTGTGTTTGGCGTGGCTTCATGACCTTCATACTAAACAGAATGTGGCCACCACGAACGACCTTGTGGAAGATGGGCAGACAAAACGCACCAAGGGCACTCTTTTGCAGCATTTGTGACTTCATACTCACAAAAATTAATTTTGCGTTTGATTTTTTTTTGTGGTGGATGGGTTTGTAGTACCACAGTACACTCTTTTCCTGTTGCTCTCCTGCGACCTTGTCTACACTGAGGAGACCCCCTCGGACCTAAATCTGGACCAGGTGATCAGGATCCAGTAATCACTCTCACAAATGTAGGATTCCAGAGAACAGCTGGCTAGTTCAGGCCAAGGTATACGCAAACCTCGAGAGAAGCAAGCACGGAAATATGATGAGGCGATCAGCTGTGTGTCTCGGGCATGCAAATGTGATCATGGTAGAGCGACAGGCTCGAAGAGATGCACCAAGGGGTGAGTAACCGAAGACCTTTCCGCCCAGTTCGTTGGGGCCCCTTGCCATTCTCCCACAAATCAATGCTATTGCTTCTTACACTACCGAATGCCCCCAAAAGTTGGATTTGCCACAAAATTATCAATATTGAGGTCTCGAGGAAGCTTTAAACTCTCCAAATTATTCGCTGACTTCATCGCGCAGGCAATTGGCCGATATGGAGGTGAAGGATCCACAGGGAACCGTAGAAGTGCTGTATCCCAGGACTATTGAGTGTCGAGGGGACACTAGGCAGGAGGTTTTACTGAAATGGGGCGGTAGAACCAGCTTCACATACTGACGAAAGAACAGTCGCGGATACCGTCTGGCTTGTTAACATCGCTATTCACTATGAACAGTATTCCTTGCGTTTGCTGATCATTGTTTTCCCTAGCTTACGGTTTCACCGAAAAGGCTGCCTTAATATAAACACTCTGCTAGAAAAGCTCTCGGCTGTTGTTGCTAAGGTGTCCTTCCAGTCAGATGTATGCCCAGGCATTCTGGGGTAGGCTGTCTCTACATTCCTCCTTGAGCCTCTGTTGGGGCTTCGGAATCGGCAATGCTGGATGCAACGGCCGTATTTGCATTCAATCACTGCTCTATAAGACTTACCGCACAGCTGGTCTAGTGTTTATTTTGATTACCTCTACTGATCTAACCTGTCTTCTCACTTCTCGTAGCAGGGGGCTCACACACTTCAGCTCATCGACAACAGCGGGCCCATGGCGCTGCCGCGATCCTTCTGGCTGGTCCCTCCTGCATTGCTTGCTGCTTATGTACCTTTATTCCGGTCGACCTTTTTAGCGGCTGCTGCACACTTTGTTTTTATCAGTTGCATGATGTTTGCGTCTCTGCCTGTCTGGGGAATGTGGCGATTTGGGCACAACCCTTCTGCTGTCCTGGGAGCAGTTGGATTCTCCAGTCAGGTGCGGGAAATAGGGATGTATGCTTTTTAATGAAAAATCTGGGCTCAAAGCGCTCTGGGCTAATGTACACTCACGCGCTGTCTATTACTATATTTTAACCAAGAATCGGTAAAGAATCGACAAATCTGTTTGTCTCATCGTACATTTTCATTACTGTGTACCTTCAGCTCAACATGTTGAGATTATTTGGGTGTGTTCGCGCTAGATGCTACGTGCAATTCGCTGTGAATAGTCGAAGTACTCCGACGAGGATGCAGCTACGTGTGCCCTAGCTGTACCTCTTCTGCTAAATTGCATTCAGAGAGGCGCGGGAAGGCAAGGGAGGGATCTCTCCTAGAAAACATTCAACAGCCTGCCATAATGTTTGTGTAGTGTATGGAGGTGCGAGTTGCCCTATGGTGACTTAAAATGCAGAGTTACATTGATACTCTGTATGTGAGCGAAGCAACCTGCAGGCTGCGACTGTTATTGCCTTGTACCTCATAAAAAGAAATCCTCAGAGTGATTTGAATCGTGGTGTGTATCAATGCAATCATATTGGATTAGGGTATCACTGGAGTACTCTCAATGAAACTTTCCTCGAAGCTTGCTGACCGAGCGGGAAGGGGCAAGCATAGAACCAGCAAGAGTTGTCTCGCTCCATGCGTGCAGTTGATAATGTCTAATCCAGAATGTTACAATTGTGTTGGGAAAAAACGCGCAGTTTTAAGGGACTAATGGCTATGAAACAGGGAGGAATCACTCCTCTATCAGCTGTAGAAAACTGCAAAGCCCTTAACTGCAGAACGCATGCGGCACGCCTCGGTGGGGCGGCAGCTGCAGGAGAAATGTGATACCCTTTTCATAGCTAGGGATTGTTGGTTTGTTTTGTTTCTTTGGAGGCTTTATTCATCTTGTTGCCACCAAGTCCCGATATACAGGTGAGTCAAAATCTCCCATTCTTAGGGCCTTTTTGTGCCTTCTCTTCCGTGCCCTCATTGGTGGCTGCGGAGAAGATTCCCCAATTGTAGCCATAGGGATTTTCTGTTGTAAGTGCCTTCTGTTTGCTCCAATGCTTTGATTTCTGGTTCCAATGTACCTGTCCTTGTGTGATTTGCGGTCTCATTCCGCTGGTTCCGCTAGGGCCCCCTCGCTCCCTACCCGCCTTGCTGGAGGCTCAGCTACAGCTTTGCCATCCGTATTCGGTTTCAGAGCCTCCTTAGGAAGCTTTCATTTAGCATCTTATCCTTAAGCTGATCAGCGGTACCCTCTTCGGCGGCACCCTGAAGAAAGCTCTGCTTGATTGAATGCCTAGCTCATGGGGATGGGGGAAATCCACGCAATGCCGTCTGTTTGCGTTTTTGCGTTGTGTCCCACCATTCTCTCTGGATCTTTTGGGATTTAGCTAACAATGAAAGCAGGCTTGCTGACTGCGGCCCGCCGTGCTGTATTTCGTTTGCCTGGCAACAACCCTTTGTACTTCCCATTGCGATAGGCGTGCTCATTATAGCATGCATGTTGACCTCTTTACGTTGTGCCTGTCCTACTAGGCTGCCTGAATGCGCGTTTTGCCGGGCCATGCCTTCAGATCGACCCCTTCAGAGTTTGTTTCCTGCCGTGTTGTGCCTGTAGCCTTCTGTACTATGTATGTGCGTTCCAAGTGCCTGGTTGTGCTGCATTGCTCACAGCGCGTTGTTGCGGTTCCTTAATCAGGCGGGGTCATGGTACTCGGATTCTTGTACCGCGTTCTACTGTGTTTTTTTATGCATGTGCCTGTTTCAGGTGCCTGCGACGATGGCCCGTGAGATTCGCGATATTCGGGAGTTCCTCCAGACCGCGCGGCGCAAGGATGCCCGCAAAGTTGTCATCTTGAGGAGCATCAGGAGGCCAAAGGGACAGCCCTTTGCTCCTGCCTCTGCAGGCACTCATATAACCAAGTTCAAGATCAGATGCTCGAAGCATCTGTACACCCTGGTGGTCACTGACAAGGCGAAGGCTCAGAAGATCGAGGGCTCTTTGCCTCCTTCCCTGAAACAGCAAATCATCCCTGCCAAGAAATAGTCAGCATGAACAAGAGTCGCCAGCGAAAAATGTCGCCTGCTGCTGCAGTGCACGCCGGCTAGCAGTAGCAGCTGCAGCAAAAGCAGTTGCAGACGGCGGTGGTATCGGCGATTGCGCAGCCTGAACACCCGGCCAACTGTTTCTTTGCGCTTATGCAGCGCTTTCAGTCAAGTGCGTGCCCCACCCTTAGCCGTTCAGCCTGCGTAGTGGGTTATGGAGACGGATTATTGCAGTAGTAGTGTACCGGCAGTATTTCTAGAACTGCAGTTGCAAACGCTTCCAGGCGTATGCTAGCACGTGAGGATCTCTTTAGGTTCTAAGGTTGTATACGGCGGGGGAAGGGGCTGTGCGTATAGGGCTCAGTAGTTGCGCTGGCCTGTGACTCGGTGAGGCTGGCGACTCGCACCGTGCGCGCTCCTTTCCCCCCCCCCTCCCCCCCACTCCAGTAGTATGCTCCGACACCCCCTCGCCGGAGAGGAGTACTACCTGCCTCACCCCCCTGCACATTGTAAGAAATGACCCAAAATAAATAAGCCCTTCATTGTTGCTTGAACTTCCATGGGGTCAGCCCCAACGCGCTTTTTTTGCGGCAGTAGTAGCGGCGCCAGCCGCAGCGGCCTCAAGCCTTGAAAGGCGCTGCAGGCTTAACCACGCCTTCGTCTTGGGTCACGCCACTGCAATGCCCGCAACGCGCCTCGTGACCTCCTGCGTCACGCACTTAGCCCGCAGGCAGCGGTGACGGCGATCCCAGGTGCACCTCACTCCCTTGGCTAGTACCTCCCGTCTACGCCCCTTGCCTTGCCACGGTGGCTTTTCTGGGGTCGTGCGTCTGCTGCCGCGGCTTGCTGTGACTGCTGCATGGCGGCCTTCCAGAAGGCCCTGCGCTGCTCTTCCGTCCGGGGGGTCTCAAAGCGGCAAACGGCCAAGTCATTGAAGGCTCGGGGGTGTGGGCTAAAGGAGCACTGCAGCGGCAGCTCCGAAACGTATGGCAGCAACTCAAATAGCACCAAGGCCCAACGGGCCGGCGTCACCTGGACACAGAGGCCCTCCGGGCAGGCAGCAGTGTCGCCGCTGCCAGTGTTGCTGCTGCCGCTGGGGGTGTCACAACTGTTGCTGAGGCGAGGTTCCGCTGCCGCGGAGGAGGTAGCAGTCTCCCCACAAGCCTCAGACCTGGATGTCTCGTGCGGCGCCTTCCAGACGACCACTCCTGGACGCTGCTGCCCGCAGGTCACCTCTTGGGGGCCTCCCTGCACAGGGCGAGACGAGGGTTTTTCCGGATGCGAAAGACACGCGAGATAGTCGCCATTAGAGTCCCTCGCCTGCGAAGGCATTGGGTGGCTGCCTTGGCCAGAAGCGGAAGCTCTCGCTCCGTCAGCTACGCCAGCGCCCAATGCGGTATCTGTCGCTCCTCCCTCTGCTAGGGACCCTGGAGTGGAAGAGGCATCGCAGTGCCTCCTCGGGAACCTCCAAGCTGCAGAAACAAAGCGCAGGTCCCCAAAAAGATGCCGCCTCAATTCATACGAACTCAGGGCATTGCCAATTAGCACAAAGCCGCGTTTCCTTCTGCAGACGTCAGGGCATGTCCAACGGGATGCCTCCCTGCGACTGCTGCAACAAGCATATCCGTCCTTGCCCTCAGTTGCAGATGCTGCCACTGCTCCTGCTGCCGTTGCACCATGCCCCCTTTCTGCCCCAGTAGCTTCCCCAGCTGCATGCTCTGCTGAAGCTCCTTCTGCTGTGGGCTCCAACGCATGCTCCTCCATCGCAGAAGCCGCTGTCGCCTCACGCTGTGCCGCTGCCCGTGTAGGGCCCTCGGCTTCGGCACTTGCAACATCCCTAAACTGAGTGCAGCTGAAGCAGCGGGTGCAAAAGCCATGAAGCTGCATCTCGGCCCCAAGGATCTCGCCATACAAATCTACGTCGCAGTGCGGCGCGAGGTACACGGCAATCTCTCCATCTGCCTCTGTCTCCTCTTCGTCCTCGTTTTCAGCCTCTTCAGCGTAAGACTGCCGCCGCCTTGACGGCGCTGCCTCCTCGCTCTCATCCAGCCCCTCGCCACTCGCCTCTCTGTCTTCGGCTCCGCCAAGAAGACCGTCGTGCGCCTCCCTTCGCCGCCGAACGGCCTGCCCCGCATCTAGTTGAAAAAGTGTCTCGACAGCGCGCTTGTCAGTCTCGCTCATTACCGGATCTGCAACACGCACGCGGCCCGCCGGGATGCGCAGCAGCCGCTGCAGCTGCAGCGCCAGAGCCAACTGGTACTGGCAGCTCAAGACGTCGCTGCAGGCCGTCGGGCTTCCCAGCCCCAAGCAAACCAAGCTGTAGGCTACCTTGGCTTTCGGCGAATTCGGGAGGCTAGGCCTTCCTAGATCAGCAGACGCAGCGGCGGTGGGAGACTCCGGCATGGGGGAGACGTAAGGAGGGGCAAGAGCCAGCGACGAGGCGGGGCTTCCAGGGACCCCTGGTGTGTTACTGCTCCCGCTTTCGCATTCTGGAGCTGAAGAAGACGAAGAGGCGAGCAAACAGCGCAACTCCTCCCTGAGGGCTGCTTGCAGCTGGTGGAGAACCTCCTCCCAGAAGGCCGAAGCGCCCAGTTCCTCCGTAAGCCGCTGGACGGCACGCACAACACCCGCCTCAACTGCCGCTTCCTCCCCGGCGTCTTTGGGGGAAGGACAGGGGAACCGCTGGTTTGAGTTCTCTAGAGAGCAACCCTGCAGGCTACCCGGAGCTAAGAAGCTCCCCAGACGGGTGGCATTGCAATTCCTATTTGCCCGGGGCCCATGACCTTTACCCCTGCCCCCCCGAGAAACGAACTGCCACTCCCCCTCGTCAGCCATTACACCGCCCGCACTAGCACTTGGCGCGTCCTGCTGCAGAAATGGAAATGGCCAGTGGACGATAATTGTGGCGCTTGAAGATTCAGGGCTGCGAGCATGGGAGGCTGCAGCAGCAGCAGCTTCAGAGAAACAACAAGCCGCAGCCAGCTGGAGTCCATCCTCTGTGAGCGAGCACAGCAAAACTCGGCTCAGTCACGGACTCCCTTGGTCCACTCGAGTCGACCCGCCACCCGGCTCCCTCCGTCCCTCCACATGAGTCTTCCAGTTGAGCCGGAGGCCTCTTCTCTGCGCAAAACCGTGGAAGACATAGCAATATTGTACAGCGCCTTAGAGGCTGAAAGAAGGTCAGGAGCGTACAGGAAACGGCCTAAGGGGCGGGGAACGGGGGGAGGGAGGCCAGGGGGCCCTTCCGATGGGGCCCCGCGCATCGGAGTCACAATCCATCTGGGGTCTTCACAGGAACCTGAATTTCACGGCTAGACACTTTAAGGTGCCTTCTTTATTCTTGAAATAGTGCCCGCCGATCATGTCTCGCCGCTTCAATCTTCGGTTATATGGGCAAGGTGATACTCCCAGTATCGGTGCGTTCTGCGAATACCGCTGTTCCAGGCCCTCGGCCGCCCGCTGCTGCAGTGTCTGCCAACATAGCAGCAGCAGAAGCGATTTGGCAACTCCAGAGTGCATTTAGGGCCGTGCATGCATGCATGCACGCTTCTCCCTCTCTTTTTCTCTCCTAATACCAAACACATCGGCCTCGCGCTCCGCGAGAAAGGCCTAATCCCCCAGCTACAAGGACCACCCTCCCTTGCCCGCAGGAGGGCACCAACGAGCTCTACAGAATCGGCTTTCCGCATGCATTTGTCAACAGGGACGGCCCAGCGGCCGCTGCAGCAGCGGTGCCAGGGCATCTAGAGCGTGTGCCTGTCACAGTGGTCCACGCTGCGCGCGTCTGCGACGGTGTGGAGAGCAGACTGACCAGCAACAGCGGCAGTCGCTGCGGCTGGTCCTTATCGTGTTGCAGCATGTCCCCTCGGCCTCTGCGGCTAACTGCGTTGTGGCTGCTCCTGCAGCTGCTGCTGCTGGGTGGGAGCGGTGCCGTAGCCTCCTCCGTGTCTGTGTTGGAAGCAGCGAGCTCCAGGAATGCGACGCCTTTGGCCTCCCTTCCCTCAAGGATCAAGTCCGGGGTCATCCTCCCTAGGGGCCGATCCCGTGTGGCTGTTTCTCCCTTAGCTGCTGCTCCCCATGGGGCTGCGTGCGGCAAGGTGGACAGCTGTACAGCGAGGTCTTTGTCTTTTGTGGGGCTCCAACGGGAGTCTCCTGCATGCAACGCATTCAGAAGCTCCCTGTTGTCTTCTCTAGAACAGAGGAACCTCGCGTCCACCGTAGCAAGGCGCGCTGGGTGCCCCCTTCTTTCCTCAGCCAAAGCGCTGGCGGCGTCTACGCCAGCATGTGGGGGTCAAGAGCCTCTTTCAGTCCCCCTGCCCAGCTCTGCCCCCGTGCATGGAAAGTCTAGGACTCTGGTTCCCTCCGCAGACGAGGCGCAGGCAGTAGAAGACAGAGAGGCCGCAGTGCGACTACAGCAGCAGCAGCTCGAGCAGATGCTGAGTCCGCAAACAGACGATGAAGAGCCTCCCTCGGGTAAAGCGGCAGCTCTGCTTCTGATCTTGCGTTCTCACGATCCCTTTTGGTGCCTTGCTAGTCCGCTGTGTGGCGTCCTGCCCAACACTGCGAGGCAGACATCCCGTGGGCGTGGCTGTCCCGTAGTGACGTTGCGCGTGCTGCAGGAATGAGCGACGAGGAATTCTCTCAGATCGCTGGCATCGCCCCCAGCGCTAGCCCCCGGACCGTGGCTATGGCTCTCTCAAAGTGGCGGCAGCAAAATCCCAAGTCTGAGTTGGCTCGTCGGTTACACCGCAAGTGGATGGAAGTCTTTGAAGAGGGCCTTCTACAGGACCTTACGCGCAGAGAAGAGGCCACCAAAGGGGCTAAAACGTGGATGGCATCCTTGCAGCAGATTGTACTCGGGGGACAGCCCCTCTCTGCTGCAGCAGCCGATGATGTGTGAGTTGGGACGCACAGTCGCTGGCTAGAGCACCCTGCTCGTGCCATTCCCCTCCAAGACTCTATGGATCCTTGCACGCACGCGCACCTACGCACTCATGCCTTACTACCTGCACCCGCCTAGCACTCTAGCTAACCAGCTAGCCGTGTAGGCCGAGAAAGGCCAGGCAGCAAGCTGATTGGAGGTCCACAGCCTTCCTTCTCCACCCACGCCAGCCTCCGCCTCAGTGTCCCCTCCTGCGAATCCCCTCCAATTTTTTCGAGCAGCGCTCCTTCCCTATGCCCTTTCCTCTTTTCCACTGCCTTTCTGCTGTGATATTTCTTCGAACTGCACAGACCAGACGCCCCAAGTGAGCTGGACCAGAAATACGCAGAGTCCCAGGGGCTTCCCGAGGCTTTTCGCACCCTGGCTATGGAGGTCAGAGAAGAGCAGGAAGCAGCACAGCGGCACCAAAGCTTTTTCCATAGGTAAGGAGGCGAGTAACAGAGCGGCCTTACAGCTGCACTACATGCGAATATGGCAGGTGGAATAGAATAGCACACTAACCAAGGTTTCCCATCCGACAGCCAGCTAACCCAAGTTCACGGCTTCTCTCCGCAAACTTGTAGAGTCGCCTTAGGCAACTAAATACAGGGGAAAACTCTATACTTATACATGCGTGTGCATGTACCTCTTTCATATATCTAAACATATATGTAAACATGGGCTAGATTCGTTGTTACTTATGCGCTTCATAGACATCGCTGTTCTTGAGTGTCTCTTGCTTCTTTCTCTCTTTCGACGCAACACGATCTGTATTCGGACTTCGAATCATGCTTTTTACATACGCTTGCCTCCTTCGTCTCTTTGTATGGCCCTGGTTCTGGCCTGCGCCGCGTTTTGGCTTGTGTCAATGTGGTTGTGACCCTGCGTGGACTGTATTTTCAGGTTGAGTTCACCTGCTAAGTACTTTTTGCCTTTGCTAGCCGTCAGCTCGGTGGTGCAGCGCGCTGCCCTCACAGCCGTTTTTGCAGCTGGTGGAATAGCTGGTCGGCTGATGACTGGCAAGCCGCCCCGCCGGTCTGCCCCCTCCCAGGTGAGAGGTTGGCCCCCTGCTGAACACCGTAGCGTATCATTCCCCTTGTGTATTTCTCCTCTGCCCTCCATAGGTTGAAGAGTTTGTGGCCGTTCTTGATCTTTTCAGTGCGTGCTTGTTCATGCTGCGCCTTTGGGGGGCTGCCGCAACAGCGGCACTCACTCTGGAGGACTGTTCATGCATCCCTAGCTGTTGCATGTGCTTCCTGCATACCAACTCGACAGAAGATGGAAGCTGAGGGATGTATTGTTGCACAACAGGCTGTTTCTTTCCTCGGTGGAACAAAGAGACCCATTGCTTGAGGGGCGAGGCGGACACCGCTCGAATGTTTTGTTTTGATGAATGTGATGCGTTCTGCCTTATCAGACGAACACGGTACCGGCTGACCGGCGATCACTGCGGGCAATGTGTCTCAGTGCTGTGGCCTTAGGAGCCCACGCCTTGTTGGGCGTGGCCTCTGCCTTCTGCAGCTGGAAGGTAATAAGCTGTCTACTGACAGATTCCTCTCGCTCGATGGAGATTTGACAGATTCCTCTCGCTCGATGGAGATTTGACAGCTCCCAGTGCAGCGTTTTAAACTCTCTTGGGGCGCTGCGTCCCATTTGCATCAATGGGCCGTACCGATGGTCTTTAATGAGCATTAGCCGTGTACCTGAGCGGGGCGGAGGCACCAGTGGGCGTATGTAGTCAATGGGGTGCTATCATGCTGGAGGGATGATTTGCTTTCAGGTTGGACTGGTCCCCTGGATCTCCTTCAGGAGCCAGGCTACTGGGGCTGTTATTGCCCAATGGTGGCTCGCTTCTGCTTTATACCGCTTTCAGTCGCCTGTGCAACGCCCTTGCGACACAGCCTCCGGTTCAGACAGAAGTGGACTGCCCGAGGCTCCAGGTACGTTGCCCCCCGATGATCCCCTTCAGGATGCCTTAAATGAGGGAGGAGATGGTGTGGAAGAGGGACCTATTGTCGTAGATGGGCGAGAAGGAAAAGAATGGTTCTACGACGATCCGGAATTCCCCACAGCCTTCAGGGAGGATGACTGAAATGAACAGAGATCACGAACTTCACAAGCTGAAGCGCGTACAAACGTAATTTGGCTTGACGTGCTTTGCTGTAATACGTAAATGAGAAGTCAGATCTGGGCTTTTGAATCAGATCTATTCTTCTAAACATGCTTTCCCTCCGGCCATAGCAGCTGCAAGGCGAGGCCAACGTAGCTGACGAGAAATCTACAGAAAGAATGAGAGGCTGGAACATTACCTTCGTGCGCAGCTCAGTTGTCACTTTGCATTTTTCTCGTAGTGTCCATGCGGAAATCGCACACAACCCAGTAGGCTTTTGTAGTGTGTTCCCCGATCGTGCTGCTCCAACGGGGCACTAGATTTGCTTTAGAGGGTGCTTCTGGGTGGGGGCGATTTGCCGCCATATTCCACTTTTAATACCAGCCAATGTCATCTCCTCTCGCATTTCGAGGTGTGCCACGTCTTGCCTGTGGCAGAAATGGACGTCTGATGATCTGCTCTGCTTACTTAGTACATATGCTAGTGACATATATAATTAGCCACTGCGCAGCAGACGCGGGCTTGTGTATAGTACACCCAGGTGGCTAGAACGTAGCTAGGGCTTCACTGAGCCCGCTCAGTGTATACATGTAGTTTTTATTCATCGCCTTGATTACCTGAAGGTATCCGAGAACTCACTGCTGGGAGGCCGGTTACTGTACGACAAGCTAGGCGTTTCAAGGCGTCCATCTGCAATTTTCTTTGCAATACCTCCGTAGGGAAATCTGCGACCTGAACGGCCAGTCACCCAGCGTCCAAGCAAAAATTCCTAGTTGCTCTTTAAAATGAATTGACTCATTTAGTGAAGCCAGACACAGTTGAGTCCTGTCAGCGGGATAGTTGTGGTGTGATCGCCCGTTCGGGTAGCGCAGCCGATAAATCATAGCGAACGCACAAATCCCATATTGTGGAGACGCAAATTACTCGGATCGGTTGTATAGGAGCACGCATACCGTGCAGTGGAACACGCGGTAGAAATCTCAAAGATCAACATGTAGTGGGCTAAAATCTTACGAGACTGTTTTCCTCTGGGTGGCTTGTACTACTTCGAATTCGATGTGAGTAATTTGCCTGTTTAGGACGTCTATTAAATACACACACCAGGCCATAATTACTCATATACTGACATACAGAATGAATTTATCGATTGAATTAGCTCGGCTGTTGGACAGCTCTGCGGATGCCACCTGCGCTAAGTCGGGGACCCCTACTCTCACTCAGCCTAGGGGAGCAGAAAATTTAGGCAGACAGAAATAGGCACTTGAGGGGATAAATTACCGAGTTCCTTGTTAAAGGCTTCTAAATGGCTAGTTTTTATTTCGGGCCTGTGATGATCCTGGGGAAAGCGTTAAACTTTTGGCAAAAAAAATGTGGGAAGCGAAAGCGTCTTAGCCTAGAATACCTTGTATCTGTTTTACATTGCGTGGCGGATCTGTACAACGAGATACGGCGTCTAGGGTGGTGACGTGGAGCTTTGCGGATTGGAGGCCACTCTTATTCGCATTTCTCAGCAGAGGTCCTGCGCGTGGCGGGCTAAGCTGCACTCTAACAGCTACTACTAGACCGGGTTACTTGCCCTTAGGCCAACTTCCATACCAAAACTCCGAATATTCCGAAGTATTCCCTCCTAAAGGATTTCTCGTGTCTTTGCCCTCTCCCCATAGGATATCAATCACGAGGAAAGAAAAGCCTTACGGAGTGCTCGTTACTGCAGCCTCTCAGCAATCTGACCATCGATGTTCATCCACAAATGGCAACTCCAAGGGCAGGTTCCCGGCGTTGATTTAGTGTGATTTTAACTATAGCGAGAGAAATTACATATGGCACTTCTTACTATTGTAGTTCTATGTGATTACACATTGATAAAGTATTGACCGTGTCACTGGGATGTTCTTATATATCATTGGTTGCAGAGTAAGATTACTAGAATGCAATTAGAGTCAATGTTTTGTGCTAGTGGAGAGCCCCTATGTAATGCGGTTCTTATACTACGTAACAAAAGGGCATCGACATATCGCCCAGTCAGTGGGTATACTTTAGAAACTGAATGCTAGAAAGTGTCTAAATATAGCTTGGCCTGCTATATGCACTTCACGAAAAAGTTAAGCTGGAAGTAATGATACCGTTGGATTACGCTGAGTATGCTAATCATGGTAGACACTTAGCCACTCATTAGAACACTACAGCCACTCTACATTCTGCAAAATAGCCATTTGGTTCTGAGGTAATAACAGGGGCGCTTGGAGCGGCATAGGTTCCTTCCAATATAAAGGGCGGGATCGCGTGTGTTGAGTGCAGGGGGAGGTGAAAGCTATTATGAGAATATAATAGCTGCACTTCCTTAAAACTTTTAAAGTGCTCTGGCGGCGTGTCTAGCGGTAGAGACGTAGAGAATACAGATATTTAGCTGCCCCTCCGGTAAGTACGCTCAAGTGACAAAGCAATTCGCGAGCATACACGTGAGGTTTCTCAGTAAAAAGCACAGAAGGGTACGAATGTATGGATTTGGAATCACTCACACTAAGGGGAAAGCCAACATAAAGCCGCTTTATTGTTTTCGTCGTTGCTGAGCCAAAGGTAAGACCGCAAGAGTACTTCAATTAGCGAGCTACTTGTCTTCTTGACCTGTATCTAGTTGGACTCAAAGTGCTTAATACAAAAAAACTTTTGTTGCTCTAAATATCTGTTGTTTCTTTCCTATTTCTCGTCGCCTTTTTGTTGCGTGTTGGTGAGCGACGGGGCTGGTACTCGGGCCGTCTCACTGCTATCTCTGCATGAGTACAAAAACGAGGGATCTTTCCCTGGCTTAAAGTAATTAAATTTGGAATGGATCAATGTGAATTTAGTATAAATGGCATTTTAATCTTATGATCCCTTCATTCTCCTCCCGGAAAAGCCAATCAGTTGGTGAGAGGGGGTGCCACTGCTCAGGGTGTCTCGCAAACGTATGGGTTTTCGTTTAGTTTCCTTCCACACCGACTTGATCTCTGCTTAACTATTCTGTCGTATCAACTACTATGGAAGCACCATTTGTATGGTACAGAGGCAATCAGTTAGGGCAAAGTCTGAAGTGAAGTTGAGAAATGCCTTGCGTGAAGGCTTGCAAATTTTACATATTAAAGAATGAGTATGTGCCGGCCCTATGATGGAGAGAGACAGATTAGTCAACTTTGTTTTGCCTCAGCCTTCTTCGTAACATCAAAACAGGAAAAGACGGGAGACCCCTGGTGGCGGGAGGATGGCGCTTGAACAGCCAGGTAGGTGATTGCTGCTGTTGGGAGCTCTTCCTTCTGGAACGTTTTCGCTGTATTGCGCCGTATAGCCTCGGCACATAGTCTTACTGCGAATATCCGTAGCTTTTAAATGGCCATATCAGTATGACGAATGGCCTCTGATTCCCTCGGCATGCCGCACTTTAGCGCCTCAACCTCTTACGTCATTCCTAATTCTTCATCATGTGTGTGTACCCACAGTTTGGAATGTCTTCCTTGGGGTGGGGGTCTTCATTTTGATGATCGTCTTGTTCGCGGTCTACGTAAATACACAGCTTAAACAACGAGAAGCCCTGAAACCAAGGAAGGTGCGTGTTTCCCCATTCGCATGTCCTCATTCTTTGTCTCCCTTTCACACTCTTTCCCCAAAGAATCTGTTTATCCCTTCTGCTGACCATAATATTGGTACTTGTGCCATCCATTGCTATCTGTCGAAACTAGGCGTTCCGCCTATACACAGGACAGCTTATCTACTTCCCGGTGAATGTGCACTCTCCTCTACTTTCTGCGTTATCTCTTCTGCTGTAGCACATCGCATATGCCAGCTTCCTCAGGCGTCCTTTTCCGTATCTGCGGGTGTATGCCCTAATGCTACTGGCAAAATAGTTGTTCAGAAAAGTACCGTGCATTGAATATCTGGTTGTGCCCTATCATTTGGCGTGACGTGTGATCTCAGAACAAGAAAAAGAAAGAGAAGGAGTACTGGTCCCTTGACTGATCGTTTTGTGCAGAAGGGAAGGGTTTCCCCACAACCTACGACCGTCCATCCTTTTTTCATGAGTGGTATCTAACTGCGCAGGGACGCCCACCTGCCTTCTACCCTTTTCCATGCTTCGTGTTTGGGTTGTGAAGATGAATACCCTTCTCTCAAATCAAGGGGAAGACAGGCAGGTAGTATAAGACATGGTGAAAGGGCCCTTCTTGGCGATCGCCGTAGGTTTTAGTGGAAATGCAGGCATTGGCTTGGATTTGGTGAGTCGGCCTGCTGGAAGCCAAAGTGCAAAGGTCCCGATGTTTCCATGTACTCCTCAGTTATTTTGTCTAGAATTGTGAACAAAAAAACACATCGGTGGAGCGAGACACCCAATGAGCAAGGCACACTTTGAACACCAAGTCAATGAACCGCCCTCAGTTCTGCACTTGATTTCCCTTGTAGCTTTCTTCTTACGCTTTGAACTAGGTGTAAGATATAAATAAGCCCTGCGCTATAAAATGTACCATGGACCGTGGGTGCCGTCGATGCTACTTAGATGCCACCCAGTCAACACTCGTATTATGTACTGCGATACAACGTCTAAAGCCAAATTACATACAGCGTAATACAGTACGGCAGAGAGCCTTAAGAATACACACGATGAAGGTGTCGCTTTTTGGCGACTGCATGCCTTCGTTGCTTACCACTTAGGTCTTCATATCGAGCAGGCCCAAAGCGTCGTCTTGTTCGACCGTTCTCTTGTATACCTCCACCCTCTATCCCAAAACCAATCCACAACCCCACCACGCAACACACAGCTCACAAGTTTTTGATTAGCTCTAGACTTTCGTCAAACTCTGAAGAAACAACCCAGGGGAAGCTACTTCGTTGTAGTTAGAACACACGCAACATTAAGAAAAGGAACTGCGGGCAAGCCACATGAAGCGTATCCCGCAACGGAACTGAATGAATGCGAACAAAAAGGTGCACGCAGACCAAGCTCGGGGCCCCTTTGTGGACAAGAAGTCACCATGAGACTCCAGTGGCCATTCTAAAGATTTCACCTGTGCTGTGCGGCTTTAATTTTGTGGGTCCCAGCTCTTACCAAAGTTTTGTCTAGGTCAGAGCTCCACAGAACTTCACCAGGCTTGGCTTCTTCAAGCTTCTTCTCCAGTTCTGCCTCAGTGATGGCGGCACCAGGGACCTTCGCTGCTGCTGCTGCTGCTGCTGCAAGGGCCTTGGCTGCATCCCCATCTACGTGGGTAGAAGCATCGATTTGTAAAGGGGGAGCCTTCTGTGCTTCTGCCTCTTTGTTCCTCAGGGCCACGAATGACATATCTGCTGGGTCGTTAATAATCAGCTTAAAGGGAAGGACTGAGGGTAGGCCCTCCTGCATTTGACCCAGCTGTTCGCAAACGTAAGCCATTCGCTTCCTGGAAGCATCAGCAGCAGAATCTCCCACTGCAAAGGGCGCGCTCTCAGATACGCCCTCTCTAAGGGACTTGATCAAGCCCTCAATTGTCGTCAGAGTTCCTGAAGCCATTCGCATTCTGGGAACGGTTAATGACAGACTAGGAGTTTGCCTCGGTCGGCCCTCTACAACCCCCTCCAGGTAGATGCGAAGCAACATTGCACACTACCCTAGTGACCCAGACTAAGAGATACTCAAGCAACAGACTGTGGATATCACTGCAGCTATAGTTCCTGCTCCCCACGACGGTGCCGGCACGTAGCAGGCAAACCGGAACCCAGAGGATCTGTGCATCCCCCAGCACGAACTCTGAGGCTTTCTGGACACCCCACAGCTCACCCGCCTCTGCACCTCCCTCCATCGAAAAGTCAAGGGATGGAATCTCAACGCTTGCAGTATCTCCCTTTAAGACGTCTCGGTTCAAGTCACCGCTGTCCGAAACCTGGAATCGGCAGCACGCAGAGAGGGCCATACGTTGGTGTTTAGTGGCATATGCGATATCCAGGCTGAAACGCACTACGCGCGAAGTAGTACGAATACACGGAGAAATGACGCGAGCCCGCACGTGTGTGGAGAGTGCAGTGGCAGCAGTGATAGAGGACAGCAGCATCCCATGCACGCATCTGACGCAGAAGCGGCTCATTCAGTGGAATTCCATGAGCCAAAATGGCGTACCGTAAGGATCCACCTTCTAGCTGCCAAGCCGTAGGCCCCCGCAGCCTTGATTTCCGAGTTCTTGGCTCCGCAATTGGGGCAAGAAAACGCAAAGATGAGGCACTGTCTAAACCCTGAGCAGCCAAGCAGTATCCCTACACACTGCCAATACAAAAGCCGCATGCTTGTTACACAAAAGATCCATAGCAGAGCTAGGGCCGCCCTTAGCGGCCGCATGCTTCCACATGCTACACCTGGTGTGCATGAACGCCAACGCATGAAACAGGGTCGATCTTCACACAACTCCGTACTGTCCGTTCTGCCGCACCTGGTATGTCTACTTGGCATACTTTGTTGGCTGTACTGGTTCCACAATGCGGGCACTCCACGGGTAGGAGCAACGCCTCATCTTTCAGAGCATCCTCTGCGAACTCGGCCCCGGAGGGAGCCTTTTCTTCTGCAAGCAAACTACCAGCTATAAACTGCCCTTTGCCCCAAGCATAAGGCTTCAAAGCTAGAGAAATTCGCGGTCACCAACACTCCCCCAACAGGACCTAGGCCGCCTACACCAAACCTGGCCTTATATTGCAAGCCCTCATCCATAACCTGTTAAGCTGGCGACTCGTCATGCGCCTACCTGTTTTGCTTTCCTCAGGCTCTTCTTGTGTTTCAAAGTATCCCATTGCGTGAAGCTGTTCTTTGGTGCGCTCGTAATACCTTACAGTAAGGCCGTTATCGCTCGGTTTTACGGCCTGTTGGTGCTCTGCTTCCTGTCCTTGGTGTTGATTGTTTGCTACATTCTCACTATTTGCACTTGTCCGCGTGCTCTGCGCATCTGCTTTTACCTCTGCATCTGGCCGCTTGAGGCTTGATTCCTCTGCCTTATCAGAAGCGTAATCCAAGCTCTCTACGTAGCTGTTTCCGCTGGGATCGTCAAGCTCCAAGACAAAGGGTTGCTTGCCTGCAGCCATGTCTCGTAGCTTTTCCACAAGCTGCGTCAGGCGTTCGGCTGTCTGCGTTTCGTTGATCTGGGTTTGATACAGAGCAGCACACTTTAGGTTTTCCGCGAAGGATACCGCAAAGCCCTCAATAGTGTTCAACTCTGCCCTCTCTCTAGAGGCTGGGATTTCAAGTTCTATCTCTGGTATCTTCATGGTGCAGTGCTCGCTGCGGACAACTTGACGGTTTAAATCCAGAGAAGATGCCACCTTGCAGGAAATGTGCACCCCACGAGAGGCCAAACTCCCTGCCGCTTGGACCTGCATCCATTCCACACTAACCTGGCGTTAGGTGTACCTCCGTCCCTTCATGCAATCGTGGCTAAAGCCCACCATGTGTCAGACGAGTCATAGAGAGCCTTCACTGTATACGCTCACAGAGAAATAAAGACCTATTGTATTCCTGATTCGCAATACCATTCCAGCAACGATTCACTCTCTTTCGTCACGTTCCGGAGCCACATGAACAAGACACCCCTGCCCCGTTTCACAGAAGCCACCTGAGAGCTGTAGCTGGCTCGTCAGGGATGAAACGAGTTCAAACGCATCTTGAATGCGCCCTCTTTGCAGTTCCCTCTTACCTCTCGATTCGAATAGTTGCAGTGGGGACAGCTGAAGGAGGAAATGAGGAGGTCCTTAAAATGCGGCACTTTGTGCAGCATGATAATGGTTTCCCCGTCGTCTTCGCAGTTTGGACAGAGTGAGGTGATCCGAGTCACTGAATCCATCAAAGGATCGGCCTCATCCTCTGCTTTCCCAGGGTCCAGGGAAGTCCGTTCCTTGACCGTATCCGTCATTTTCAGGAAACTTCCAGCTCTCAGACTAAAGTAAGCCTTGGTAAAAGGAAGACAGGAGAAGTGTAGAGAAGATGATCGCCTTATCGCAGGGGGCTTCTTGACCCTGCCGAAGGGCCCTTGGGGCCCCACTGCGTGCGTGTTTGCAAGTCGGCATCGTTACGTGTGGTCTGTTCCCTTCCTCCCCCGTTTAGATTTCGTTCAGCCTTCTCCAAAAGGAATGGTAGTATATAGAGCAGTATTTTCGAGGGGAGAAACTACAGGCGTGTACACTTTCTGGGGCGCCGCCTCCACCTCGCCCTCCTTTACCTGTTGCGCCTGCCCAGTAGACTCTCCTGCATCTTCTTGCCGGTCTGCATTCCTCTGAGGAGCTTCTGCCTCTGTCTTCACTTTCTATGAGCTGCCAGTGAAATTCGGTAGCTGTGCAGTTGTCGGCAGCAAGAGGCATGCGCTAACCTGGGAGGTGCTGCGCAGTGCACCAACCTACTTTTTAAGATTACCATTTTAATACATATCTGCATATATTACACTAGTGATGTTATTTAAATACATTTTTGTGCTATTCTTCATTTGATGCGCCTTAGACTAGACAGGCGGCTGGATGTGCTTATTCGTTTCCTACACAAAAAGCATCGGAACTTTGCATCATTTAATCAACCTTCGAAACTTGTAAAGGAGTAGGCAGCAACTTGTGCAAAGAAGTCAGAGATTCGTTTGTTATAGGCCTTAGCTACACAATGCAGATGTCCTCAGTAAAGGAGGCTTCAAAGTACTTAAAGAGGCGCGAATGATGTGAGCGGGCACCGTAAGCAGAAATGTGATCGCCTTAATTAAAGACTGTTGGAGGTCCATGCGGCATGTAGTCCATTAAAAAAAGTCGTGGAATCGTTGAAGGCTTCAGGCGTGGTATCAGGGCCCCGCGCCGACAGGAAGAAGCTCCAACAGCGCACATTTGCATATTCAGCTGCAGTTGCCAACGTTTCCGGCCATTACTTCGACTATGAGTACCATGGATGTTATATCTTAAGCAGGGGTAGCCAGATGTATGTGTCATTTTGCCGCTCTGAGAGAAGCAAGTAGAGTTCACTGGACTGAGTAGCAGAGCTGCGTGGCCTGAAGGATCACGAAGTCCTTTGATGCTACAACGAACCCACAAGGTTAATCACCTATCCGTGACACAGTCCAGTAATGCTAACGGCAGGTTCTTTGCAGATGGCAGCCCTTACTCAATCTGTTCTCTAGAAAATTTCCAGCGGGGGCCATGGACTGAGCCCACGCTCCTTCAAGTAGTGGGCTAAGGCATCTTCCGGAGTGAACCAAAGCAACTATCACTCCTTCATTGCATTCTGGAAGGTTCAAAGCAGCATTTAAGCTTGAACAGTGAATGCCCTAGGGGCCCTATTGGAACCTGGGGCGCAACTGGGCAGAGCCCTATAGAAAGGCTAGTGGAGGTGCATTTCTTTGCACACCGAAAGCTAATGAGCATTTTGCCGTGAATCTAATAGACGTGAGGAGGGATATTAGTCCGTGAGTGAGCTTAATAAATGGATAAAGCCATACATTGGAGAGGGTTAAAGAACGAGTGTGCACCGAAAGACCTTTTTCTCTCAACCAGTGGCTTACCGCTCTCTTGGTAGGGTTATCACAAAGGGTCGATCAGTCCCGCATTTTTGACTCTGCATAGTATTATTTGGCTTTTTGAAGCATTAAACTGCTCTAGTAACAAGAGCCCTCCACATATATGCTGGCACCTGACCTTCGTAAGCGCAAAAGCCAGCCGTGTGAGCGCGAAAGTGCGATGACTAATATTAGTTCCCAGGGCACCTGTGGGGGCGACCACGTTCGTCCACATATTTAAATAGCAAGCTTGACTGTCCTACAATATGTTTTTGCTAAAGTTTTTACAAGACTTGTGCAGAGCAAATGCATGTCTTGAAATTTACGCGTGAGCACACATGCCTCGAATTGGAGAGTCTTTCTGCTCCGTCGTGTTGTGGACGGTTGGGAAAGCGCAAAAAATTGGCAGTGGGCGGCAATAAAAGATTGAATTGTCGTTGGTGGCCTGGGTCTGTGGAAATAGGCTCAAGGGATAGCAAAACTTTTGCCTGGCTAACACTAGTGGTTCCTGGTGAGTCTACAGTCCAGCATTGTGCGGCCACAGTGAATCTCTCAGGCCCAAGACGCCGCCAAGAAGTAAATTTCAATGGGGTTCTCCCATCCGTGGGGGTGGGTGGACGGTGCAGCTTTCGATGCAATAGTGAGCAGGTACAAACTCTCCAGCTATCGTGATCCCATGAGCATAACCTGAAACTAGCAAATAATCGGCGTTCAGCTATGAATTGCTAGGCATGCTGAGACACAGCATACTTTAGTCCCATTTGATCTCTATAGGCATGGAGGGCAGCCACTCCACTGACGCCAACTTTGACATTCGAGCATCCCGCCTAGGGCCGATTTTCCCCCCTGTATGTTCCTGTAATGAAACTACGAATTTGAGGGCCAATTATTGTCCTGCGACAGACTGTTTAACCACTTCAAAGCATGGAATAAAAGAGCTGTTCATGGTAGGGTTCAGCCCCCAAAACAGTCTGATGCCTTGCATAGGCTTGAGGCTTGCGGGCCTTCTAAGCCAACAAAATAATGCTCTTTGCAATGCTTTGCATATCTAGTTGCTTATCTCCTAGAACTTCGTCAATCTTATCCCGTACATTCACGGGTTGCCATGCTTGACATTGCACACTAAAATCAGCCGCATGAAAGACAGTAACATAGGCGTTTTTGATATGCATGCATGCCTAGGGTGCTCCTTTGAATTAGCGTAGTTCTGAAATTTGCTTCCTCAGAGCCCCACATGGAACAACTTCTGAAGTCGTGAGAAGGAGGATGCAACTGGAGCGGCAGCTGCACATCTTCCAGTTATGGCTGCGATAACAGTAAGTTTCTGGCTGCAATGATCTGCTGGGACTTCAGACTCGGGCGGAAGCTCCCTCTGCCTAGGGACTTAAAGCAAGAATGCATGTAGCCTTACCCTTTCAAAAGTACGGGTACTCGCGGCCAGGTGCACACAGTAGGCTCGCGCACATGGACAAACCATATTTTACTTCAGTATGGTTCTAGCATTCCTCCGCCCCAAATACACAAGTATTCAACCAATAAGTTCTAAGTTCAATCTCTGAGTGAGCCGTAATGAAGAAGAAAGGCTTGCATGGAGACACTTAAAGCGGGTCAAGCAATGACTTAGTACTTCCTGTTACGCAGGGTATATTTGAGTGAAAGTTTATTATGAATAAGTCATTTGGCTTGGTCATCCGTATGAAATTGTGTGCCGAGTAGAGTGAGCTTAATGTTGTAGAAGTTAGCGTGTCTCTTCGCGCTAGATGCCATATCCAACCAGCTGCGAATGTTTGCAGTGCTAGAGGGAGCAGCGGGGCGCACTCTAGCTGTCGCTTTGCCCTGATGTCGCAAGCGTTAGGGGTAACGAAAGTGAGGGGCTACTCTTTCAGAGGGAAACTTCAGAACGTTTTACTGAAATTGGGATGGGGTTAGGGCCCACATGCCCGCAACGGAGCCTTCAGGTGGAGTAATGCGGTGTTTACGCAAAGAATAAAAAGCCATTTCCTCAGTGTTGGATGCTACACAGAAAGGGCAGGTGCCATGTGATTCTGTCTCTTAGGTCCTGAAAAGACACAGCCTCCTATAGGGGTACTACAACTGATATCAACATCTGCAAAAGGGGTCCTTCTTTATATCAAGAACCCTGCACGGCGTGGAGCAGCTCCTGAATAATAAGATTCTTCATTTGTGTCGCACTGGAGATGCTATCAATCCTGGAGCTGCCTTCTGGACCAGAGCGGCCCCTGACTAAAACAACTGGGCCTTTAGGTCCACAGCGAGGAGGGGGCATACACCCAACGCATCGATGCCTGGGCATTCTTCAGTTTCTTTTCCCCCTCTTGCTAAACAGGTCTTTCGCCTCTAACATAGGACTCTGGGAGCTTCTACTGATGCCCTGGCCCTGAGTAGGGCGAATAGCTGGAGCGGTGACCCGTTTTCACCCCAACTGAATCTTGAGATGCAAGTGCGGAACAAAACGGACGCTATAGGGTTGACAGCAAGTCACAGTCCTACTAAAGAAAGCCAAGTAGAAGAAGCTTAGGGTTCTGAGTGCAGGAAAAGACTTAGAGGGGAGGGTTTGCAGAAGATGAGCCTGTGGCCGCATCAGCGGCAGAGCGGAAGCTCTGGGTGACGCCTTTGGAGACACGACTTTGAATTGGAACGCGTGGACCTCAGCAATGTAAAATGCTGGATTTGTTCTAGCTCTGAAACATATGCTTTCGGAAATAGCAGGCGACCTTGAATAACAAGTGCACGACCGCGAGTAACGATTCCTGGCCGCAGGGCCACCGGTCTCTCCGCTGCCAGCGGTCTCATGGCCATCCGCCTCTAAGCATGAAACCCAGGCTCTAAAACCAATCCTTTGCTTATATGGGGTTGAAGCTTCTGTGCATACCGCTGCAGATGCTGGCAAGGGGTGATGAGGTCTCTCTGTCCCATTCCTGTGCCCCTTCAGCCACAGCGGCACCAGCAGGTAAAACGGTGTCTGCACCACTGGCATGTCACGTAAACATTGGGCAGTGTCTAGAGAGCTCGAGCTTCTCTTGTCCGCCTGTAAAGGCAAATGAGACCCTCCTCTTTGCTGCTTGCCGGTGCTGCGGCCACTGGAGGCCCCTGCCAGGTCTTAGCCTGGCAGTTCACTAACCCACAGGAGGGTAGTCTACACCACCCAACGGCCCATGGACACCATTCAGTGAGCCAGGAATGGTTATTTCGAGGATCGTCGGGTCCTGCACCTTCTCAGGAAGCAACGGGAGTGGTATCAGCAAGTCGGCCTGAGCAAGCACTAGCAGAAACATCAGCCAGCCTACCGACATCTGCAGTATCGCATACAGACACGCACAAGGGAGATTCAGACACAGAAGGGTATAATGATGAGAAAGCTGTGCTGCGGCTGGTCAGGCTGGAGGACTCGGGTGACGAGGATGCAGTGACTTCTGCCTTGTTGCGTCTACAACAGCACCCGCATCAGCCACTGGATCCAGCAACACCGGCGGATGAAAAGCCAGAGAACACGTGGGATGAGAAGCAGGAAGGCATTCTCAACGCGCTGAGGGAGTGGCAGCTGGCAGAAAATGGTGCAGCAGAAACACTTCAGAAGAAGGAGGAGCAACAGCAACAACAGCAAAAGCAGAAGCAGGACCAGCAGCAGCTAGAGCCTCTTCTCCTCGCTGAAGTAATAGATTCCGGTTCTGAAGGTTCGACTAAACCCCTCATGCCGCATCTGCCTCCTTGCCCAGGAAATAGTAGCAACACCCCTGTGGCCACCAGTACGGCGACCAGCCCTCCGGCAACGGCCACTGTCACGGGGCCTTCAATAACAGCAGAAATGGGGGAAGCAGAGGATCCGCGCAGCAACAAGGCATCGATTTCCGCAGCAGCAGCTGCCGTTGCCGCAGGTCTCCAGCGTGTTGCTGATGCTGCTGCGGCAGGCAAGAAGGAGTTGCTCAGTGCAGCAGCCGAAGCAGCCGGAAATATTTCCGCAGAAGGCGCCCGGCATCTGGTGAAAGAGGTGATGAACAAGCTCGGCCCTCCAGTAGTGCTGCGCCTTGAGGTCTCAGACGCTCACCATGGGAACCCCAAGGTCCCTCCGGGCCTGCTTCTGGACTGTCTAAGGGACCAAACCCGATACAGCATGCACTTCAGAGTACACACGCCCCCCCCTACAGCAGCGCATCCGCCAACAGCGACAGCCGCGTCTAAAGGAGAGCACTATTTAATGAGGTTTGAGCGGGCGAAGGGTCTCGCACAGGACGAGGCCTACACGGCTGCCGAAGCAAAGCGGCAAAAACTGGTTCATTCTGCGCTGCGTCTGCTGCAAAAACCACTTCCGACGCAGCCAAAGCCTCAGGAGCAGCTTGAGCCATGGCTGGTTGCCGACGCCAAGCAGCCGCTACAGACGCACCAGCAGCAGCCCACTGGACAGCAACAAGAAAGAGCCCTAAGTGAAGCGAAGCGGCATCTGTTGCTCCCTCTGTGGGTAGGCCAGCTGACTTTGCCATCCCCTGCTGTTGCAGTCGCAGGGGAAGACATGCTTTTGAACTGGGTCGAAATATACCCTGACGCACTGCTGAGGCTGCAGCAGCTTCCAATGCTGCAACCGAACGGGCAGTGGTTTGTTGCCCTACAGCTGCTGAAGGCAACAGCTGCCCTCCACAGTGCCGGGCTCCACCTGGGGGCCCTAGGCCCCGCGTCTCCATGGATTAGTAGTGACGGTCGGCTGCTGCTGGACGGTGTCCATTCACTGCAGCAACAGCAACAGCAGAGATGGGGCTGCGAAGATGAAGAACTTGAGCAGCCATGGAGGGCCTACGTTCCTCCCGAGCAGGCCTTCTGTGAGCCTGCTGTTCCTCCCAAGGAAAAAGAATTGTGGGAGCAGCATCTGCAACAGTTGCAACGCCAGGGAGTATCACCGGCAGAGGCGGCTGCTGCGTGGGGCCTTGGCCTTCTCTTGTTCCACGTATTCTGCAGCACTCGACTTCCGTACAGCATCTCAGCTGTTGCAAGTACCACCGACACTCTGCGTCACCTGCGCAGGCTGTTCCTTGCAGCGGTAGCACCCAGCAGCGGTGACCGTAGCACCGGGAAAAGCCTCAACTTAAAGACGTGTGGAAGCGACCCAAGGGCGCACCGCCTTCTGAAGGCCTTACTTCATCCCAACCCGAGTTTGAGGGCCTCCCCCGCACTTCTCTTACAACAGTTGCTGCAGGAGGAACAGCTTGTACAAGGGAAGCCGTAAAGTGCCCAATGCAGCCACTTCCAGCAGTGCACCAGGAGGCACTGGTACCCCTGCCTTTTCCTTCCATGATATGAGGAAAGCCCAGTGGTAGGAAGACAGATGACAGAAGCTGCAGCATTCATGTAAAACACAAAACCGACTCTTGGAGGAAAAATTGTACTCATGCGTTTTAATTAGGATTCGTTCTATTTTACTGTATATCGGCTTGAAGCATATAGACGCATGCAACATTTTATAGTCATTTCCCTATGGCGAAATCTCGCCACCTAGACGAGAGGAAGATAGGTACTACTAATGTTGTGACTGGGCTTATTTTTTAAAGTCCTGCACCCCGCCTGGACACTGCAGACTTTTTACTGACTTCGCTTTTGTGTTTGCTCGTTTAATCCGCTAGGAAAAATTCAGCCTGATCTCTTGAGCAACACTCATTCCATTTATGGTCAGCGGGGTAGAGCCAATGTCTCAACAAGGGGAGGCAGAGTCTCCATGCTGGCGGTTCAGCAGCTCAGTAAGAAAAGACGCTTCCGAGCATGCACCCTCTCGTAGTGGCCCTTCGATTTTTGCTCGAGTAGAATAATCAGTTCAACTTTCAGTCGAGGAGCAGAATCAATGAGCAAGTATCAAGAGGAGAGACTCGCGTGTGTGTTAAATAGTGACGAGCTGCCAGCACAGTCGCCACTAACTGGTCATCCAGCACAAGGTTAGAACGCCGACCCCTTTGCCAGCCCCAGCCTGTGTTACAGGGTATCGGAAGCCCCCACAGCATAAATAAGAGATTGAGGGGCAGGCATGCTATTTGCTGGAAAAAGGTAATGTGCAGGAATTGACCAGCGTTCTCGGGCATAAACCCACGGTGTTGCCGGAAAAGGACGAAAGGTAGTGCACGTGCATCAAGTAGAAGCTACTAAACAAGATCACTGTGGAAAGAGTCTACCGATGCCCCACATTGATGAATTCCCTACCAACCCAGACGGGTCATTTGTTTATTTGACACCTGAGCTAAAAGACGCCTCCTGACAAATCCCCTTTATCCGTGAGGACAGACACTAAAAAGGCACTCCACACTTGCATTCGCAAACTCGAGTACACGTGTATGATATTTGGACTTGCTAACGCCTCAGCTGACAGGCTACGCCTACCTAATAGAGATTTGTGGGAGCATCTCAAGTCGGGGTGCACGGCCGTCTACATAAACGACTTCTCAACATTCAGCCGAAACTTGGTAGAGCACCTGCAGCACCTCCGCCCTGCCATTCAGCTTCTG